AGAGCTAAGAGGGTCTACCCTCCTGCTGGGGCAGTCTCTGGCCCAATGGCCGATACCCTTGCATACATGACAGGTGTTGATACCTGATGGAGCAGGGCTTCCTTGCTTCAAGGTTTGGGTGGTTTGATGAGGAAGGGGTCGGTTTAGGTTTTGTGTAGTTGCTTGTGTAGTTGCTTGTGCTGGTGATCAAGCTGGATAAGGTTGAGTGGGTTGACAGATGGGGATTGAACTTTGATTTGGCCGAGACCCAGTTCTTAGTGGAGGTGACGTGGCATTTGGGAGTAAGTGTCTAGCCGAGGACTGCTGTAGTAGCATCCTCTGTCGATCGATCTCCTCGACCTCTCGATACCACTCCCATCTCTTCCCAGGTGGATTCCTCTCGAACTTCTCCTGTATGCTGCGAGTGAGACTTCCTCTGAAGAGATCAATCACTAGCTCATTGTCATCTAGGTTGACCTGTCCCTCCAAGTCTCTGAACTGCTCTACATGACATGTGGCGGCACCAGGAGCATCACTTGTGAGTCTGAGAGCCAACAGCTTGTTGTATGCCTCCATCCTAGCATTGCATGGGTTGAACTGCTCTGACAGTCGCTCTGTGAAGTAGTGCCAATCATTGAACAACCTTCCTTCTCTAGCTCTATCAATACGGAGCTTGGAGGTCCACCACTCTCTTGCTGTCCCTTCTAGTTGAGCACCCATGTGGTTGATCATCCTAGTCTGCTCATACACCTGGTTGAACTTAAACCATGCTTTGGCTTCTAGAATGAAGATCTCCATGTCTTGGGGATTGAACTTTGGAAATGGGGTGGCAATGGGCTTTGACCGGTTAAGCTCTGCCATGATGCTAGAGTCCTCCTCCTGATCAAGAGCATAGTGATCTGTCCTGCTCTTGTTATATGGATCCACCCTGGACTTGACATATCTTGGCCCCATGGGTGAAGCATACTTCTCATAGTTGATGTCCTCCTGCTCATCCAGGTTGAATGAGACTGATCATCTTGGTCCTGGAGCTGGAGTAGGAGTATGTGGGTCTCCTATCATAGACTCATCTCCTCCTCCTGCTTGGTCTTCTGAGTGAGAGAGGTCCATCGTCTCCTCCCTACCCAGCTGAGCTTGTTGTAGTCATTCCTCTCGATGACCCTGCCTAGTAAGCTCTAGCTGAGCTTCCAATAGAGTGAGTAGTCTATCGAGCTTATTGTTGAGGTCTGGGTCCATCATGGTGATCGTGAGGAGCTGCTTGAATGATCCACTCTAATGTCAGGGGTCTTGTGCCTGAAACCCAGGTCGGTCTGTCGAGATACTTGGTGACTATCAAACTGTGCGACAGCTGTTGTCTCAGTATCAGTGACTATCAAGTTGCACAGTGACAGCAGGTGGCGTTCGTTGTATATACTATCATAGGTTTCGGCTGACCTCTGTGGACACTCCGTTCAGGGGTAGCTCGGCATGATCAATATCAATGCTTTGGTTATGATGACACCAAGGTCTGGTGTGAGTGTTGATGATGATGAGGTTGATGACATTGGTGATAAGGTTGGTGGGTGTTGATGAGAATGAGGTTGATGGTGTTGGTGATAAGGTTGGTGGCATCAACACGAGTGTCCAGTGTGTTGACTTTGATGCTTGAAGTGATCCCCAGACTGCAGTGAACTACTGCCTTTGGTTCTATCTATATCCAGACTGCTAACCTGCTATGGGGTGCCTACGGATGTCAGGTAGTGGTGATACAACACACACACTACGATGAGGAGCAACCTTGATAGAATGCTGCTATGCTGACTGTAACTAATGAGTACTTATGTTTCTAAAGTATTGACTAGTTGTGTGGTGAGTAGAGTGGATGAGGATCCACTTGGCCTATGATGATGAGAAAGCATGGTTATATACCTCTTCACAGCTTCGCCAGCGATGCTGCTCCTGCTCTCTCTCCAGAGAGTACCTTCTTCATTGAGTACTGCTCAGGGGCCTCTCCTGCTTGGCACCCCTGTGCCTCTTGAGTGGTGTCAACTCCTTCGACACTGCTCCTCCTCCTCATGACCTGGTGTCGACTCCTTCGACACTGCTCCTCTTCCTCAGGACCTGCTTGCCAGTGTCCTATGACTCTTGTCTCTCGAGCCCCTGAGTGGTAACCATCTGAGCTTGGTCCTCTTCATGGCTGTGCCTGCTCCTTGAGCTTGGTCCTCCTCATGGCTGTGCCTGCTCCTTGAGCTTGGTCCTCCTCGTGGCTGTGCCTGGCCCTCCTCGCATGTGGCTTGGTTCTCCTTTGCATGTGAGTCCATAGGAGTCCATGGTCTCCATGGAGACTGCACTACAACCATGCTCTCTACTGGTATCGACTAGGTCTTCGATACCTGTGCTCCTGCCATATGAACCAGTGACCCTCCTGCTTCTTGAGCATCCAGGCCCATGACAGGGATCCACTCATATGCTATGGCAGAATGAGAGTATTTATGTGTTCGATTGGTGTTGCCCATGACACCTATCCTGCTCCTCTTGAGGGGCCTTTGTCCCCCTGTTCAACACTGTCTTGTCCTGCTGGCATCAATCCCATTGATACTGTGCCCTTACCATTTGCATGGCATAAGGGTTATGCAACACTGCCCTCTCACCTTCATGCTCTCCTTCTGCCTGATGATGTGTGATGCCCCCTTTCAACACAGCTCCTTCTCAACTTTATCTTGTGAATCCCTTTAGCCACTTGTTGAACCTTGTGACCAAACCCCTTGGTCATGTGGTCACTTCAGCACAGCTCCTGTGTGACTTTACACATGCACCCCTTGAGCAGTAACCATCTGCATGATACTGAGTCTACTAGTACTTGCTCATATTGGCCGACTTGTTGAGGCATGCTGTTCTGACTGTATCAGCCAACTTGTTGAGGCATGCTGATCTGACTGATTCCAACCAATCCCCATGAGATTAATCTGGGACCCTTTGGTTCAATTGATCTCATAATTCATACATGCTGCCAGCCCAATTAATCTTGTTGATCCCCAATGGTTCGGTGCCAATCAATCTGGTGCTCCCTTCATATACTGCTCCATTGTGTGACATTCCCATGACTGCCATTGATCAATTTGGCGCACTCTCTTGCGCTATCCTTCTGACCCTGTGACACATCCCAGCAATGTTGCCTGCGACACTGCTCCTGTCCTGTGAGGCCCCTTCGACTCCATGTCTCCTCCTCATCTTTCCCACTGCTTTTCCATCCACACTAGATTGCTGCTCATGTCATATCCCTTGACCTTTGTGAATGGATGGCTGCTCACTGCTTCATCTCCATCAGGGGCCATCCCACTTCATCTGAGTGGCAACTTGCCCCCCCTCTCATTACTTCCTGTCATTGGTGCCCACCTGCTGGCACCAACTTCAATGTTGTGTAGGGCCCCTACCTCATGCAGTGGTGACCCCAGGTGTCCTCCCCTTCTAGCCTTTTATTGTATGAACACCTTTGCCATTGATCTCTGCAGGAAATGTTGTACAATCCAGTTTATTGCAGATTCTGGTGTGATTTGTGATACCCTTATTCCTCATACTGATCTAGATGAGATCTGCCTTAGAGCTGCTTCTCCTACAGATTTTGGTGGATTCTATTGCAAGTCCTATGATCTGCCTGATTCCTTGATTCCTGTGCTCCCTTCATATGACTTGACAGATCTTCCTGATTCCTGTGCATCCCGTCCCATGACATATACTTAGTAGTCCATCAACAGTAGCAATCGTAAGACATTGCTCCTATCATAGTGCATGTGTTGTATCCCTGCTCATTGACATTGATTGACATCCTGAAGGTGGTTCATCCAGCATTCCGGCTCTCTTGATCATTAGAACCAAAGGCAGTTGTCCACTGCAGTCTGGGGATCACCTCAAGCACTCAGTCAACACACTGGACACTCGTGTCAGTGCCACCAACAAGCACACTCACACCAGACCTTGGTGTCAGTACAAAGTTCCTATCATTATTGATCATGCCAAGCTACCTCTGGATGGAGTGTCCACAGCAGTCAGTCAAAACCTGCAATAGCAAACACACTACTATGTCTTAGGGTGAGAAAAGTCATAGAGGCCTTTCTACAACATAACTCATCAAGGATAATAATACACAACACATTATCACATATCTTGACAAGATTTGTAATAGATGTGTTTCTATTACAGATATCAGGTTTCAGGTGTGAGACCTCTGACATCAACCAGACAGATGCGATGCGGTTGTTGTCAGTGAAATCAACTGGAAACCCGTGATCCGGTTGATTTCACAATTTCGAGCACACAAAGCTCCTCATATCTCATTTCGGATCTTCCTGTGCAGCTTCTATGACAGGATTCAAGGGGTCTGCAGAACTCAATCAAGACATCGATAAAGCAAGGTTGTGCATAAGCGGTGTGCATATGGGATGCATAGGTATTGCCATAGCAACAGTCTAGGAGTAGTGCAGGAGGCAACAACTCAGGAGTATACAAGAAGTAACTCATCACAGTTCAGCATGTTTGGAGACAGTGATCAGATATATATATGCTCATATGGTCACACCCATTGATAGAAATGACAAGCATTCAAGAAGTCATATGCCTGTGAAAAGGAGCTTGCTAGTAGCTCAGGATAGCGTACCGTGCTTTGTAATCTTCAATTGGCGCGCTCGTCCTCTCCCTCTTTCTCGCCCGTGTCTTGAAATCGTGTGTAGCAATGTTAGGCCACGCAGGACCCTGGATCGTGGCTTCCGCTCAGCAACGGATCCGATTCTTGCTGCGCTTTTGGAGGCTTCGAAGCTTTTGGAAGTTCCACATAGGGCCTTGCATCCATCCGCAATCATCATCACCTACCACTATCCTTCTGGGCTCGTCACGCGACCGCATCGGCACTGATCGGTGCTCACTCACGAGGACGTACACAGGCGCTTGGCGTCACCATCGTTCCATAACCCTTGAAGGCTGGGTGCTCTAAAATCGAAAGCGATGGGATGCTGAGCGAGGCATTACTACCTTGAACATTCGCAATCATGGTGGTCATCGACTTTGACATGGCTGCCACAGGAGGCAACTCCGGCGCCACCTTCTCCGACTCTCCCTTCTTCTACGATCGATCCGAGGCCAACGGTTCAGGCCAAGCCATCTACAAAGATGCATCCCATATCCAGCCACACTCCAAAACTCGAGTCAGCTACTATCATCCTGCAGGTGTCGGTGACTTCCACTACGGCGAAAGACATCCGATGAAGCCAGCACGCCTCACTTTGACAAATCGTCTCGTCCTCGCATACGGTCTCCACAAGCATATGAGCGTCTTCACTCCCCGCGAGGCAACCAAGGAAGAGCTCGAAATGTTTCACGACAGCGACTATGTCGACTTCCTCGCCAACGTTACACCATCCACACCGCCATCAGCAGCATTCACCAAGTTCAACTTTGCCGACGATTGTCCTGTCTTTGACGGCATGTACGACTTCTGCAAAGCTTACTCTGGTGCTTCTCTTGCTGGTGCTCGTCGTCTAGCAGCTGGCGAGACTGACATTGCAATCAACTGGTCAGGAGGTCTTCATCACGCAAAGAAGTTCGAAGCTTCAGGATTCTGCTACGTCAACGACATTGTGCTGGGCATCATGGAGCTACTAAGATATCATCCGCGTGTGCTCTACATCGACATCGACATCCACCATGGCGATGGTGTTCAGGAGGCATTCTATAACTCGAATCGTGTTATGACCGTCTCGTTCCACAAGTACGGCAACGACTTCTTCCCATGCACCGGCAACATTGACGAGATCGGAACCGGACTGGGAAAGCACTTCTGTCTCAACGTTCCGTTGCAGGATGGAGTCGACGACTCCGGCTACGTCGCTCTCTTCAAAAGCGTCATGGAGCCAATTATCACGACTTTCCGACCTTCCTCCGTTGTTCTTCAATGCGGTGCTGACTCGCTTGGACTCGACCGTCTCGGATGTTTCAACCTCAGCATCGCCGCTCACGGAGAGTGTGTTCAGTTCATCAAGTCCTTCGGACTTCCACTGCTCGTGCTTGGAGGAGGCGGGTACACCATCCGCAACGTCGCAAGGTGTTGGGCTTATGAGACATCCGTCTTGACTGGCTGCTCGATTCCTGATACACTACCAAGCACACCGTACATGGAGTTCTTTGCCCCTACCTACCGACTGCATGAGCCGACACAGGCAGGAAGGGTGGAGAACCAGAACTCAAAGGCAAGTCTGGAGAAGATTCGAGTCCAGATTCTTGAACAGCTGCGCTATCTTCATGGAGCACCAAGTGTGCAGATGCACGAGCTTCCACCAGATTTGGCTGGGGCTTGGGTCGAGGAGGAGATCAAGACCTGACCGCCGCTGACAAATGGATTGCAACATTCATGATACCCCGGAAACAAACGATAGATTGCTCAAGTCATCCTCATCTCACCTTCTTGTACTTGTATGTTACCTTATTTCCCTGTACAGTCCTGTGCAGAAGTTTGAGGACAATCGGGTAATTTCCCGATTTAGCCGGTTACCCCGCATTTGGGTCATTGTCGTCATTGAGCAATAGCACTACCATCATACTAATCAAGAACACTTCAAACACCAATATGGTCTGTGGCAATGAGCTTGCTCCAATGAAGTGTGCTTCAATTGTTGCAATGCATGATACTGGGCTGCCAATTCAACAAATTGTGGAGCTAAGTGGTGTTTCCAAGACAGCAGTTCACAAGACCATCCATAACTTTAAGGAGTGTGGTTCCTTTGAAACAAAAGCATGATCTGGCCATCCATGCTCCTGGACAGTTACCTTGGGCCACTAACTTCAGTGTGAGGTACTCAAAAACCTGTTTCTATCATGGCAACAGCTGTCAGCATCACTTGGTGGCATTCCAATAATGCAGCTCTGGAAAGCAGCATACCAGGCTGGTATTAACCGCCAGATTGCGCTTCGAAAGCCGTTTCTGACAGCCAAAAACCGGCATAAATGTCTAGAATGGGCTGTCAGAGGTCGTGCACCTGAAACCCGAAATCTGTAGTAGAAAGACAATAACTACCAATCCTATCAAGATCTGTGGTAAAAGGCCTTTATTATTATTCTTGCTGAAATCTGTCATAGAAGCCTTCTATGACTTTTCTCACTCAAATATGTGGTTGCTTGAAAGTTATTGCAGGTTTTGACTAACCGCTGTGGACACTCTGTCCAGAGGTAGCTCAGCACGATCAGTAACTAATAGATACATTGTGATGACACCAAGGTCTGGTGCTGATGATGTTGCTTGTGCCAACACAAGTGTCCAGTGTGTCGACTGAATGATTGATGATCCCCAGACCACAGTGGACAACTGCCTTTGGTTCTATGATCAAGAGAGCCAGACCACAGTATGAACTGCCTTTGGTATCAATTGTGATCTGGACCACAGTATGAACCACCTTTAGATGTCATCAGGAAGCAGTGATACAACACATGTGCTATGTAGTTGCAATGCTCTGCAATTGCAACTGTTGACTGAACTACTAATGTATACTTATGTGAAGTTATAACTAGTAAGATATAGTGTAGAGTGGATGGAGATCCATGTCAGAGGTCACATGCCTGAAACCTGAGATCTGTAGTAGAACCACTTCTATTACAGATCCTGCTGATATATGTGATTGTATGTGATGTATTATGATTCTTGTTGAGTTATGCCATAGTAGTGTCCCTATGACTATACTTGCTCAAATCTGTGATTGGGCTTATGCTATTGCAGATTTCAACTGACCACTGTGGACACTCTGTCCAGAGGTAGCTTGGCACAATCAATAACAGTGTGAACTTGTACTGACACCAAAGGCTGGTGTGAATATGATTGCTGGTGACATCAACACAAGTGTCCAGTGTGTCAACTAAGTGCTGGAAGTGATCCCTGGACTGCAGTGGATGACTGCCTTCAGTTCTATCTTTATCCAGACTGCTGGTTGCTATGAACTGCCTTTGGACATCAGTGAGCAGTGATACAACACACATGCTGCAATGAGAGCAATCTACTTGATTGCAACTATGCTGACTGAAACTAATGTACTTGGTGTAGAAGTGATACTAGTTATTATGGTGTAGAGTGGATGGTGATCCACTCTCTTGCTAGGACAGAGAACATGGTTATATACCTTTCTTGTAATGTCACCCATGACACTGTTCACCCTCCTTGTCCCTCCTATGCTCCCCATCCACCTTATTATGCCACTCGTTGGCACTGCCTCCTTGTCTCCTCTGGATGGGTGGCCTCTGGCTGCTTCATCTCTGTCAGGGGCCATTCCCACCTCATCTGGGTGGCGACTCCCACCCTGCCATCCTTTCTTTGTCTTTGGTGCCCACCTTCGTTTGCTGGTTTCATCACTGTGGTGCCCCTGCCTCATCTGATGGTGTCCCCTCCTTGTTTGGTGACCTCCTCTCACTGTATTGGTGATGGGATGCCTCTCTGACTGATTCCCATGAGATCTGTCATACCCAGTGTGATATCGCGATTCCCACTGACTTCTGTAGTAATGATGTCATTCCTACTGATCCTGACGAGTGTCATGGGCCTGACTGCGCAGGAAGCAGGAAGACCTGACAGTTCATATGAAGGTAGCACAGGAATCGAGGGATTGGGTAGATTGGTGGATTTACAGAAGAATTCAGTGAGATCAGTAGTAGACATGGTTCTATGACAGATCTCATTGGGATCTGCATGAACAAAGTCGATATCACAGATCCCACCAGAATCTGCAGTAAGTACAATAGTATGGCAGATTTCGCAGAGATCAGTGACAACAACGTTCATATGACGATTTCACATGCGAGAGGGACTACACTCGCAAGCGAGGAGGATCAAGCTCGCAAGCGAGGAGGATCGAGCACTGCCAAGACAGGGACCGAGCTCATGAAGCGTGCAGATGGTTGTCATAGGGACAGCTGGCCTGCGCAAGAGAGTGCGCCAAATGATCAGCGGCAGTTATGATAATGTTGTGTAACGGAGCAGTATATGAAGGGTGTGCAGAAGATCAACATATGAAGGGTGTGCCAGATTGATCAGAGTCGACAACCATCAGGGATCAATGAGATTAATTGGGTTGGCAGCACACATGATTTACAAGATCGATCGAACCCCAGGAATCCAGATCAATCTCATGGGAATGGTCAGAGTCAGCCAGACCAGTATGCTTCAACGAGTCGGCCGATCTGAACAAGTACTCGGAGCTATGCCAATGACAGAGGCAGTCGGATCAGCACACCTCAACTAATCGGCTGATCCAAACAGGTATTCGGAGCTGTGCCGATGTTGGAATCAGTCAGATCAGCATGCTTCAACTAGTCGGCCGATCTGAGCAAGTATTCGGAGCTGTGCCGACATTGGAGTCAGTTGAATCAGCATGCTTCAACTAGTCGGCTGATCTGAACAAGTCGAGATGGAACTGAGCTGACATGACCACATAACCAGGGGGTATGGTCATGAGGTTCAAAAGGGGATTCACAAGATTAAGACAAAAGGGGGCCATGCCGAAAGGGGGCATCACACATCAGACAGAAGGAGGGCATGAAGGCGAGAGGGCAGTGTTGCATAACCCTTATGCTGAGCAAAACAGTAGGAGCACAGTATCAAAGGGGATGATGCCAGCAGGGCAAGGCAGTGCCTAACAGGGGACAAAGGCCCCTCAAGAGGAGCAGGATAGGTGTCGAGGGAAAACACTGATCGAACATATAAATACTCTCTTTCTACCATAGCATTCGAGTGGACTGGCATCCACTCTGAAAACTCTACTACTTACTCTATACTTACTAGGTTATGTATCTTTGCAATAGCAGTGCTCTTGCAACAACTCTCAACATGTGTGTTGTATCACCATTAGTCAACAACTGTAGGTGGTGTTCCTTACACTAGCGGTCCAGTTCATTACTGTAGGCGGTGTTCTTTACACTAGCGGTCCAGTTCATTACTGTAGGCAGTGTTCTTCACACTAGCAGTCCAGTTCCTTGCTGTAGGCGGTGTTGCTTGACACCAGCAGTCCAGTCGGTTATTGTAGGTGGTGTTTCACACCAGCAGTCCAGTAACTCACGTCCTCTGTAGGCGATTGGCATATCGCGGTCCAGATGACGTCCAAGAGCATATCAACAGTACTATGAACATTCATACTGTAGGGGAGGGTGTATCATGCACTCACCAACAAACAACATCTGTGCCACGCAACCTCTGAACAGAGTGTTCAAGGTGGTCAGTCGAGACTTACTAGGCAACAATGCTTGGTTATGTTTAGGCGAATCATATCGAGTAGTCCTTACTCAATCAACCCCAGCTAGCCTCTGGCGCGCGACCGCTTACAATGGTTACCATTCAGGGGGTCAGGAGATAAGCAGACAAGAGAACTGTCACTGGTTGAAGGAAGAGGAGCTGTGTGATGGGCACTGGCAAACAGGTCATGAGGAGGAAGAGCAGTGTTGATGGAGTCAACACAGCTCAGGAAGGACAGGAGTGACAAGGCTCAATGTGGAGGAGGAGTCTCAGTGGAGACTCTTGTACAGTACTCAGCAGTGAGGGTACTCTCTGGAGAGAGAGCAGGAGCAGTGTTGCTGGTGATGCTGTGAAGAGGTATATAACTATACCTTCTCATCACAAATGGTCAAGTGGATCCCCATCCACTCTACACCATATAAATAGTATTACTTCAGAAGCATAAGTACTCATTAGTTTCAGTCAGCATAGTCACAATCAAATAGATTGCCTCTCATTGTAGCATGTGTGTTGTATCACCACTCACTGATGTCCAAAGGTGGTTCATAGTAAACCAGCAGTCTGGATTAGATAGAACTGAAGGCAGTTGTCCACTGCAGTCTGGGGATCACCTCAAGCAATAGTCGACACACTGGACACTTGTGTCGATGCCACCAAGTATCATACTCACACCAGACCTTTGGTGTCATCATCAAGTTCACCCAACATTGTATCATTATTGATTGTGCCAAGCTACCTCTGGATGGAGTGTCCACAGCAGTTAGTCGAAATCTGCAATAGCATTACCACAACTACAGATTCAAACGAGAAAAGTGATAGAGACGGCTCTATCACATATTTCACTAAGAATCGAAATACCACTAGCATTGTCACATAACTCGACAGGATCTGTGATAGTATCGACACTACCACAGATTTCAGGTTTCAGGCACACGACCGCTGACAACGAGTTATGCCCTAGAGTCGCTTCTACTACTGATCTCAGCGAACTCTTCTTTAAGCTCTCACTTAGCCCGATCCTGTGATTTCTGTGCTCCTTCATATGACTTCACTTCTTCCCGCCTCCTGCGCATCTGGCCCCATGACAATCCACTCAACCACTATGACAAAGAGCAAGTGTCACAGGGTCGGCGCAGGAAGTGTGTGCAGAATGATCTAAAGCGAGCATCGGGTGTCGACAATCTGATCGGGATAGCAGTGCATATGATTTATGGATTCAACCAAGAACTGGGATTTTGAGTAATCTCGCTAGGATCGATCAGAACAAGCCTACTGTCAGAGGTCACGTGCCCAAAACCTGATATCTGTAATAGAAATGAGTCTATTACAAATCCTGTCAAGATATGTGACAACACTTGTGGTATTATGATTCTTGTCAAGATATGTAGTAGAGATGTCTCTATTACTTTTCTCACTTGAATATGCTGTAATGGGTTTGCTATTGCAGGTTTCAACTGACCACTGTGGACACTCTGTCCAGAGGTAGCTCAGCATGATCAATAACATTGAATGTATTGCAAGACACCAAGGTCTGGTGTGATTGAGATGGTTGATGTCATTGACACAAGTGTCCAGTGTGTCAACTGAATGCTTGAGGTGATCCCTGGACCCCAATGGATGACTGCCTTCAGTTCTATCTTGAATCTGGACCACTGGTTTGCTATGAACCACCTTTGGACATCAGTGAGCAGTGATACAACACATGTGCTACAATGGAAGCAATCTACTTGATTGCAACTATGCTGACTGAAACTAATGTATACTTATGCTGAAGTGATAACTAGTTATGTATGGTGTAGAGTGGATGGCCATCCACTCCCTTGCTATGATGGGGGGCATGGTTATATACCTGTCTTGCAGTGTCACCTGTGATACTGCTCCCTCTCCTCATGCCTCCTTTGCTCTCCATCCACCTTGTGATGCTACTCATCGGCACCTCCTCCCTTGTCTCCTGTGGGTGGATGGGCCCCTCACTGTCTCATCTCCATCAGGGGCTAGTCCCACTTCATCTGAATGACAATGCATGCTCCTACTTATCTTGCCCACTGGTCTCCCTTAGGTTCATTGTCCAGTCAGACCCCTCCTTCATCTGGTGGCAACCTCTCCTAGTTCATTGTCATCCTCTTGCCCTATCAGCGATAGAGGCCTCTCCTGAACCGATTCCTGTGAGATCTTATGTTGCAAGCATGATATTACTAGTCCTACCTACCCTCATAGGAGAACCCATGTGTCAGGGGTCTCGCGCCTGAAACCCAGGTCGGTCTGTCGAGATACTCGGTGACTATCAAGTTGTGCAACAGCTATTGTCTCAGTATCGGTCTCGATGAGCTATGTTGCTCAGCAACTATCAAGTTGCATGATGACAGCAGGTGGCATTTGTTGTATATACTATCATAGGTTTCAGCTGACCTCTGTGGACACTCCGTTCAGGGGTAGCTCAGCATGATCAATATCAATATGTAGGTTATGATGACACTAAGGTCTGGTGTGAGTGTTGATGATGATGAGGTTGATGGTGTTGGTGATAAGGTTGGTGGCATTGGTGGTAATTTGGTGGCATCAACATGAGTGTCCAGTGTGCTGACTAATGCTTGAAGTGATCCCCAGACTGCAGTGGACTACTGCCTTTGGTTCTATCTATATCCGGACTGCTGACCTGCTATGGGTCACCTTCAGATGTCAGGTAGTGGTGATACAACACATGCACTACAATGAGGAGCAACCTTGATAGATTGCTGCTATGCTGACTGAAACTAATGTATACTTATGCTGAAGTGATAACTAGTTATGGTGTGTGTAGAGTGGATGAGGATCCACTTGACCTTTGATGATGAGAAAGTATGGTTATATACCTCTTCACAGCATCGCCAGCGACACTGCTCCTGCTCTCTCTCCAGAGAGTACCTTCTTCATCGAGTGCTGTTCAGGGGGCCTCTCTAGCACCACTCCTGTCCTCCTTGAGCTATCCTGCTTGCTTGGCACCCCTGTGCCTCTTGAGCTGTGTCAACTCCTTCGACACTGCTCCTCCTTCTTGCTATCCTGCTTGCTTGGCACCCCTGTGCCTCCTGAGTGGTGTTGACTCCTTCGACACTGCTCCTCCTCCTCAGAACCTGCTTGCTGGTTTCCTATACACTGCTCCTTCTCCTTTGACCAGTGACAGTTCCTTTGACTCTTGTCTCTCGAGCCCCTGAGTGGTAACCATCTGCATGCTCCTTGAGCTTGGTCCTCTTCATGGCTGTGCCTGGTCCTCCTCACATATGGGCCCAGTCCTCCTTTGCATGTGAGTCCATAGGAGTCCATGGTCTCCATGGAGACTGCACTACGACCATGCTCTCTACTGGTATTGACTAGATCTCCGATACCTGTGCTCCTTCCATATGAACCAGTGACCCTCCTGCTTCTTGAGCATCCAGGCCCATGACAACACTTATGAGAGATCACTCCTCCAAGCAGATGGAAGGTATGCTATCGAATGGTTGATTTATTGTCTATTGGACCCTGTCCCCAAACTTTGGGCAGGGACTGTACACTATCCATCACAACTTCTTAATGTAGAACAGCAATTCTTCTGCACACACCATCTAGTCCTGTAAGGAATGCGGTTTGGAAGCGAAACAATGAATGTGATTGCCTTCTGTGAACAACAAAACTAAGCCGAAGGCTGAGCCCAATCAGTTTGATCCTGCACATTCTCTCCACCAGCATTGAATGCAATGCGCAACCTCAGCCTGACAGGAGCGTTGTTAGGAACCATAACTCTCAATGCTTGTGTCTCTGTAGCTCCGGGTGCGACGTCTGAGTTGGAGATTGCCTGCATCTGCAACTTGTGTGTCTTTGGGACAGCTGCTTGGAAGTTGACGTTGGAGACGGGGGATGTTGTGGTGAAGCGAGCTGTGATGTTGACGATTTCGGGTCGAGCAGGGTTGGTTGTCGGGGTGAAGGTGATTTTGAGACCATGCTTATCGTAGACTGTGTGGGCTTTGGCGGAGGCTGGTTGCGTTGGAGCAGCAGCGGCAGCTGGAGTGGAAGCAGGTGCTGGAGTGGGAGCGGAGGTGGAGCTGGTGTCGAGTCCTCCGAGGAGGTCAAGGCCGCCATATGAGGAGGGTGTAGCTTGGGCGGCAGGTGCCGGAGCTGCTGCTGATGTGCTGCCACGGTCGCCGAACAAACCGAGAATGTCGTTGACAGAGCTCTTTGGCTTCTGTCCTGCAGTGGCTCCGCCGGCAGCAGGAGCCGCCGCTGGAGCACCACCCATGTCGCTACCACCAAAGATGTCCGCCAACAGATCGTGCGTAGTCTGCTGTGTTCCAGCACCGGCACCGCTCGACGCTGCAACGCCTCCGCTGGACACCGGCATCTCGTCACCCATCAAATCCAACAATGCATCCTTGTCTGACCTTGTCGAGCCAACCGGCTTGGCCTCACTGACAGTGCCCAATACGGTCTGTCTGATCTCGGGAGGGGGCATGCTCTCCAATACACCTTCTCGGATATTGCTCCTGCTGAGCAAGCTGGCGAACTCGACACTGCGCTGCTGAATCTCCACCTCGACACTGCTCTCGTAGCTGCCAATGATCTGTTCGATGCGCGACTGCTCGGTCGAATCTGAAAGTCGAGTGTGCAGCTTTGCGAGAGAAGTCAGGACGAATTGACGAATCAAGCCGTTGACGTACGGACTGTCAAGCACGGAGGACAGCAAATCAACGACATCCTTTGACTGGACTTCTCGCACCAACTCCTCGTCCTCAAAGTTGCCGCCCTGAATCAAGACATCGCCAAACTCGCCGATTACCCAGACCGAAGCAAGAGTGAGCGATTCTTGTGAGAAGTCCTGATGAAGAGCTAAGAACAGCTTCTGCACCGTGTAGGCCTGCAATTCCGGTGTGTGGCAGACCAGACGGATGAAAGCAGAGAGGATCTCCTCACGAACGTAGTTGCCGGCAAGCTTCAGGACGCGTAGGACAGTGTCGATATGCCACCGCTTGTTAGGAGCAAACTTCTCGGCTGCAAGGCAAATTTGGGTAGTCATGCCAAGCTTGAACTCGTTGTCGGCGACTTCGAGGAAAGACAGCAGCTCTCGAGTGAGAACTCGAACATTGCTCTCGTTGATGAGCGCATAGCTGAGCTCGAGCGCTCTTCGTCGGATCGAGATATCTCCGTCACGGAGACAGTCGAGAATGATGTTGCGGTGACGCTGAACAGCGTTGGTGTCCATGGACACGACCTTACTGAGGGTGTTGAGAGCAACGTATCGAATGTTGTTGTCTCGGTTGCTCAAGAACTTGCCCAGAATGTTGATTGCCATAACCCTGAGACCGTTGTCAGCGTTGATTTCGAGGATAGTGAGGACCGTCTCGTAGAGGATACTGTTGCCGACGTTTTTGCTTGCTTCGGTGTTGGTAGCGACCTGAGCGAGAATGTCGTTCATGGTTTCGGAAGCCTGTGCGTTCTCCTTGCCGAGGATACGCAGTAGTCGTAAGATCTTGACTTGCAGAAATGGATCGGTGATGCCGGACACATCGTGCTCGGGCGAATAGCCAGTAGTGACGAGCGACTTGAGGTGCTGAACTAGGAGCGGCACAGCCCGCCTGTAGTCTTGCAATGCTTCGGCATCCTGACGACAGATCTCGATGGCCAAGGTCACAGCGCAAAGCAGAACACCATGGTTCTTGTCCGACAACAGCTGCTTGGTGCGGTCGACAAAGTGATCGATCAGATCCGGTACCTTGCGTACAATTCGCATGGCACAGATAGCGGCCTTGCGACGGATGTAGGTATTGCTGCTGCCCATGAGCTTCTCGATTTCGTTACAGAGATCTCGTGACATTTCTTCGGATGCGATGTTGGCAAAGGTGCAGAGTGCCAGCCCGCAGACGTACATGTTGGAGTGCTCCATATCATTCTTCAAGCCATTGGTGACGAGGGTCAAGACTTCGGTATTCTCGTCGAGCAAAAGCATGATGCCCAAGTAGCCGAGACGTTTGTCGGTGAATCGCGGTGTAGCTACGAGCTTGAGACATTCGATCTGGCCGAAGTGGGCTGGGTAGCCCAGCATGTGAATGTAGAGCAACTTGGCGATATTGTTGTGGCGAGCGAAGGGATCCTCATCCTTGAAAGCTGTTCGAATGGAGGCCGACTCTTTCTGGATTAGCGATCGCTCGTCTGCCAAGGTCTTGCACGATCGAATGGCCTTGATGAGTGCTTTCAGATTGTAGAGACCAGCACTGGCCATCAGGCCTCCGAGGCGTGGATCGAGCGCAGCTACCTGCTGCTGTTTCTGGAAGAAGGTAGACATGGTGGTCCAGCTTCGTCAGGGTATGGTGGATGAATAGACTGAACCAAAGCCAGAGGCACGTTCACGTCAGAGCAGGGTGTGATACTCCGATATGCAGACAGTCAAGCTGTTCCCGTACAGTCGATGAGTGATGAGGAGAAGATCCGAGCCGTAGAAGTGTGTGCTGAGAGTCGAAGACAGGAAGCTGTGCTAACGGGACAGGAGCGACAAGATGACAGCAACACCGCACGCGTTTTGTTCGACCTGCAGCCGCCTCGGTCTCAGCCTTCCTAACGGCTCGCTCGAATTTCCTGAGTTGGTCAGAGCGTCATTTTAACACACGGGCTCATCATCTCCACCATCTCATTGCCGACGAATTGTTCCTGTCCGGATCAACCCGTTCGTTACATTCGTCAGATTGTGCTGCTGGTCCCAGCAGCAAGAAGATGGTCACCTCATTAGGGCTATAGCGGTTTGTCATGACGAGCAAAATCTATTATTAAAAGGGCAAAAAAAGATGCAGCCTGGAGGAATCGAACATCCGTCTGCTCGGTTAATCAAAGCAAGAAATCTTCTCCACAACGAGCTGTACTAACCACTATACTAAGGCTGCAAGCTTAGCGAGTTAAGCGATTGTTGCAAATATGAATGATTATTTTGTATTCGAGTAATATATATAAGCGTCGACGCTGCCAGTAATGCTGGCTGGTACAAGCTCACGTCAGGGCTCACTAAGACTGCATCGCAAGCGGTCGAAGGACGCATTCCTACCGCCATACATCCGCCTGCAAAACAGTCATTTGCGCATGACTGGCTATCGGTTGTCTTCTCGCCACGAACCCTTGGGTGTTCGATGCAGTCTTGCTCAGACTGGAGACCTTGACAGAAGTGGTGATATTGTTCTCGATTGAAGTCATGGAAATTCGCAGACGGAGCTTCTCCTCTCTGATAGATCCTGATGAGATAAAAGAGGCTAATAGTACAGGTTTTGAGTGAACGAGGCAGTAGCTAAAAGTACATGTTTGAAGTCTGTGGGCCATGTGCCTTTTTGAAAGAAGAGTCAGAAATAGCGGATGTCGTCACGCTAGTATCTTTGTCGAAGCAGGTGGACGAGCGTCTTACCACTTATCACCGCTGCTGTCGTGACCGAAACTACCCTCACGAGCGTCACGTCCGCTTCCCCAGCTGCTACCGCCACGTCCTCCGCTGGAACGAGAACCGCCTCGACCGTCTCGGCTGTCTCGTGCACTGCGGAAGTCGCTTCTGTCGCGTTCGCCACCACGGCTGTTGCTGTCCTTGCTGAAACGTCCACGACCGAAAGAGCGAGCGCCGTTGCGTTCACCACGTCCACCAATGTTGACAAAATCACGACGGGGCGAACCGCTTCCACCGCGCACATCTCTGGACGAGATACCGAGCTTCTGCATGTATTGCTCGCTCATGTGAGGGGGTCGTTCGAGGCGGCCAGCTTCGACGGTCCACTGCTTGAGACCCTCGACCATCTGCATCTTGCTGGTGCGGAGCTCGTCGCCCTTACCGACGTAGAAACCAAGCAGTGAGCCGAAGACTTCACGAACACCTTCCTCCTCGTCCAACGAATTGAGCGAGTCTTCGATGAGAGGAGCAAGAGTTTCGGTGCTGTATTTGCCGGAGAGGGGTCCTTGAAGCTTAGCGGGAGCCTTGACGTTGCCAGCATCCCTGTCTCGTCCCTTTTTCGGCCCACCCTTCTGTGCTTGCTGAATTTTGGTCTTGGCCGCGTCAACAAGCTCCTGTGGAACGGCAAACTCCTCCGGTGCTTCGTCAAAGCGCTGCGAGAGTGTCTCGACTTCCTGAACAAGGTCCTCAACGTGGAGTTGAGTAATGGGAAGATCGTCAAGCTGGTAGTGCAGGAAGCCACGTTCGAAGTTCAGCAGCACAATATCGGATCGACCCTTGGCACCGGCACGACCTGTTCGGCCGATTCGGTGAATGTATTGGTCCTTGTTGCTGGGAATACCAATCTGAATGACGCGGGTGGTACCAGGATAGTCAACACCACGAGCGCTGACGTCACTAGTGACAAGTACACTGGCGCCACTTTGATCCTTGCGGAAGCGGTCGCTGGTGTTGAATCGAGAACGCTGATCCTTCTTGCTGTGGATCTCATAGATGCTGGAACCAGATCCGGCCGGAAGATGACGTTGTGTCTGGCGGATGACATCGGCGAAGAGCTCGGTCATCTTGGTGGTGGGTGCGAAGACAATGGTCTTGGACTTGCCGGGGTTGATGAGCTGGTCGTGTGCAATCAGACGCAAAACGTGTGGGATCTGCTCTTCAGCCGACTCAAGAACGGTGGCGTACTGTGGAATGTGCTTGTGGACGTTCTCCTCGCCTGCAGGAACACAGTCGATGAAGCGGTGGTCCTTCTGCAAGCTGGCGCGGGCGATGGCACGAATCTCAGGGCTGACAGTGGCACTGAATAGCATGTTCTGACGATCAACCTTGGCGGGCAGGTGACTCATGACGGCTTGTAGTTCGTCACGGAAACCCATCTCGAGCAAGGTATCGGCCTCGTCGAGGATGAGAGTGCGGCATGCAGTCATGGCCTCGCGCATCATTCCGACGTCGTTGAGCAGGTCGATGATTCGTCCAGGGGTGGCAACGACGACATCGGGCCTTGATCGCCTCCAGTCGTTGATCTGGAAGTTTCGGCTTGCACCTCCGACGAGGAGCTGGACCTTGAAATCCGGAAGGTGGGTCAGCAGCTTTTTGGCCTCCTCAGCGATCTGAGTAGCAAGCTCTCGTGTGGGTGAGAGGATGAGGATGCCGACTGTGTTGTTGACAAACTGCTTGACAATGTCCTCCAGCTCATTCTTCTTGAGGGATGCGACATCCAAGCCAGGCCTGTGTCTTTGAAGCATGTCAAGCCAAGGCTTTGGGAACTTGCCGTTACGTACGTCCTCGATGGATCGAAGACGGGCTTCGAGGGCGGGCACAAGGAAAGCAATGGTCTTGCCGGTTCCTGTCTTGGCCTTGACAAGCATGTCTCTGCCCTGTCCGTCAGGCATGGGGGCGGCGTGCTCCCCAACTCCACTGGCAACTTCGGGCAGAAGGTGGAGTACACTCTGCTGGACGGCTGACATGTTGGTGTAGGCGAAAGGCTTGACGGTCAAAGCTTTGAGTAGTGCTGGGTTAATGGCGCCCTTCAATGATGCGAAGGTCTCATCCTTGACCCGCGACGAGCTGAAGTCACGCTCGTTCTTGCTTGTGGTGATAATGTCAGCCTCATACTCGGGCACATCAGCGGTTACTGCTGCGGCGGCGGCGGCGGCGGCGGCAGCGGGTTCCGCCGACTCGGTTGAGTGAGAAAGACTGCGGATGGCATTTGCGATGCTTGAGGCCGATTCCAGACGTGCGAGCCTGCTATGCTGCACTGACGCGAGGCCGTAACGCAGCGATAGAGATGCAGCAGATGGAGTGAGTTGGGCTCGAATGATGGTCCTGGCGGTCAACGTCGAGAGTTGACGAGCAGCAGCCATCGGACGAGCGAGCCCAAGTGGGCAAGCTAGTTTTGTGTACAGCATTGGGCTGATGTGTGAAAGAGCGGCAAGCGTCTCTTACTGTATACAAGTCGAGATGCTTGTAAGGATATCAAAGGGTGACTGTTGCTTGATCGTGGTGGAAGGGTGAGTTCGGCTGACTCGAAAGCCTTTAAATACAACAATTCGGCCGATCGACAGCGGGCAAGGATGGCCAACTACTGCTGAGCCTTGTTCTTCTGCCTGTTCCAAATGCTCCTGTTGAGCTCAGAAGTTTCTCAAAAATTTTCTCAGAGCTGCAGGGTCGGGTCTTTTCGCTGGCGAACCCTCAATTTATTTTTTTGACAAATTTTTCACCTCGAACGCTGACCAATGGCGAAAGTCGGGAAAGGGACCTCCACGCCCCGATCTGTCGATTTGAGCTTTCTTCGCGGAATCACAGCTGCGAATAGAGCACGATCGTGTATGAGCGGAGAACAACAGAGCGCGTGAAGACCAACACTTGCTTCCGCACTGAGCGTTGCACCACTTCTCTTCCTGTACGACCACACGCACATCCTTCTACTGTATTTGTAGACCGTCAAGAAGCTCAAAAGGCCCTTGCAGTCCGGAGGAGCAGCAGAGCAGATCAGTATGGCGGCGACAGCCAAAGTGCCGGGAGCCGGAAAGGACATGACGACCCGAGAGCTACAGCCGTCCAAGTCGCTATTCTATCTCACTTTGATAGGAGCTATGCTGTTCCGACTCGGACTCTTCCTTTACACTGATGCCTTCGAGCTCTTGCAAGATCGACCGGAGCTGACTTCGCCGTTCAGCAGCTTCAAGTCGCTTGTTGAGACGCACTACCTCTTCCGACACCCGCCAACACCCGTCTCGACCTTATCTCCGCATTACATCCCTGATCCTTACTCAGCAGGTACGATCCACCACTCGCCGCTACTTCTTCCGATCCTCCATCATGCGCTCGAGCGCCTTTACTCGGTTGGGGATGAATTGCCGATCGCACTCGTGTGGATAGCGGCAGACGCGATTGCAGGGTGGCTTCTCTTCCGCATCTGCCTTTCCCGCGAATCGGCTGCATGGGCCAAGAAGACACATCTTTTCATCTGGGATCAGAGCAGAGCCGTCAAGGTTGCCGCTATCTATCTTTTCAACCCTTTCACCATCGCTACCTGTGCTGCTAGAAGCTCCACCTCTCTCGAAGTGGCTGCTTTGCTCGCTGCAGTCGACGCGGCCATGTCAGGTATGTTCTTTCCGCGACCGGCTCGACCGTTGGGACAGCGTACAATGCACGATCAAATGCCAACTTACTGACCCGGCAATCATTTCGCCAATCTTCTCCTTTCCACCGCTGCCAGGCTCCGCAACCAAGCTCGCACCGTGTTGGGCGGCGTCGTCGCTGCTATCATTGTACCCTGCGTTGCTCTTTCCTATGCTGGTGCAGCTCTGTCGCAAAAGAGCAGGGGAGCTCATCTACGAACGCGAAATTGCTCGCGTTGGCAAGAATGCCTTGACAACAGATGCAAAGACTGCACGACAACTTGGATTCTTGGTCGATCGAGTTCGATCTGCCAAGGTGGGTGTCCTCTTCCCGACCAGAGTGCAGCAGGCAATCCGCATGCACTTCTAGTACTGACATACAATATCCCTTTTCGCGAATTGATCATTATGCAGAGCCGCACGATCCTCAAAGGCCTTGTTCTCATGCCAACAGCACTTGCTGGTGGTTTCTGGATCTCACGCGCCATTGCACTCAGTCCAGGCAGCGCTTCGATCGGCTCGCTCTTGCTCAACCTACCCAACGTACTCTCCATACCGCTCGACAGCGGCTGGGCATGGGCAGAACAAGTTTACGGCCTGATGCTCTTTGCGACCGATCTCACACCCAACTTGGGTTTGTGGTGGTACTTTTTCATGGAGATCTTTGATCATTTCCGTGACTTTTTCCTCCTCACCTTCAACGTCCATCTGGCCTGCTACGTGTTGCCCTTTTCGATCAAGTATCGACAAGACCCTTTATTTGGCCTCACGTTGATGAGCGGTGTGATCGCCGTCTTCAAAAGTTATCCCACGGTGGGAGACCATGCCGTCTTCCTTGGGCTGCTTAGCCTACATAGCCAGATCTTCGAATGTGAGTTTCCAGGGTACCATTATGGGACTTGCATGAAGCGTGAGCCGCATGCTGACCTTCTCCCCGACTTGCTCAACCTCCACAGATCTACGATACCCGCTGGTGACGGTGCTGACGTACGCCTACTGCATGTGCCTGGCCCCTGCCTTCCATCATATCTGGCTTGAGGCTGGTTCAGCCAACTCCAACTTCTTCTACGCCATTACGTTGGTGTGGGGTTTGGGTGGAGGCATGTTGGTGCTTGATGCCATGTGGGCATGGGGACGCGAGCGCTGGGAAAGCGAAAGAACGCCCATCCGTTTACGCGCCCAGCAGCGAGAGATGGTCGTTGATGCTGACGTCTCGGTCGAGACCATAACGTCCGACGCGGACGTGTCTGCAGAGAGGGTATCGGCAGAGAACGACAAGCCAAGAAGACGAGTCGTTGTACAAGTATGAATGTAATGCATAAAGCAAGTCCCAACGCCTCCGCTGGTATAGATTTAGTCTGAGTTCGATGGCTGCTTGTCTGCATTGAGTGGTTGCTTCACGCTCATGACACGTCTTGCTTTGTCACCTTACTTGCTGGGACACCATGTGTTGATTTTGCATCGCCGTGATAGTAGATGCGGTTGGCCACATCTTCGACTGTCCAATCGAGACCATGAACAAGATTGTCACCCGTGTAAGCGCTGCACGGCTGGATTCTCCAGCTGTGCGTGGATACTTGATCGAGCTCAAGGTGGTTCTTGATCTGCTCCGCTGAGAGAGCTCCGGGCAAGTCCTGCTTGTTAGCAAAGATCAGGATGGTCGCACCATGGAGTCTTTCCTCCTCGAGCAACTTGTCAAGCTCTTCCTTACAGTCGGTCAGTCGGGCTGTGTCGGAGGAGTCAACGACCCAAATGATAGCATCGGTCTTTTCGAAGTAGTTCTTCCAGTACGGACGAAGGCTTTTTTGACCTCCGATATCCCACACGTTGAGGTGATAGCCTTGATATTGGAAGGTCTGGATAGCGAAGCCCAAGGTGGGTGAGATGGCTTCGATCTCGGATTGTGGTTGGTTCTGGAGCTTCTTGAGGATCGTAGTCTTGCCAGCGTTATCCAGACCGAGGAAAAGGAAGCGGAATTCGTGCGACCGCAGCTTGGTCTTACGTATGATGGTCAGCAGACCCATCGTTGCCCTTCTTTTGCCCCCAGAGCGGTCTGAAGAGCTTCGTGCGTGGTCGGATAGAGGCAAGCTGGAGTATGAGAAGATTGATGCACAGATTCTCCATTCCAAACTGGAAAGTACAGAGAGTATCACCAAGAGCGACAGAAAAACATTTCCGCGAAACTTCAAAAAACAAAACAAAAAAGTGTGCAATGCAGCGATCTCACATCTTGAAAACGATCCACATCCTGCTGGAGATTGCGATCCAGTGCGACGCTAAAGGATGACGCGGGGCCGATCAGATCGGAGATCAGGCAGAGCCGATCTGGTTAGATGACCGATCTGATCAGAGATCGGGTGCAACACAGTCCCGCTCGTTGTCATGGTAGATCACTAAGTAGGAGTACTCCCACCTTCGGCATGTGCCGCACACATGTATATATATCTCACAGAGAGCACTAGGCTCTCGCCACATTCCCTCAGTCAATTGAGTATATGTTTCTGCCTTAACGGAGTAGTGACATCGTACTTAGACTCTCCCCGATCGCCAGCTATCGGGACCCAAAACGTCTTTACTTTCTACACATCCTGCTGGTTGAATTGCGGCAAGGAAAACCTTTTCGATTGCGAAGGGTCCATCAAGAGAACGCAAAAAGTTTGATACCCACCTTAAGGGCTTTTTGTCTGGGAACAGTCGAAGAGACGGCCATTTCCAATCGTTCATGCAGAGGTGCCTGAATCAGAACAGCGGAAACGCGCCGACGATAACTTAACAAACGGTCTGTCGATCAAGCATCATGTCTCGTTCCTACTGAGCCGAGGCCGCGGCATGCAGCTTCTCTGCTTTGTTGTTCTTTCGCTTTTGCTTGTGCGAGGCTGCACACCAATCTGTCTACTGATCAGGGTTTCACTTTCGTCTCCGGTGCAGTATCTGCTCTTATAGTTAGTACCAAACCTCGAATCAGTCGAACTGGCGCGGCTGGTGGAAGGCTGTAAACGGCTTTTTGATGTGCGAAGTACAGAAGCGAACTCGGCTGTGCTTTCCAACTCACTCGTTACTCTGCTGTCAGTGTGTTCCGAATGATAACTACTCGAGTGTCCCATTGGAACTTTTGGAAGCCTCATTCCTCTCCACTTGGCAAGACTTTGTTCTGTTGTTCATCGCTGCTCTACACCCCCAATCCCCCGTTCTCCTTTCATGCTCGACCACGCCATGCAGTCGCAACTGTCATAAAGACTCCCTTCTACCTTTCGAGCACCCAGCTGTTTTGGCGCGATCGCCGTCTTCGAACCATCCATAGATTCGACCGGCCGACATCCTTCCCGCACGCTTCGCCTTGCGATCATGCTTACTTCCACATTGCGAACATTCGCAACACTGGTAGCTTTGGCGCAGGCTTTGCCGACTTCTCTGGCACAGATAACTCCGACGCAAGTCTACAATCCACTCGAAGCTTCGAATGGTGCAGTCTCACAACAATCCAACCTGACCAACGACGTTAACCCTCAATACGCCGACCTTCTTGGAAACGCCCTATGGTTCTACGAGGCACAAAGAAGTGGTGTCCTGCCCGCTGACAGCCGCGTATCATGGAGGAACAGCAGCTGCGAGAATGACGGAACTCTGAATGGCACCGATCTTTCCGGTGGTTACTACGATGCAGGTGACTATATCAAGGCCACCTATCCCTTCTGCTGGACCTTGACATCGATGGCATGGAGTGCGCTGAGTTTCGGTTCAGCGTACGCCAAAAGTGGTCAGGATGCTTACCTCGATTCGACGCTTCGCTGGGGGCTCGATTGGCTTTCGAAGGCGCATTCAGATTCCAACACGTTGTGGGTCCTCGTAGGTAACCCAGGCACCGATGACCAGTACTGGGGCGGAGACCTCAACATTCCTGGGCCTCGCCCATCCTTCAGCGTCACACGGCAAAACCCAGGCACCGACGCTTTCGCTTCATGTGCGGCCGCATTTGCTGCATCGGCCTATCTCTACGGCGAGCGTGGCGCATCCCTTCCAACCAGTACAAGTGGCGCTCAGCTCGGCGGTGTACCCAGCATTCGCAACCGTACATATGCCGATGGCCTGATGCGTCATGCGGAAGGACTCTGGGACTTGGCAATCAGCAGCTCGCCCAAGCAGGTCTACCAGGTCGCATCGCCAATCGCTGGGCAGAGCTACCCTTCCAGCGACTACGAGGACGACATTGCGTTCGCAGGCATGTGGATGACGCTAGCCAAGGCCGACCCCAGCTATGTCAACCAGGGCCTAACATACTATCCTAACGGCACTAATCCTTACGCCAGCATCAACGCTGCACTCAATTGGGATCGCAAGACTGCGGCGCTTCCCGTGCTTGCTGCACAGATGACACAGCACAACGCCTCTTTCGGTCTTAACATGGCACGCTTCCAGAACGACGCTGAGCAGTACTTTGACCATCTGACATCAGGCAAGATGACCTACGTTAGTCAGACCAAGGGCGGTCTCTACTACTGGCAAGGCGACAGCGATGCTGCCAGTCTCAACCCTGCATTGAACGCCGCCTTCATTGCTGACATCTACTCAGGCTTTGCGACATCTTCCGACAAGACCAACGCTTACCGTTTCCTCGCTGACTCGCAGGTTGACTACTTGCTCGGAGACAACAGCTACAATGGCCCGTTCATCGTCGGTCAGCACTCCAACAGCCCTCAGAATCCGCACTCAGCGATGGCATCGGGCGGCAACGACATCACCAACATCAACAACAGTCCCCCCAGGGAGTTGCACGTGTTGTACGGTGCCGTCGTGGGTGGTCCCGACAAACAGGACCGTTTCTTTGACATTCGCGATGACTGGCCGCAAACCGAGATCGCGCTCGACTACAATGCACCGCTTGTGGCTGCTGCCGTCTCGCGCATTGCGAGGAACGTAACTAAGGATCCTCCTTACACCACCTTGACGGGTGCTGCCAACGTAGCCTCAGGTCGTCCCACTGACGCCGCCTATCCCGCACATGGAAGTGGTGGTCTCAGCCAGGGCGCCAAAATCGCTGTTGCCGTTGTCGTTCTCGTTGTCTTCTTTGCAGCCGCTGGTTGGCTTTCATGGTGGCAGCGAGACCGGATCAAGTGGTGGTATCGCCACAAGAAGATGGATCTCTGAAGGAAGATCGCTGGTTCCATCTGTTCTCATCTATCGCCGTGATGCTCTCGTTCTCGATCGGATCACACACACTTTTGCTCATATGTATCGCATGTACTCGGATTGCTTACACAGAACAATTATATTCATGGCAGTCATTCCTTCACCCATGTGTGTGCGATGCTGGACACGACTTCATTTCGGGTTACACCCATCGAACCTACTACCTGTGCAGGCTCGCTGTGCGCGTCATGCTTCCGAGAGAGAGTCATGACACTAACCTAGTTCGCTTGAGCGAGCTGGGCCGGGATCTGAAAACCATACATGATGCTGCTATGCCTCGAGCTGATGAGCTTGGAGCGGAAAAGCACATCCGAAGTGGATGATCGAGGCAAGGCCGAGATCGAAAGAAAAAGGTATGAGCTTGAATTTAGCAGCACGAAAATGGTCAAAACCTTGGATCCCGAGATGTGTAGAGGCTGTGCTGCGTGCTGTGCCTTTGTCCGTGCATCCCTGCAGTAGAGTCCGGAATAGTGATGAGGTTCGTGACATGGGATCGCTCCATTCGACCGGTTCCAGGAGGAGTGCACAATCCCCTCTTAACTACCATCACCTCACACTTTCCCCCCAAGAAGATGCCTATTGATCTCAGAAAAGCGCTCAAGACGGACGATCCCAAGTGGGACAAGCTCAAGCAGGGTTACAAGAAGGTCGAAACGGGCGCTTGGAACGCACTTACACCCGTTGGCAATTGGACCAACCGCACTGCTGCCAAGTTTGGCGCAGAATCTTTCTGGCCTACCGAGCTTGGCCTCGAATGTGACAAGGCAGCAAGGATTCTGCGCACCTTCACGACGAAAGGTGCTTCAGTAGAAGTGGATGCGACCAACGTTGCCGGCCTCAGCGACCAGAATTCGGTGATACCGCCCTCCGCACCCAAAGTCGACGCCAACGGCAAGAAGATTAAGGACGATCACAAGTATGACAATCGAAAGACGCAAAAGGTGATCCGTAAGATTCCTCCCAGTGTTCTACAGAAGGCGCAGGGATTGGCTGTATTCACCGTGTTCAGAACTGGCTTCGGGTTTTCGGGTGCATCCGGTTCAGGTGTCGTCCTCTCCCGTCTGCCTGACGGATCGTGGTCTGCACCTTCAGGTATCCTGGTCCACACGATAGGATATGGTCTCCTCATTGGACTGGACATTTACGATGTCGTTCTGGTTCTCCGTAATCAGAAGGCCGTAGACGCGTTCAAACATCCCAGATTAAGTCTTGGTGGCGAGCTCTCCGTTGCCTGCGGTCCTGTCGGCAATGGCAAAATGCTCGAGTCAAGTGTAGATGCAGCACCATGCTGGTCGTACTCCAAATCGAAAGGCTTCTACGCTGGCCTCCAGCTCGATGGGTCCATCATTTTGAAGCGAGATGACGAAAATGGTCGCTTCTATAACTCGCCAGGCATCAAGGCCGAACATATCCTATCCGGCCAGCTTGCAAGACCTGCTCCAGCCGCGGTCATGCCGCTGTGGCAGACTCTCTATGCTGCAGAAGGTCGACCTAATGTGATGGGTATCGATCGCATCCCTGAAGGTGCTACGCCGGGCGATCTCGAATTGACCGAGGAGGACATGAAAGAGGCGAACAGGTATGCAGAGCAGGAAAAGCAGCAACAGCAATATGGTACCACGGTAGCTCCGGTCGGCGGCCTTCATCCTCAATCCTCTGTTCCAACGACTGCTTCCGGCACTGCTCATCCGACAGCACCGGGCTCCGGCGCCGTTCCTTCTACCCAGCCTTACGGAGATCTTCCACCTGATTACGAGTAAGTTGATACCAACACTGTTACATCCCTGACGAAATCCTGACCCTTCACTCACATCTCTTCCTTTTTGAGTTCACAAAACAGATTCGCAAATGCTCCTGTCAATACTCAAGGAGGCAAGCAGTCCAACGATGCAGCCCCAGCTCTGACCTACCGAGCTCCGTCTAGCAACGACCCTCCCAACCCTTTCTCTCATCCCTCCGACCGTCGCGCTGGAGCTGCTGCTTCGTACGAATCTGCCGAACAAGAAAAGGCAAGATTGCTGCAGCAGTACGGCGCATCGTCCAACGTCGGCGTTACAGCTGGCTCTGGTGTCGGTGCCACTGGAGGCACAGCCCCAACAATTCCTTCACAAGCCCAGGCCATGTACGACTTCCACGGTCCGGAGCAAGGCGACTTGTCTTTCAAAGCTGGCGACATCATCCAAGTGACCGGCGAGGAAGACGAGATGTGGTGGCGTGGCACGCTTGATGACCGCTCCGGTATCTTCCCATCGAACTACGTATGCGCTTTGTAGACCATACCGGCTTGCGACTTGCTTTATGTATAGCTTCTTATGTAGCATGCTTCCCTCTCTTTGCTTGATACCATCGAATCAAATTGTCTCGATCTTTTTGTACTTCCTGTTTGATCCCGACCACTTAGCAAGCTTTCCGCTTGAACAAGGGAGCCCCTATGATCGAGCCGGTATAAACTTCTCTTATGATATTCGATCAGGTCCTCTGCTTGATTGTCAGAGCAGCAATGATGAGCATGTAGAGGTCTGTGTGTGTCAAAAGCCTAATCACCAAGAAGGACTGCAGGTGGAGGCATGAATTATTTTAATTGAGCTAGAAAAAGTTAATTTTCGGAATTCCCGCACCAAGCGTGGAACTAAGACGAGGAGAAGGGTCGACTCAGCCATTTAGTTGTTGTTGCATACCCAGAGACACATCCGAAACATTTGACTTTTGCCACTCTATAACCCTTTCTTCGTTCCGCTTTCGCATATTCAATACGGCTGCCCCTCATCCCTAAGCTTCGCAGACAGTCTCCTGCTTTCCATCTCCCGCAGGTCATCGATAGCAGAGCAAGGTCTCGAGTATCATGTCCAATGTTCGCGGACCCACGTCGGCGCTGACCGAGTTCCTCAGGGAGCGAGGTATCACAGCAAGGAACGCCAACCGTTTCCGACGACGAGATCAGGATGCTCAGGAGCAACCCCAGGCTCAGACTCAAGGACAGAGTGCTACACTAGATGGAGGACGCTCGCCAGCTTCGCCTGTTGCCGCTTCGCCATCGCCAGCGCGCGCCCGACATCCTTTGGCACACAACAGCAGCTCGATGAACTTTGACGAGGACGACGAGACCGACGATGATCTACCTGAAGCCGCCTCAGCAGCAGCTGCGCTCGTCGAATCTGAAGCTGGAACCAGCTCTGGCCGACCGGTACGGTCTAAAGGCAAGAAACGTTCACAGACCGAGGAAGTCACCACAGAAGCCAGCAGCAGGAACACCACCAATGGCAAGGGAAAGAAGAAGGCCAAGAAGGAGGACGACGATGATGACTACAGTCCGTCCAAGAGTGCTGCCAAGAAGGGCCCGGCACCAGATGACTGGGAAGATGCGATTGGCTTGCCCGAAGCCAGCAGCTCGCGCGCCAATTTCTCCTATGCCAACCGTAAACCGGGCAGTATCGCCTACTGCGGCATGTGCAAGATGAAATTTACCATCACTCAGTATACGAAAATGGGTGAAAAGGGTCCCCTCTGCCATCGATGTGGCCCGCCGTACAAAGGACCTGGAGGCGACGACAAGGCCACGTCTGTGCCCAAGAAGAAGCAGCCCCGTCGCAAGTTGATGCAGGACGGCTTGCGCCAGAGCTTTCCTAGCTTGCAGAGCTACTGCATCGATGTGGTCAGTCGTCACATCGAGGACGTTGAGGCGCTCGGCCTCATTGGACAGCGCAACATGGACGCAATCAGCAAGTCGATCTCGAAGAACCGCAGTCTGAATCCCAAGACATTGCAGCTCTTCCTCACGCCTGGCATCACCACGCTTTCGCTGTACGACTGTAGCAAGCTCGACAGCCAGTCGTTGCAGAGCATCGCCACATTCTCACCAAATCTCGAGCACATCAATCTGCAGTTGTGCGGTATGCTTGACAACGATGCAATCGACGTTTGGGCAAAGAGACTTCCCAAGCTCAAGAGCGTAGAGCTGTATGGTCCTTTCTTGGTACGCAAGGAGGCATGGCATCGTTTCTTTGAAGCTGTCGGTCCTCGCCTTGAGAGCTTCAAGATCCGAGAGTCGCCACGTTTCGACTTGTCCTGTGCCGAAGCGATGGTCAAGCACTGCCCCAATTTACGGGAGCTCGGCTTGGCGCAGATCGGTCCATTGGACAAGACCATGCTCCAACCGCTCGAAAGCTACGGACATCAGCTCACGTATCTCGATGTGTCGGATCCCGGTGTTTCAGCGCCAGGAATTCCACCAAAGTCCCTGGAAGATGACGAGGTGGTGAGCCTGCTGAAAGCCGTGGGCAAGGACTTGACCTACCTGGACGTGTGCAAGAATATCGATCTGACCGACCGTATCGTGACTGAAGGCATCATGCCGCATTGTCATAAGCTCAAAACTTTGCGATTGATTGGCTGCGAGAAGATGGAAGCAGCAACGGTGGCCGGCATGTTCACCGAGTGGACGCGACAAGGTGTTGCTGGCCTTTCCGATCTTCACCTCGATAGGATGCTCAAGCTAGACGACAGCTTGATGGAGCCAATGCTGACGCATTCGGGACCGGATCTGATTGAACTTTCCCTCAATTCGGTGGATGGCATCACCGACAAAGGCTTGGAGATCCTTGCCAATGCCAAGAACCTGCCCAAACTGGAGGTGCTCGACCTCTCATTCGTTCGTGCGGTCGACGACGACAGCCTGGACCGCATCTGCAAGAGTCTTCTTAGCCTGAAAAAGGTATCGGTATTTGGATGCAACCGCATCAGTGACTTCCTCAAGTTCGATCGTGTGAGGATCATCGGCAAGGAGAAGTACGCGATGTAGGTAACATTGCCTCGTCGACGACATGCTACTACTCTACAAGCACAGCTCAGAGCCACATCCCGCTCTTTCACATTAACTGTAACCGCGCTGATTTCACTGTGCATGCTCAAAGGAGCAATCCATCATCGCGAATCCATGTTACCTGCATCTGCTTTTCACGTTTTTGAGAGATTGAGTTCAAGCTGAGAAACGAAAGTGCGTTTCGCCGCTGAAGGGAGGAGCTCAACGTGATTCGAGATTTATCATTGGCAAGATTTCCGGCATACGCCACAAGATCTCCGAAAAGCTGTCACTTCTCTGAGCGACACAAGTTACTCCCTCACACTTCACCTGGAGTCTAGTGCTGACCGTGATGCATCTTTTGACGGACCCAGCTGGACGAGTCTTGCCTTTTAACCGGATCGACGCGAGGCGCAAGATTGTCCGCGTGACAATGGTTAGTTTACTGGCGACCGACTCAAGGAAGCAGAAATGACGACGTTATCAACGACACGATCCTAAGCGCGTTTCTCAGCAGTGTATAGGCTCCCCTCAGGTCCAGCCGAGGCCAGCCTGATTTCGAGACAAAAGAAAAAGCCTGCGACCTACCGCAGGATCGTCGTTTAGACGAGAAAGGGCAACCCAACTTGAACAAACTCGCCATTCACCATTGCCATGTCGAAACATACACCGCCCTTAGATCTGCCCTAACGCAGTCCAACCCACCTAACCTTGGTGGTTTTCTTGGGTTCGGTTGTCGAATGCCGGAGAATCAACTCTATGTAGTGAACGGGAGGAAGGTGGCAGGCGGTGTGTTCGGGGAAGTTGGCCCGTGTGGACCAAAGTTGGCTTGTTCGAGGGGAAGGGCAAAATTGTTACTAATAGTTTTGGGACAAGGGATGCATGTGAATTGCAGGCACAGCCTCGCCATCTCCACTTACCCATCCATAGACAAGTCCCATGTCCGTGACAGATTCTGAGGATCGACTGGCTCATTAGGGGGTTTCAGCTTTTTTTTGGCCCTCGAAAACTAGAGTCTTCGAATAGTGAAAAAAGGCCAGAAAATTGATGCCCCCAAATGTAAGCTGTGTTTTTAGACCAAGAGTTAGGGTAGGTTACTTGGGCACTGCATCAGAGCGAACACGCAATCATCTCGGTTCTTCCGTAAATTGCACTTTTTTTAGCTTTACTGTTACGACGTCGGAGTGATTTCAGCTCGCACTTGCTGACTTTTTTTCTTATCGGATGTGGATCTTTCCATTCTGAAATAGAGGAGATGATGGGAGCATCCTTGTCTGATTCTGATTCTGTCGGCAACTCCGCCTCCGGACAAAGTGAGCAAATAAGCTCGGATTTTACTTGCAACGCTCTGTTGTAAGCTTTGCTATCTCTGGTCGCCTCCTTAGCCCGCCTGAACCCTTTGTCTCTGAGTGCACTGTCGCATTTGTCCCCTTCCATACAGCTCAGAGCGAAGAGATCCAAGCGTTACTAGCACCTCTGTGAATGCGTATCGTCCCTTTCCCCACTTCCTTGATCTCTCCACTGCCTTGATCTCCCCACCACCATTGTACGCTGCCTCTTCATCTGCCCAAGGTCATGAGCTACATCTATTCGACTCTCTAAACATTTCAACAACATGGCGGTTGTTAGTAGTGCCAGCATTCCCGACTTGCGGCACGCCAGCCAGCCAGCTGCAGGTGCCCTGTCAAGCAATGCATCTCTCCTATCGCATGGACTCAATGATAGCAGGTCTCGGGCCCGCTCTGATGGAAGCGCCCTCAACAGGCAGCTTTTGAGCAGTTCCGGCCCACTCACTCGCGAGAACCTTGCTGCCCTCCCTGTCCATTCTGCTACACTTCCTGGCCGTCTACGAGCTCAAACACTCACCCAGATGGACTTCCGCCCGGGCGCCTCGGCCAGACCGGCGCTGGCCCGCGTGACCACCATGGACAGTTGTCGAGCATCCATATTGACCGATAGCACCGAGTTCAGCACTTCCAGCACCATCAACCGCGGCTATGCCGCTCGAATTGATGTCAATGGCAAAGTCAAACCGCTCTCTTCCACCCCAGGCCGACACGATTGCCAGACGATTGCCTTCCTCGAGGGTCCCTCGGACTCGCTGGACTACAAAACCTATCGACCGGGAGACGAGATCAAGGGCGCCGTCCATCTTCTCAAGGACGACCCCGAGCGTGGCCATGTGACTGGTATCAAGGCGCGCATTCGAGGCGATCTCGAGACCAGTGTTTTCGGCGTGGGTGACTCCAGCTACTACTCGATGGATAACGAGCATGGGATTGCCCGCCGACAGCTCCTCTTCTTCTCGGAACAGAAGACGATCGCTACCAAGATTGACCTCGCAGCAGGGGTCTTTGAGCTTGCGCAGACCGGTCTCGTTGATCATGGACGTCGCAACAACCTCGCTGTGCCTTTCAACTTTGTGCTGCCGTACAAACTGCACGCTTCGGCTCTCGACATGCTCGACAGCAAACTCAAAAAGTCGTTCAAGCGAGGCAAGCGTTACATCGATCTGCCCCCTTCCGTTGACATGGAGACTCGCTATGCTCCACCTAAACCCAACCAACTCTTTGGTCAAGTGAAAGAGAAGCTCCACGGCCAAAAGTTGCGACCCATGGCACGTATCAAGTACGAGATCGACATCATCGTCAGCCGTCAACGGTTTGGATCAACGCTGCTGCCACACAAGCGAGGCGAGCGCATCATTCTGTCTTTTGCTGTCGAGCCATATCCTCCTCGTACTGCCGGCCTTGCTGTGCCCACGATCGAGCCTATCCGCGCACGTCGTACCACCTCTCGCACCGACCGACCTGCTTCTGCAGACCGCGACGCTTCTTCGGATGCTGCCTCGGTCATGTTCGGCGACATTCAGGAGGAAGAGACGATCGATGAAGATTCTTGGACTTCCGATCTTGGCGGCTTCCGTCCGACGCAGGAAGTCTTTGGTGCTCTTCCTCGTGAAGAAGCACCGGCGTTCGCACCAAGCACTTTGACCCGCTCCGTCTCAGCAAGGCCAGGACTTTCTGGTGTGCGACGCAAGAGCTACATCAATGTCAAGGAGGGTGTCGATGGCCGCATGAAGGGCTGGCTCACGCACTCACTTGAATGTGCTCTTCCAGATGGCAGCGGTCCCTTTGAGGCGATTCTGTCGGTCCCTGCTATGGCTGCTCTGTACATGGAGACCAAGATTCCCTTCAGCCTCGAGCTTCGAATGCCTGAGCGCCTAGTCGGATCTTACGTCCCTGACGTCGAGCTCGGCCTGGTACGATCCGTCATGACCTATTCGCGTCTCGGAACCCTCGTCATCGAGAAGGAGGATCCTGATAATCTCGCCGGATTCAGTGGACCCCACTCCTGGTCTGAACGCATCCGGCTCGTCAACATTGATCGACAGCCGAACAACCATCTCCCGCCATTCTATGAGCAGGGGCAGGGTCGGCAGATCTACACGGGCAACTTTGCCGTCGGAAGATACGAGAAGATGATCAAGGCAGGCTCCTCAGCGCCGCTCAAGCAGAAGCTCATCCAAGAACCAGAGCTGCGCCTCGTCGTGCCCAGCTTCTCGTTCAAAGCCCTCCGCATCGAGTATCGTCTTCGAGTCAAAGTCTCGCTTCCTAGTGGCGATGATGCAGAGCAGGGGCCCTCGACATCTTCGTTAGCAGCTGCTTACAGTGCTACCAAGCATCTAGTCATGGAAACGCCGCCTGTCCATGTGGCTGCCAATCCCGATACTGTCGACTTCACGAGACAACAGACTGCCGAGTCGCTGGACGACGATGCCCTGTCGACCATCGACGTGCTCGATGAAGATGAGGAGCGTCTCATCGAGGCCTCCGCCTCTCGCATGGTCCGTTCGCCCAGCACACCTTCCCCTCCGACTGAAGTGGTCACTCATAACGACGAGGACGACGATGAAGACTACTCGGCTCAAGCCACACCTTTGGCCCGCACACCTCTTCGACGCTCGCTTGACATGATCGCTCTCACCAATCTCAACGCCATCAGCGACGAGAATGCTGCTGCCTCCACCGTCGAAGACGAAAACCTCGTCTCCTCGGCGGCCTCCATCATCAGCGAGTCCAGCTTTTCCGCACTTGAGGTACCTTCGCTCGATCCCATCCCCGATGAAGTCGATGTCGATGAGGAAGATGAACTTACCGAGCAACTCGCTCTTGGTCTCATTGACCGCGAACAGGCAGCTGCCGTTGCGGCTTGCTCTCGTCATCGCGCCACCATTACTCAATCTCAACGCCCCAGCAACGCACTCCCTAGTTACTCGGACAGTATCGGCATCCTTGACTTCCCAGCCCCAGCTCCCATGTTCAATCGATCATAGACTCATTTCTTTCCTGCTCCATAGGTTGCATCTTTTTAGTCCCATCACACGCATACTCATTCGGCAACTATTCGACATCCGGGCCCGTTCGGATCACTTGCACGTCTTTCTTGCTTCCTCAGCATCTTTGCCTTGCACTCACTCTCTTCATTTCACGATCTGTCCCACACTTGCAATCTCAATGTCTCATGTATCACTACTTCCGCACATTCCAATCCGTTGATCACTCGAAAACCTGGATGAGATAAATTGCCTCCGACCACATGATGTGTGTGGACTTCTAGGACTTGGGTTGCAAATTTTGGTGGTGGGATGCGATGAGAATGCAAAGAGCGCTATTCACATAGGCATCCCCAAGCCCCTTGTGCTGAAGAGGCCGAAAGGTAACATAGTACAAAAAAGGAGCGAATCTAACCCGTTTAGGCAACAAGGGTGGAAGCGGTGGCGGCCTCGTACTTGAAGGTAGGGGGAACGGCGCCCTTGGTCTTGTAGTAACGAGCAAGACGATGGATACGCGACTCGATGAGAATGAGACGGAACTTGGAGTCCATGTCCTTGCGGTTGCGCTCAAGGTGCTTGCGGACCGAAACGGCCTTCTTGATGAGGCAATAAAGGTCCTCGGGGATCTGGGGAGCAAGACCCTGCGACTTGAGGATACGGAGAATCTTGTTACCAGTCACGAAACGGACCTGGGCGATACCCTGCGAGTCACGGAGCTGGACACCGATCTGCGAAGGGGTCATACCCTTACGAGCGAGCTTGGTAATCTGCTCAACAACCTCCTCGGGAGTGGTCTTGAGCCACGAGGGGGGAGTGCGGCGGTAAGGCAGAGCCGAGGCGGAGATACCCTTTCCCTTGGCTGTAGAATGCGTGGTTATTGCAAAGATGCGGTGGGACATGTCAGTTTTCCGTTGATGTAGGATGATTGGTGATTGTATGCTTAATTGCGGCGAGTTGACTCAATACCATCTCTCTCCTTGCCTGCATCGTCATCTCTGTCGACGTCTTGGCTTTATCTCGACATCAAGAGCGCGCACTCGGCCCATTGTGAGAAGAGCCACTCTGTTGCAAGAGAGGTGCGATCTTCATTCGAAAAAAAAACGGACGAGACGATGACGACGATGCAGCAGGGAGTGACAGTGTTGGTAGGAGTGCTCGCCGCGATGGTGAACACTTACAGTGCATGCGACCCATTTTGGCTGTAGATGGTCAAGAAAGTCGAGTGTCGAGTTGAGGTAGTTGGTGAGGGTCGTCGATGTTGGTGGAAGTTGATGCAAATGGTGGTCGGACAGAAAGACAGCAAACAGTCAGCACTAGACCAACATGAAGCTCGTTCTACATTCGGTCCTCCCCTCGAGATCGCCTTGATTCACGCGTCCTTGCGGAGCGTTCCAAAAGCACCTGCGATTTCTAGCCCTCCCCTTTGTCTGGACCAATTCCAGGCCTAAACCGGGTCGGATGATCACATTGTCGATTTGTATACGTATGTCGAATGCGAGCAAGTCGTTGCTGTGACGTGACACTAGCTTGGTCACTGAGATGTGAGGTTGACCTTTGCCGTGTGCTAGATCCGAATTCTATGCCATATTGCTGGATTGGCATGCTGCTTTGTGATACTGTGCTGTGCTGTGCTGTGCTGTGCTATGATGTTGCCATGCTGGGCTTCTTCATCAATAGGACTGGTTCGTCGGCGGGTGTGATCATCCTCCAGCATCCCTGCGATGCACCCTAACGGAAAGGCTAGAAATGCGTTTCATCTTCGTTGTAATAACAAGTACCTGCAAAACGTCCGCATGCCACAGCTGATATCGACTCCTTCTCCTCGTTGCAGCGATGAATTGGGTGCTGCCTGTAAAAAGCAGCTATACGATGCAGTACGTACCTAAATATTCTTGATCTTGAGGGAGACAACGGTGGACTAGATTCCTAGAGGTAGGAGAGAAAGATTGATGGCGACCACGAGTTGTCTAACCCCCTCGCCTGAGCTTCGGCGTCCGCGCTTCGTCTGCTTCCCTCCAGCAGCGACTTTCGTCGGATCAACTAACAATCGAAATCGAGGTCAAAATTCGAAGCTCCCGTTTCTCATTTTTCCACTAGGGAGTTGAGACGATATTTTCTTTTATGAATGGAATTTCGCCTAAGAAAAAAACGTGCACGTGATCCAAGAAGGCTCGGCCGATTCTGCTTGCTGTTTTTCTGGCTGGAAGCTTGCCTGTCAAACGAATCTACCAACCCTGAAACCTGCTCAGGGCTGTTTGTAAGTGGGACTTTGGGGCGTCCGAAGCCAGAGTTGTGCGCTGTGCCAGCCTGGTCTCAGGCAGGCACACTGAGCGAGCGTTGGACTTTGCGATTCGAGTTTGCTCACGATCCTCTCTGACTTTTAACCTCATCATATCAACTATCCGTCAAGGTAGGTAGTCTATACCAGCACCATACATGACTGCATCAGCACTACTCGACGAGACACAGCATGCAGCAGCAGCAGCATACCCCGGCCATCGCCAACAACATGTCGCGATGTCCAAACTACGAACAATCGATAATCTTGATTCGCACATTCAAACGGCACGCCTACACCAACTTGTCCTAATGAACATGACTCGAACACAAGCTGGCATACAGGAGGAAGAGGCTGCATCGCGGATTAAGGCTTGTTGACTATCGCACAGAGGGTCTGAAGACAACATCGGATGTGGCAAGTTGGGTCTGGAACCTGAAGTGGTGACACCGTGCACAGCCTGGAGTACATACGAATGGAGCAGAAGGAGACAGATAAATCATCTTGCATGGCATAGAACGGCGACAAGCGGAGTCACAGTCAGGATTCTATCTTCCAAGGCGGAATTGATACTTGACTCGCCCATGGTTTGCATACATTGAAGTCGACGTTTCCATTCCGTCTAAAGGTGCACACGCAGCCCGAATTCTTCTCTACCAATGATTGCGCGTATTTCCTGCTACTATTGACCACCCTTATCGAGCCGACATCAGCTTCACCCCCAACTTGTTTTTACTGCGCTGTGTCTCATCGAGTACCACTGGCTCGTTACCGTAGTCGCATTAGTCCTCCCATCTATGAACTGATTTGCTCACCATTTGCCTTCTCCGCTCCACAAACACTAACAGATGAAGCTCAACGTTGCTAACCCGGCCACGGGTGCCCAGAAGTCTTTCGACATCCAGGATGAGCGACTCGTTCGCTGCTTCTACGAGAAGCGCATGTCGCAGGACGTTGAGGTCGACTCTCTCGGTGAGGAGTGGAAGGGTTACGTCCTCCGCATCGGCGGTGGTAATGACAAGCAGGGTTTCCCCATGAAGCAGGGTGTCCTCCTTCCCAACCGTGTTCGTCTCCTCCTCTCCAAGGGTGACTCGTGCTACCGCCCCCGTCGCACCGGTGAGCGCAAGCGCAAGTCCGTTCGCGGTTGCATCGTCGGCCCCGATATTCAGGCTCTCCACCTTATCGTCGTCAAGCAAGGTGAGAAGGAGATCCCCGGTCTCACTGACGCCGAGTCCACTGTCCCCAAGCGTCTCGGTCCCAAGCGTGCCAACCACATCCGCAAGTTCTTCAACCTTTCCAAGGACGACGATGTCCGTCAGTTCGTTGTTCGCCGCGAGGTCGTCTCCAAGAAGGAGGGTGCCAAGCCCTACACCAAGGCTCCCAAGATTCAGCGTCTCGTGACTGCCCAGCGTCTCCAGCGCAAGCGTCACCTCCGCTCGCTCAAGATCCGCAAGGCAGAGGCCCAGAAGATCCAGAAGGACGAGTACGAGCAGGTTCTTGCCAAGCGTGTTGCCGAGAAGAAGGCCGAGGTTGCCTCCAACAAGGCTGCCCGCAAGTCCGCTAGGAAGGCTCAGGCTTAAGCAGTTTGATCCGCCTCTTCCCAGCGTTTCTTGTTCCCCTGCATTGCCTTGCATCTTCCTTGGTTTCGTCATCCCACAATCTCTTTCTGCTCACCTTCTCCCTTACCCTGCATCTCATCCAAAAGAAAAGGGATTGTAACGGTATGATCGTCACGACTTGTCTACCGCCTCCCGTTTCAGGTGTATCTCGAGAGACGGCTCGAGATGTTGCTTTCCACCCACACCCTTTTACGCCCTGAAGTCTTTGACTATCACACTATGTACGGTCAGTGGCGCCGGCTCCTGTTGCAATCATAGCCGTCGGCTCTATAGCCACTCCTACACGAGCTTCTTGCGTTCGTACAGCAGCCGTCTTCTGTTATATTCAAACGCTCGCTCATAGCGGGCATCGAAAGATGTCTTGCTGCATTCTCAAAAAATCGAACCTGTACAATGATCCCATAACTTACCATGTGAAACCAGACTGTGTAAAGAGTTGGCGTTTGAGCTCGTCATGGTCGAGCATTGTATGAAACGGCGTTTCTCGTCACTCCATTTGGATCCTCTGCCTCCGCAAAGAGACGGGGTTGTCGCACCCTGCGCTCTTCCAGAAGCATCCATGCTTCTGGAAGTAGGTGCTCGGACCTCGTGGTCTTCAATCAGAACAACTCGAGTTCCTTGCAACTCTCAGCTTCTATCTGCGAGTCCCTGTTTTCGCATCAGACACAGCGGGACCAAGACATCTTAGCTGAATGCAAACAGCGTTGAAGTCTAAGAACGTGTCCGTATCATGACGCTCGAGCTTACAGACCCGATCTCATCAACGCATGGTCTTCCTCTCAAATCGGAAAGCTCTGGGGGTGGAAGCCGAATCTCACGCAGTCTTAGTATCGTGCTTAGTATATGAGGCTTGACCACCTGGCTGGACAAGGCTAATAGGTTTAACATTCCTCTCGTGTGTTGACGCGTAATTTCCGTCAAATTTTTGACTTTTCGACTTTTCGACTTTTCGATTTGATTTGATTTTTTGATTTTTTGATTTTTTTGATTTTTTTGATTTTTTTTTCTGGTAAGTTCGAAATCGGTAGCATGAACTGTAAATTTAGGCGGCTCTAACACAGCGGATAGCGAAATTCGAAACGTCCGATCGCCGAAGTAGGAGAAGGGCGCATCGGCAGTGCCATCTCTGGATCCGAATTGCCCCCGACTTTACGAAAATCTGATTCTCCGTGCATGGCCCTACAGACAGTAAAATCACATGACCTTTTTCCTTCGCCCTAACATATCCGCAAACCTCGCTCACCGTCGCCACTCATCAACACCCACCAACGCTGCTCAACGCTGCTCATCACCCATAAACACTCCTCACCCCTGTTGCGACTGCATACAATTACACGTGTCATCTCATACCACATACGTAGACGCAGACCATCTGAGAAGCATATATACCTAGCATTGCTTTGTAACTAGACTTCTACAATAAGCTAACGTTTACCATCCGCATTATCGCTCCCTGACCGTGCATTCCTCAACACAGACGACACGAGAATTCAATTCAATTGAAATTTCGAAATATTCTGTGTTGAACCCGTAGCCTGGCTGGGGGATGGGTACGGGCTTGCCACCCGTTAACAGAATTTCCTGCTCTCGTCGTGGCACTGGTGTGTTAGAGTGACAAGGAGTTTCGGGCTGCGTGATGTTGTAGATACAAGAGAGGAAGGCTTTAAGCGTTCGGCTACAGTGAAGGGGGTGTTATGTCAAAGGTGTGCCAATTCCAGAGTTGCCATTTCACTCCAATTTCCTGGCACGTCGAAAGCGTGCCAGGACCCTCAGCCAAGGCCGGAACGCTTTTGGCGTTCCTCAACTCAAGAAAAACACCACTTGACATTTCTTCGTTCGCGAATTTCTTTGCGGTTGGGAATGACAAGTTGGACGTAGGGGTGCGCACATGCAGTCCTTTCTCTTTCTTTCTGGAATGGATCTCAGTGTCTCGCAAGACATGTCATCGTGCACCAGCATTGCTATGGGGCTTGCTGTTGACAAAGCTGCCACAACCTGTGCTTGCCGCTTGATCTCTGAGAAATGTATCAATATATTTCGCTTCGAGACAAATCAGAAAAAGTAAATCAATAAATTACTCTATAAATCGAGGTTGCAAAATTGACATCTCTTAGCACCGCACAACGTACGGTATTGTTCCAGCTCAAAGCAGTCCAGTGAACGCATTGCGGCAGAAAGTCTATCCTTCTTTCTCCCTGAACACGACCAAAACAATGGAGGGTGCACGTTGTGGACACATCAAGCTACTGCTTAATGTCCGTTGACTTCACCAATCCGGGAAAAGTCAGCATTGAGCTTGCGCAAAACCTTCTCTGCGGAAGAAAAGCGTAAAAAGAATGAGGCTCGCATACAGACTTTGACTTTGACCCACCGTCGGGCTGAACTTAAGTGGTGCTTGGCATTTCACTAGGGACGAGTGGGCCAATCAGAAGCACTTTGCCCAAAATGAGGGCCTAAACTGTTGGATCGAGTGACAGACTTGAATTGTAGGACGCGGCTTTATTACGTGTGGCGACTACGAACTGTATGTACAGACAGCGGATGGATGTGGTTCTAATGGAACAACGAAATGGCTATATCTTGTGTGTTTTGTACGTCTACCCTGTGGACGGGACCGGGCCATGCTATCCTGTCAACGAGACTGGAGCATGCAGGGACAATGCAGGTAGGGCCCAGGCTCCTAGCTCCTCGGTGTCCGACGTTCGATATGCCAATACCCTATCGCGATAATCGGCCTGATGCGAGCCGATATAGCGCACAGCTCTCCTACAATCGCAACACGACAGCTGGGAAAAAGCGAGTCTTATTTCGTGTGGCTTGTGACGGACTATCACCTCATCCCAAAGAGCCCGGGCCTGGAATTGATTGACCTATCCCGATCTCTTCACCATCGGCTTACATCAACTTTCATCATCATATTGGATCGTTTCCTTCAGCAGTGGCAAGCAGTTTGGCCATGGTAGTCAATGACACTGCCATCTTCCATCTCTCGTGTCTGATGTCACTCTCGAGTTCACTCTCAAACGGCGGGGCACGAGAACAGACGTTCGTAAAATCAGGCGCAAAAATTAATGCGATGATTGGATAAATGGAAACAATTCTTGTAAACACAATTTCGATTTGTTGACATAAAAGCAGTCTTAGTATAGTGGTTAGTACAGCTCGTTGTGGAAATGGGTTGACATGCTCAAGCTTACCGAGCAGACGGATGTTCGATTCCTCCAGACTGCATCTCCAATTTTTTTAAGGCCATCAGTACTCAAAAGCATAAAGAGGTTGTGTACTTTTTCAACTGTTGAGTTTCCAGATTTTGACGTTCATACTTTGACAAGAGGGTCTTGTAGAAAAGAAGGAAGAAGAAGTCAAGGCGAATTTTGGCAGGCGCGTCAGTGTGGAGGAGAGCGCGTTCTGGGAAGCGCTGGATTAGAACAACACTACTATACCACCAAGATGCTCTTCTCGAGACCAACAACATCATTGACAACGATTGACACCTTGGGAACCTTTCGCATGGGAAAGCATCGCTACATCAACATCTTTGAAGTGCTCAACTCCTTCAGAATAACGCCGGAGCTACCGATATACCGAATTCATATCCTCCTACGACGATGCCCGACACATCCGTCTTCGACATCGACTATCCATTTCCAGATCTCGACCCTGTTCGAGCACGAGAGCAGCTAAGGTACGCAGCTGCAGAGCTGTCCGAGCGCGGTCTGGCATCTTCATCAAGATGGACGCTCGAGCTTCTGCAATCGGTCCCTTACACGGACTTTAGCTACGGGAAGCGTCTCTTCTCTGAAGAAAGTCGTGAGGACGAGTTGGCAATCGGCACAATGACGCCAGCAACGAAGCGCCGCCCAAATCGAAGATCACTCATACCAGAGCACTCGACACCCGCTCTTGGCATACAGCAGCGCATGTCCGTGGAGCCGAACGCTGAGGATGGGTCAATAGGCGAAGTCTCTGGGCGGTTCAATTCCAACGCATACGCATCGTCGCCTCTCGCAAGCGCTCGTCTGGGTCACATAGCATCGCCAAGAGGCGATCCAGACAGCTCTATCATCACAGTCGACAGTGAGGAGGGCGGCGGCGGCGCCGGGTCCGCTCACGTACACTGGCAATCGAATACCAACTCTGTCGATTGCTCCCCTGGGCAGTCACAACTTCGCTATGACGGCGCACAGACTGTGTCATCAGCATTGGAGGAAGAGTCATATATGCTTGCCAAGAGTCACTTTGACCAACACCAACTCGAGCGATGCATCTGGGTCTTGGAGAACAGCAAAAATACGTCCGACAAGGCTCGGTTCCTGCGGCTGTACGCAAGGTTCCTCATGTCAGAACGCAAGCTCGACGAACACGGCATGATCATTCCGAAGCCAACCGGAACGTTGCCGGCTACGTCGCCAAGCCTGGTACCCATCCTCAAGGAGCTCATCCATGCTGTCGACCCGTTCTTGCTCTTCCTGAAGGGCGCAATCCTGCGAAAACTGAACCGGCCCATCGAGGCCATGGACTGCCTGATTCGATCCGTGCAAAATTTTGCGTACAACTGGGCGGCATGGCAAGAGCTGGCGATGACGTTGGAGCCAGGAGAGGCGGATCAGATGGCTGACTTGCTGCCCGAATCTTTCATGGTCAGCTTCTTCCGTGAGTTTCTCGATCGTCATTCGGCACAGGAAGGCGACCTTACTATCGCCCGCATCGACCGACTACTCGAATCCTTCCCGCGTTCTGCTCACTTGCTCACCAGTCGCGCACAGACGAACGTTCACCGGCTAGACTATATCGAAGCTGAACAAGATTTCCAAGAAGCATGGTCGATTGACCCTTACCGCATCGACGGACTCTCCGACTACTCGAATGCACTATACTTGCTCAATCGAACAGCGGAGCTAGCATACCTCGCGCACAAATTCAGCTCGTTTGCAAAAGACCGACCTGAAGTATGCTGCTTGGTAGGCAATTACTACAATCAACGTAGCGACCACCACCGTGCCATTGAAGCCTTCCGACACGCCCTGCGTCTTGACTCTGGTTGCGTACCCGCCTGGATCTTGCTAGGACACGAATACATCGAGCTCAAGAACAGTCATGCTGCCGCGGAGATGTACCGACGAGCACTCAAAATCAACCCTCGCGAGTACCGCGCTCTGTACGGACTTGGACAAGTGTATGAGCTCAACGGTGCTTACACGTATGCGGTCAACTACTTTCAGAAGTGTGCAGCGATTCGACCATATGACGGACGCATGTGGTCGAGTATGGGTATCTGCTACGATCACTTAGGCCGAGCCCAAGACGCTATCTCTTGCTTCAAGCGATACCTCGCTTGTCGTCTCAATCAGGGAGACACGGTGATTGGGTTGACGAGGATCATCGAGGTATATGAAAAGGAGCGAGACTTTGAAGCTGCTGCATCGTACCACCGTCGATTGGTGCAGGTCGTGGACAGAGCGCTGGCAGGAACAGAGTCGAATGTCGTGGCACGGTATGCGAGATCATACATCATCGCAGCAAGGTGGGAGATGGGCGAGATCGGAGACAAAGCAGCACAACAGAGAGCGGAAGCAGCAGGTATGGCTACGAGAGACGAAATGGATCAGGACGCGGAAGAGGGCTCGCAGAACAAGGTTGGAAACTTGGCTCTGGCCAATGACTACCTGCAAAAGGTGATTGCAGCAGGCACCGAGATGACAGACAGCGCAGAGATCTTGCTCAAGCGTTTGGCTTTCTTGCGTGATTGAAGCAATGACAGCGATGACGGAAACCAACTCACAAGAGCGGTTAGGGGTTACTAACCATGGACCATATCCTCCTTCCGTGTGTCAACGGATCCATTCCGTGGGTCGACGGGTCTGTTCCGTCTCTTGATGGAAAGCAGCAATACACGCGGTACACAAGATTTTCGACGGCAATGAGAATTGGTCACTCAAATGAGCTGAAGCAACAGATCGTCGTGTAGTGAAGAGAGTCTAGTGTGAAGGTGATCCGAGGCAGCTTGCAGCCTTTAGAATTTCAAGGGCTCGAATTGATATCCACCCGCCTGGTAGAATTTACTGCCGAATTCGACCCAAGCGAGACGAATGGCGTGAAGAAGCGAACTGAGACCCTCCATGCAGCAGAGAATGGCAATGGAAAGGCAGAACCAGAGACCGAAAGCGAGAACGGTGGCGATTGCACCAGTCACTCCGGTCATACCAAAGACATTCTGGATGGTCATTGTCCACAACACCTCGGACAACTGGGCGTGGGCAAGCGACAGAGCCCAGAGACGAAGGTACGAAGCGGTGTTCGAGATACATCCAAGACAGAACTCGATGGTGTGAATGACTTGGTGGATGACGGCCTCACCAATGTTGAACTCATGCTCCTCCTCCATCTCACCATCGCCGTGGCCTCCACTTCCGTGGCCGTTGCCTTGACCCTGAGTAAGGCGGCTGCTCTCGTCAGCGTCCGCGTCGTCGTCGGCATCATCATCGAGCCCAAAGCCACGGGAACCGTTGTTGACACCAACGGCGCGGTAGCCTTGACCCTTGATCTTCTGATGCTCCTTCCACTCGATGTAGGGAGTGACGACTAGCATCCAAGGAACGCAGACGAATGCGATGAGCAGCAGCATGGTCTGAACGAAAGCCTGACCACGGAAAAGCTCGGTCTTGGGGTCAACAGTACCGGGCTTGAGGAACATGTAGATGAGCATGTTGAGCAAGCCAGGCGGGTTGTTGCGGAAGACGGTGCCGTTGGCATCGGTCTCGTACCAGTCAATGGACCACTTGTAGACGATGGCGAAGACGAGGTAGCCGAAGAGCGACTGCATGAAGAGCATCTGAGGCACGATCTCGGACCAGATCTTCCACTTCTGGCCGAAGCGGATGAAGTTGGGCACGTTGAGAAGAATGGCGAGGGTCATGTGGAAGACACCGAGAATGACGGACATCTTCATCTTGAGCGAATTGGTGAAGACGAGCGCGTTGTCAGCGCCGTGCCAGGAAGGATCAATACCAATCGCATAGACGTTGCCATTGGGGACGGCCTCAATGGTGCCTTCGTTGTGGGGCCAGTCCCAGCCAGTGTGGAAGAGGTGCATGCTCTTGCTTCCGATATCGTTGTAGAGGAAACCGGTGAACATGGAGAAGACGCCCATGAGCAGCATCATGTAACGACCGTAGAAGAACATGGTGAAGATTTCGTTGTCCACCTTGGCAAGCTTGCGCTCAAAGGTGCACATGGCAAGGGCGGCGAGCGTCATGAGGAAAGCGTGGAAGACATCACCGAACATGACGGCGAAGAGGAACGGGAGGAGGATGAAGTTGAACAGACCAGGGTTGACCTCCTTGTACTTGGCAATACCGTAGCTGTCACCGACCGACTGGATAGCCTCGGTGTACTTGTTCGATCGCTGGAAGGTGGGAGGCGACTTGTTGGTGCGAAGCTCCTGCAGCACAGCTGGAGCGCTGGTGCCAGCGTTCTCGGTGGCTCGACGAAGAGCAAGCTGGATCTGACCGAGATCGCTCGAGGGGCACCAACCTTCGGCAACGAGCGTCTTACGACGGTTGTCGAAGAGAAACATGTTTAGCGTCGAGTAGATGAGCTTCTCCTTGCGAACGACATCTTCCCAGGCGCTGAGCACCTCGGCAATCTTGACGAGCTCGGTGCGTCGAGTGGCGCTGGTCGAGTAGAGAACATTGTTGAGATCCTCGATACGGCTGAGGACCTCGCGAAGGCTCTCCTCACGACGATCCGCATTACTGTCGATGGGGTAGAGGGTACCACCCATGCTTTCACTGATCTTTCGGATTTTGGCAAGAAGCTCGGCACCGTGAGCAAAGATGATGAAGACATTTTTGCGAACAGGCTCCTCCTTGGTCGGGTCATCGAAAGCCTCCTCGATCTCAGCATAGTTCATGTAAAGATTGCCGCGGAGGACACGCCAGAGAATGCGTTCGAAGATGGCCATCTTGCTGCGATCAATGGTACCGGCGACGAACTCGAGGTCGAAGGTGCCGTAGTTGTTATCGTCACCGTGCGAAGTGTTGAAGACGTGCGATTCGACATCGTGGAGGAGAGGAGCGTTCGCATCATCGACAGAGGCACGGACAGCATCCTGGCGACCTTCTGCCTGGTCAAAGAAGACAGCGGTTTCGCGAAGAACGTGCTTAGCCTCCTCGAGCTCCTGCAATCGTTTCTGAAGGGTTTCGTAGGAGCCATTCATCTGACCAAGACGCTCCTCGTGCTCCCGAAGCTTGACAGAAAGCTCGTCCATCAGCTGTGGACCACGACGACCGTCGGAACCAAGGCTGATGAAAGGGAGAGCGCTCTCAAGAGGTCGGACAGGAACACCTTCCTTCTCCATCTGAGCGTAGAGGAAGCGGATACGCCTTTCCATCTCGTCAAGCCTTCGAATATCGGTGACGAAGGAGCGCTGGAAGGGCGAGACGTCTGGGTTGAGATCCTTGAACATGACATTTCCAAGCTCCCCAAGTTCCTGAACGGTGGCATGAGCGGTCTCGGAAGGAATGTAGAGCTGGATCAGCGACATGGTCGCTGACCGGAACAAGCTCTCCTCTTCCGGCATTTTGGTCACTGCAGCGCTTGTCGTGCTTTAGTATAGCAAGCGAGCGTGTGCTGGTGACTCTGGGGGTAAGGAAGCCGCGGGCTTGGTGTGATGAGATGGTTGAGAAAACGAGGAGGAGTGATCTTCAGAGCTGTGTCAGGTCTGTTCACGCTTCGTCTCGATGATGTGTGTTGTGTGATGCAGGGGTGAAGGCGAAATTCGAGAGCGTCAGCACAGCGCCAGTTCCGCGTTGCCACGGATCCGACTTGACAAAACTGAGCTTGGGCCAACTCGAAGTGGAAGTCTAACATCGTCGGCTTTTCGCCTCCACCTCGACTCTCGCGACACACACACACAAACAGAACCCTGTTGAGCTTCAATTGACGCTGACTAGGCAAGACCTTCCGACCATCACCTTCAACAAGCCGCCGACACCCGTCAAAGCGGCCGAGCTTACATCTTCAAGCCGCATCTACGTAAGCGGCTTTCTTCGCCATCGTCATGGCGCTAAGCTGCGAAGCCGAGTCCTCATCCGCCGCGATGAAACGATTTCGTAGGCATCGATCAAGCAAAGCGCGCAGGCTCAAAGCTACCTGGGCATCAGCAATACTCCTTTCAGCAGCTACGACCGGCGTCGACGCATTCCTTGGCATCGGAGAGAAGCGCTTCAAGTACGAGGGCCTCATCAATGCTGGAAGTCTAGGTCTCGACTCGATCACAGGACAAGTAGCTGCTTGGGGGGACTACAACGGTGACCAGTTTTTAGATGCCATCGTCGTCGATTCGGACCGCCAAACAGCAAGCATACACCTGTGGGATCACACAAGGTTCGGCTTCGATCACAATCCAGCGTGCTCAGTCCAAGTTGCAACAGGACAAAAGATTAGCAATGTCGTTGTAGCAGACATCAACTATGACGGCCGACTCGATCTACTCGTCATGTCCCAGAGCACTTCAAGTTCCTCGAAGCAGCTTTCGATGGATGTCTTCCTTGGCGCATTAGACGGAAGTGGCTTCGACTCAATACCCCTCACCGTACCGCCGTCAATATTGGCGCAACCTATCACCATTGACGCTTCTGGTGATATGCAGATGGACTTGTTCGGAATCCCCTTCACCGACAACCCATCTACACCCAAAGACGCTTCCGACCTCAAAGTCTGGCGAAACTTGCTGGTCGGGTCCGCCAATAACACAGCTGCTTTCGACATCGCGGACTCGCCGCTGATTGATGCGACCCAGGCACCAGCCTGCAAGCTCGCTGATCCTCACAGCTCCGCTTTTGTCGACCTCAACGGTGACTGCCTTGCGGATCTTTTCCTTGTATGCTCGGAGGAGTCCTTCCTCAGCTACAAGATCACGTACCAGATCTGGACAGCAGTGAAACCGAACTTGAAGGGGGAAGCCTCCGGGTTCAAGCTTGCTTCGTCGGGTGATCTGCCACCAGGCACCGGCTCGCTGAGCTTCGGAGACATTGATCGCGACGGAACGATCGACGTCATCTTCCCCACTTGCGATCGCAGCGGCGATAATTGTTTCATCAATGTCGCGTTCAATCGACAGATGCCTTTGTGCTCACCTCGCATAGATGGTCTGTTTGGTGGTGGACCTGGTTATGGCTCGTTGTCCAACAGCAAGAGGGCCGGTAACGAAGCAGGCTCTCCAGAAGACGCTTCCTATGCAAGTTCGACGAAGCGGAAACCCAGCCGACAATGCAGAGAAGCAGAAGATCTCTGTGTCGCCGATGACAACTTCCGCATCGACTTCACGGTCAGCAAGGACAATGCCAACCTGCTGCGTGTTCCTGTCGAAAAGCTCACAGGCGACAGTCGCATTTTATTGACCGATAACCTCGCTCCGTCTTACCTCAACTTTCCAAACCCGCTTCATCTCGGCGACTACAACAAGGATGGGTATCCAGACCTTGTGCTGGTCACCATACCCGATCGGGCTGGGTCTGGAGGCCGCAACAGCCCGGCTGGCAAAGGCGAGACACGAGCACACATCCTCAGAAATCTCGAGTGCAGCAAGGTACCGGCGAGCGAGAAAGCAAAACTAGGCTGCTCGCCGGATCGACCAGAAGGACGGACGTTCATCAAAGTCACGGGAGGTGCCAATGCACTAGAGGTGCTGAGGGATGTGCGCAGTGCTAGTTGGCTTGACATCGATGAGGACGGCAGTTTGGACTTGCTCTTACAGCGAACGCCGTCAACGTCCGATGGGACGGACTCGAGCCGTCGCATCACGTTCATCCAGAACAACTACTTCCACGACTCGTTCTTTCTCAAAGCTCTCACGCTCAATGGTGCTTGTCAGGGCTTCTGCGAACCCGAGGCTGCGCCCAAGTTCCGTCCGTGGGGTACCAACTACGGAGGTGCTTCTTACAAATTTACGGTGCTCGACCCTAACGGTGTACGAAGAGCTCAGCAGGTCGGACAGCTGCCTCAAACCGCGTACCGAACACTTCTGACGCCATACAGCTACTTTGGCCTTGGACGAACGAACAATTACGTCGAGTCGCTGTTCATCGGGTCGACAAGGCGACAGAAGGAGCATTACTTGGCACTAGAGGGTGTGATTCCCAACAGCCAGGTTGTCATCAATCCGTGGCAAGGCGGTCGAGGTAGTGAGAACGAGAAGGGTGGACCGGGCACGTGGACGAAGCAGCTCTACCTGCAACCGGGAGACTGGATCCCTTGGGTGACAGTGGTGTTGATCACTACGATTGTAGGTCTGGCTATTGTTGTTATTGTCTTGCACGTCAACGAACGTAGGGAGGATGAGCGCGAACGCAAGCGCGCTGTCCACGCCATCAATTTTGATGCCTTGTAACAATGCCCACTCTTTCCACTACATCACATCGATATGAAAAGACTGCAACCGCGATCTTCACTTTCTCAGCAATACGATTGTGCCGGGGCTAAAAAGGCCTGAACCACCTTTTGTAGTTGAAAGCAGTCAACGCTGCTCGTCGTCGAGGCCATCATGTCGAGTCGATCATCAAAAACTTCAAATTGCGGCTTGCATGCTAGTCGCGTAAATGAAATCCGTCCTTGGACGGAGGCAAGAAAGTGTCACGCGCCCACGCGTCCAGAGACCAACACTTTTTTCTTGTATGAACTTGCTTCCAAATATCCTTGACACATCAAATATTCACAAGACCTGTCTTTCTCCAGTCCCCGTCACTTTAGCAGCACACGTACGCCAGTGCATTTCAATCGCATGATGACGGCTCCCATCTGCCAAACAACAGAAGCATCTACCTCAAGCGAACAGTCTCGTTCGATGCGAAACGGTGTCCTACTTCATCCTGGGACCGCTCGTGATGGCCGCTGCCTTATTCTCCCGCATCCACGAACGCAGGTCCCGACGTACTACCTCTACTCTGAAAATGCTCCTGACCCGAGCTCAGCATCCTCCGATACTAGCAAGGGAGAGCTATTCGAGCTGTCGACATTGAAGGACACCAAATACGATCGGTCATGGATGATTTCGGGTGTCAACGAGGTAATCTCTTCTGGTCAGCTGGAGATCTTATCGCGTGTAGATGTGCGATTTCTCGTTACTTCACTCTTGTACAGTGTTCTTGTAGACAGCAAGTTCCGTTCGCTCGAAGACATATTTGAACAGATCGCACTTGCTTTGCATGGGAAGAGAAAGGAGGAGATGATCGATTCGATTGTAGCGCTCAAAAGCGATCTGGGAGAGGGGGAAGGAGGAGATGGGAAGGGGGGTGTACAGCAAGAGTGGACCGACATTGTCACGTTCGGCAATTTGCCAATAGTCAAAGATGCCCTGCAAGAAGTTGCTGATGTACAAGGTAAGCTTTTACACACACTTTTACTCTCTCCACTCCCACGAAAGCCACTTACCGATGCTTCCATCCTTTCTTTCTGCCAATCCAGACTTGCCAAACGGCGAACAAGCATATCGGATCTCAATCTCAAAAGTCTTCCCCATTCTCGACGCCAGACACGCGCGACTTTCACAGCAATCTACCTTTGCTGCATCACCAAACATGCTAGGCCGCAGCTTTGAACGACGATGGCCATTAGAATCTGATCCGTCGCCTTACCTCGTGGCTGGGATGGAAGAGAGTGCAGATTGCAAAGAAGCGAAAGAGTTGCGTCGAAAGATTGCCGCAGAGATCATCGCGACTAATCTGCCACCTCAATTAGCTGCGGAGTACTTCACACATCTTGGGATCGCTTTGGAAAAGTAGAAATGGAAGCAAAGCAGCTCGAAACAAGGAAGATACAAACGCTTGTGAAACGCATGTGTTCGATCGGGGCTCATAGAAGCTCTCACACCAAGTCGCCTCGCAGAGCTATCGTCAGACACACATCATCGACAGCTGAATGATTATCAAATGTTATGTTGCATGACAAAATAAAGACAGAACAATGAATGGAGTGACAAGAGCTGAAAGCCTGTTGCTGCTGATCAACTCGGTCGCTCTTCGAGAGAAAGGAAAAGATGCAAAGGTGGAAGGTGATGCTGAGTTCGTTCCGATACGGGCACCGCATTAACGCTGGAGGTGGTCGGCGTAGATGTTGGCAGCAATCTCAGCCTCAGCACGGTCACCGTTGGCGAGAAGCTTCTCCTTGTTGTAAAGAAGCTCCTCACGGGTCTCGGTCGAGTACTCGGCGTTCTGTGTCTCGACGATAGCATCAACAGGGCAAGCCTCCTGGCAGAAACCGCAGTAGATGCACTTTGTCATGTCGATGTCGTAGCGAGTAGTCCTTCGTGCGCCGTCCTCACGGGGCTCGGACTCGATGGTGATGGCCTGGGCGGGGCAGATAGCCTCACAGAGCTTGCAGGCAATGCATCGCTCCTCACCGGTGGGGTATCGTCGCAGCGCGTGCTCGCCACGGAAACGAGGGCTGAGCGGACCCTTCTCGAAGGGGTACATGATGGTGTAAGGAGGACGGAAGAAGTTCTCGAGAACGATCCACATGCCTCGAAGAATCTCGGTGAAGAAGAAGAGCTGACCGGCCTTGTCTAGCGCCGATGGGCCCTTGGAGTAATCTGGGTAGACAGGAGCATCACGCGCCTGACTCTGTGCGGAGGTGGCATCATAGGTGGCGGTATGAACGGCTTCTGGCGATGATGGACGGCCCTCGGGGATCTGTGTCGGACCGGTCTGCGGGGTGGCAAGCGAACGGGCGATGGACGAGGAGAAGAAGCGTGCATTGTAGAGGGTGGTGGATGGTGCGGCGCTGGCGAAACCAAGTGGCGCGACAGCAGTCGAAGATGAAGCGTAGGATCGACTAGCAAGGGCCGCCGAGCGGAGCAAAGAGCGGAGCAAAGAGCGGTTCAACGAAGAAGCCATTATGGCAATGTGAGAACAATCAAGGAGATTGCCGGTATGGATGCCGAAAGCGAAGGGTCGAGCGCTAGTGAAAAATGTCAGGCTGCACTGATATCAAGTATGCTGCTTCTGGTAAAGGCTGAAAGGTAGATGTGATGATGTAGGTGCGGACAGAGACGAGGAAGAGAAGAAAGGGTTAAAGGATTGCGGTGAGCACGACAAAGAGTCTCCAACTGATCCGCTTCACTGACAGTCGACCCGCTAGGCCAGGAAGGATCAACGATCGCGCGGAAAATTGGATCAATGGGGTGGCTGAAGCTCAGCAAAACAGCAACAGCAGGCGGCAGTTCTGCTTCTTGCTGATTTCAAATCAAGCTACCAACATGCTCTGTCTCAGGCATTTGTTTTAGTATTCAAAATTGGACTTCCACCGAAGTTCGAGTTGTATTCGACACGTCGAGGATTGGCAAGGTCTGAATTAAAAGTCTAGCTCGTTGAGGGGCGACCAATGACAGCCATCTGAATTGGTCATAGCCTCTCGTAGCCTTTCACTGTTCAACCTCGAATCGGGAAAAATCCAAATTTACGCACGAGCAAGGCTGGTGTGATTGTGGTGTCTTTTGGAACAAGGCAGGCCAGGGAGCTCTTTGGAAATGGGACCTACAATCCACACTCAGTCTGCGAAACCACAGATTGATATCGTCGAGGACAAGTTGCTTCTCCACTTTCTTTGCCCTTGCCTCGCCCTCAACTTCAACCCATCCCGGCCCTCAGACCCATAATGGCTGCCCTTCGTACTTCTTCACGCTCGCTCATGCGATCTGTCGCCGCGGCTGCGGCTCGATCCAACGTCTCTGCTGTCGCAAGCAGCTCATCGCGAGTATCGGCTCGTGCTCTCTCTACTTCAGCAGCTCGCTCTTCCGACTCGCTCTTTGTTCACCGCAACACCGACTATAACAATCCTGACATTCCCTTTGAGTTCAACGAGGAGAACAAGAAGATGGCACAGGAGATCATCTCGCATTACCCCGAACAGTACAAGAAGGCGGCCGTCATCCCATTGCTCGACCTTGGTCAGCGCCAGAATTCCGGTTGGGTTTCGATCTCGGTCATGAACTATGTTGCCCAACTGCTCGAGATGCCACCAATGCGTGTCTACGAGGTCGCTACCTTTTACACCATGTTCAACCGTGAGCCTGTTGGAAAGTACTTCCTCCAGCTCTGCACAACCACGCCATGCATGCTTGGCGGTTGCGGTTCCACAAAGATTCTCGAAGCGCTCGAGAGCAAGTTAGGAATCAAGGCTGGCCAGACCACTGCCGACAAGAAGTTCACACTCGTTGAGGTCGAATGCCTCGGTGCTTGTGCCAACGCTCCTATGATCCAGATCAACGATGACTACTACGAGGACCTTACCCCAGAGACCATGGTCAACATCATTGACAAGCTTAGCAAGGGCGAGACCGTCAAGCCTGGCCCGCAATCTGGTCGTCACTCGTCGGAAGCTGCTACCGGACGAACTGCTCTCACTTCAGAAGTATGTATTCAATCCTGCCACCAAAAGAGTCCCGACCTGTCAAGTCTCGGGGCTTCCCTGGCTATCTCCTTGCTTCGTGTTCGCTCAATACTGACTCGCTTTCCTCCTTCCTCTTCTTCGTCGCTAGCCTTACGGGCCCGGCAAGTTCTGTGTTCCCGAGTTCGCTTAATGTCGCAAGTTCCTGCAAATGTATCATTTTCCGCGATCCGGCATTCACGTTTCCTGCTAGAATATTCAAATACCTGCAAGACTATCATTCACGTTTCGTATTATTCGATAGCATGACTGTCTTGGCCGGTGCGAGTGGCGCGCTCTAGAATTGGCGCAGGCGAAGCTCTCAGGCAATGGAGCGCACGCACAGGCAAGTAGGCACGGAGTCAACTGGGAATGTTTTGATCATCGAATAGCAAAATCTATGGCGCAATGCCAATACACAGCGGATGGAAGTTACAACTGACAGGAACTGATTCGTTTAGGCTCAAAGATTCCCAATCAAGCCGACACCATGAGCGAGGCCAAGCTGGCTTCTGTCTGGACAACTTCGAGCGCCTGCTGTACCTCGAGACGTTTTCGCGATGCGGTGAGCCAATCCTGAGCCAACAATTTTGGCCAGCCTTTGAGCTGGTTGAGTTCTCGCGTGGCCGAGTCAAGGTCCTTCCTGTCGAGGTAGTACTCTGCCCTTGCGAGCACAGAGGGAACATCCTCACCTTGAACTAGACCCTTTTTGTGGAATAGAATTGGCGAGAGCGCCGCGCTGGCAAGATGTGAAAGCACACCCGAAGTCTCGGGGGATGGTACGAGCGAGACCTGACGCACACGAGGTCCAACCTTGTTGTCGAACCACTGCTTGAGCGTAGTGAAGGACTCGACACCGGTCTCGGCAGCATCGCTCGATTCGAGTGCCTCAATAGCAGCAGCGAGGACAGGATCATCGCGTGCCTTGGAGGTGCCTTTGAGAACGCGCAGTTGCTCGGCGAAGGGTACCTTGGTGGCCAACGAGTCATCAAGAGCATGCTGCACAGCTCGAACCGCAGTCCACAAAGTGTGGACCGAAAGGTTCTCGTCGAGCACGCTGCTGTTGTCCAAGCTGACCTTCTCCAGGCTCTTGAGCTCGGTTGCCAACTCGTCGAGCTTGGCAAGACGTCCACCACGCTCCTCCTCGACCTTGGCCTTGATGTCCTTCATCCATCGACGCTGCAGCTCAATACCTTGTGCTATGACTTCCTCCTTGAGCCTCTCGTTGATGATATGACTCTGCGTGGCAAGCTCCTTCTCGAGCTTCTCCTTGAACTGCTCCATCTGCTTGGCACGTTCCTCTTCAAACGACTTTTGCCAGTCTGACTCTCGGCTGGAAAGCTTGTTGGCGGCCTCTTCCGACTGTTTAGAGATCTGAGCCTCGTATCGCTTGGCTTGGGCTGCCAGGCTGTTCTCGACACGCTTGGCCTCCTCGCGCTTGATGGTCTCAAGACGCTGGCTCAACTGCTCGAACTCGATCTGCGCACTCTCGAGAACACCCTTGGCCTTGGCACCGGACGATGGCGTCTCTTTGAGGAAGGTAGTGAGCTCGTCGATGGTGCTTGCGAGCTGAGCGATCATGGGCTCAGACCCAGAAAGGCTCTTGATCGAAGGGGCAAGCAAGGGGAGCTTAGGTGCCTCTGGGTCAGGACGCAAGCGAGCGGTGGGCTGTTCAGGTGCTTTTAGGCCTCGGTCACGGCGAGGGGTAGCGTAGCCTGCAGGAGGTTCGTGGTTAACGGGAAGCTCGCCAATGTAGGTTTCCTTGACCTCCTCCTGCGGACCCTTGCCAGAAGAGGCGCTCTTGGAGGGGGCAGCCTTGGTGTTGGCACCAATGTCGGTCATGACTTGGACGCCGTCGACCGCACGCTGGAGCACATTGCGGCCATCCTGCTTGACCTCGGCGGCGTCACCACGAACCTTGGCCTCTGCCTTGTCGGCAGCAGCCTTGGCTCGGTTGAGAAGCTCCGAGGTCTTGTCCTGAACAGCCTTGAAAGCTGACTCGCCCTCCTCTTCCACCTTCTTGGCATCTGACTTGACATTTTGCGCGAGCGTCTCCGCCTCGTCCTTGGCCTTGTTGCGTGCCTCAGCAACTTTGAGACGAGCATCACGTTCATCGCCTGCACTCTCGCTTGCACCTGCATCGCCGCTAAGGACACGGCCAACAGCACCACTCACGCTGCCGTAGGCGGCCTTGGTGACATTGACGGCCTTCTCTCCGTATCCTCCGAAGTTGATGTTCTTGATCTCCTGACTGACATCGTGTGTGTCAAGGTAGTCGATGATGCGCTCTCCTCCTGGAACGCTCTCTACGAAAAAGTCCTGGTATCGGTCGTTGTTGAGCGCTGCCACTGTCGAGACACCGTAGAAGAGGGTAGTAGCGAGGGTAGAGTAGAGCAAGAAGCGGCCTGTGCCGGATCTTGAGGTTCCATCAGCACCAGTGGCATACGATCGAACACCGGCAGTGGTGCGGGAACGAGCTACTGATGAGGGGCTGAGAGCAGCAGCCCTGCGCAGGGCAGCGGCGCGGTTCATCATGATGATCGGTTTCTAGCGCAAGATTTGTGTCGATGTACCGGTTAGGTGGTCAAGGAACAGATAGGGCAACGGTTCGATGGTCAATGATGGGGGGTTAGAGGTCAACGAAAGACGATGTTATGCGTTGCCTCAAAGTTGTGGAGGAGAATTGAGACTTGATTATTGTGGTCTTGTTCTAAATGCCCAATGCCAATCGATTGAATCGGGCCGCATCGGAAGATCCATCGCGTCAAAGCTGATCTCTGCCTTGCTCTGCGGTCATCGACTCAAGACAGCGACAGGCACGATCACAGTGTTGGATTGAAACTGCGAGTCGGAAGAATCCGTGAGCCGTGCCTGGCCTGAGAGAGCCGGATCCGAACGTTGACCACACTAAACAATTCACTCAAACCTCATCCCCACATGCTTTTCAACGTTGACAGTGATCGACATAGTTCAGTAAACTCCGTATCCTCCGTTGTTTAGAGCTGTTTGAGGAGAGCTCTGCTTGCATGTGCGAGGGCCAAAGCTTAAATGTTCTTTATCTCGTCAAGCCCTAACATAGCATCTGAATCCTTATGCTGCCAACGAGATGTCCTTGTCACAGAATCAATAGACCGACGGAGAGAAGACAGGCTGAAATATTGAATATGCTGGTGTACAAATACAAGGTATGCTAATGAGATAAGATGATGGAGTACAGTGACGAATAGTGGTCAAAGATTGAACGACCGAGACAAGGTCGGTCTTGGTTTCGAGAAGGTCAGAACGCCTTATTGGGATATATGGACGTGACCAGCCATGCTCTGGTCGGAAGCCGCATGCCAAGGAAGGCTATGAAGTCGAGCAGAGAGCGTTGAGTCTACTCAATGGTATCTTCTCCCCTCTCATCACTGCGCGATCGGCATTGATCCCAAACATGATCGCGTGCTCCAAAGAACGACGCACGGGGCGAGATGGAGCCTGCTTGTGGTGATAACTCCTCCATGACACGGAATGGAACGTGCACGGAAAGCATGGCTTGGTGGCCACGACCACGACCGGAAATGTTGCTGGGTGGGCTTTGCTGTGAGATCGAGGCCTGCGAAAGCGAAAGTGACAGGGTTGCTGTTGCAGTGGCCGCTCAAGTCTGTCCTTTGCCAGCCTTATGTGAAGCTAACGAGTTGTGCAGCCCAGGGCCACGCAAAGAGAGATCCGCATCTCTTCCGCCGAGCGAGGAGCGACGGCTCACCCAGTCGGGCAACTGCTGCCAAATATCGTGCACTGGCTCCCTGGTCTCCTTGTACGCGCTATGGCGAAGCGCTTCAAGCGTCGCCCTTGCATTTCCTGCCAGAGCCCAATCCCATTCCGATTCGTCCGAGGCGGATATGCGATTGCTCCAATGAGAACCAACGCAGGATCGAGACGACGTGAGATTGCTGCCGACGCGGTTCGACTCTGGTGATGCCGAGACCGAGGCTGACGTTGAAGCAGGCAAGGAGACGGTGGCTGGCGCATGAACTGAGCCCACCGAGGCGCGGGCTGGAGAAGACATGGTGAAGCTCTGCAGTTGCTGAGCCAAGAAGTGCGAGTTGGCTGTAGAAGGAGGAGCAGATGTTGCGGTACGACCCCAATCAAAGCCACTTGGCTCAATAATAGCCTTGCGAGCGGCGCGCAAAAGACCCAGGTTGCCTGCGCCCAGTGTCATGGGCAGGTTGGCCAAGTCAAGCATAAGCGTAGATGGAAGCGCATCGCGACTGGACGCGACCTTGCGGCGGCGACGTTGCAAAACACCAGAGGCACGACTCTCGGAGCAGGCACGGGCGATGATTGGGCAAGGTAGTGAAGGACCGGCCGGCTCGACAAACAAAGTCGACTTGGACAAAGAGGCTTCGGGCGCACTCGATGTCCTCTGAACACTCGGTCGTCGGCTGCTGGTATCCATCAAGCCCAAGGGCTCAACATACTCGTCATTCACAGATCCTGACAAGCTAAAGGTGGCGTTGGAAGTATTAGCACCACCCAAGGGACTCTCGGCTGTGCCGGCAGCATGGCTGGAGAAGCGGAAGGAAGAGAGGGCGGCTTGCACGTCACGACGCGGAGCGTTACCTGAGCGACGAGGCGAAAGATCGAAGTAGCTGGGAGAAGCATGGCTCGGGCCAACATCGTTGGGTATTCTGGGCACCATGTTGTGCTATGTTCGAAGGCGGAAGGGCCAAAGTTCTCGTGAGGGATGAGTGCGAACAATGTGCGGAGAAGGGGTCGTTCGTTGTATTAGTGCTCGAATTGATGGAGTGGATGCTAGCGACGAAGATGCGATAGTTTGAACGCCAGGAGCTCGAGTTGGAGCGTTTGTCCGATTTGGTCCGCGAGTTGTCAGTTCAGCAGAGCATGATCAATATGTCAAGGTGTTGCAAGAGCTACGAAGATGGTGAGAAGGGACACCTAGATTCGACCTGGGCGCAGACAGAGCGGAAGGACGTCCGGAGATGGTCGAGAGGCGATGAGGCGGTGGTAGAAAGGATGTAGGAAATGGTCGAGATGGGAGTAGAGACTGCTTCGAAAGGCGACCAGCGAGGAGAACAAGTAAAGGCGAATGCGAATATGATTCCTCTAACTAACGTTCAAGTTGGCTTCTCTACGTCAGCAATCAACTGCACTGTAGCAGCGGACCCTGTGCAGGTGTGCAGCTCGTCAGGAAAGCGGAAGGGCGGGAAAAGTAAGTTAATGGCGAGGCAGCAGCGTGGGTAGCGGAGAAGTCCAAAAGGGCCAACACAGGCGAACCTGGCGCAGCAAAGTGACAGAGCAATCCCACCACAAATGCTTTGCATAAAATGGCAAGGGAAAAGGGAAAAGGGAAAAGGGGAAAAAAATAAAAGAAAAAAAAAAAACGCAAAGAAAAGGCGGTATGAGAGGGCAGAAGAGAGCAATCCGAACCATCAATTCTTACCATAGCATAAACAATACGAGATCTTAAAGGAAAAGCTAGAATTGCGGGATGAGCGTGAGTGTGCTCACAGGCTCGAGAGGGCAGGATGAGCGCAAGAGAGCGTGAAGACAAAAGGGGGACACATGGTGGGAAAAACACTTGAATACGGTGAAGTTTTTCCAAGCGAGCAGCTGCGAGAATGGTGGTGATTGGAGAGAGAGAGCATTCTGTAGCTGCGCGATGACTTGGAAAAATTTCAAACCATGGATTACATCACACGACTTTTGTCAAGTGATTATCCGGCTTCACATTACACTGTTGAGTAACACATTTCTACACTCTTGAGTTGCTGTCTGAACGAGGGTAATGCGAGAAGCAGCCTCGGACCAACTCCGGTCGAGCAAACAGAAAGCTTTCCATTTGTCCTTGCAATGCGCCATACTATCAAAGCCTACGCAGCACCATCCACTCCTGAGCCTGTGTCAGAGTAATTCTCAGCACATCCACCGCAGTCATCAGGGTAGACTTGACGGTGTTGAGAAGCAGACCCGGCTTGAGCCATTAACAAAACAAACGAAGAAGACAGGGACAGGAGGCCTTTTTTTTTTTTTTTTTTTTTTTTTTCGAACTACTGTCCGATGACATAGGTGTGACTAACCTTGCCTCACTTCCGGTTGCAACTAGTTGAAGATGCACCGGCATCGCCAGCGAGTGACGTATTAAATGGGAGCTCACAGGATCGGGGAATCGGGAAGATATCGGGCGATGAGGAAGACGAGCAGGATGTGAAGCTAGTGGGGAACTAATGTAACCTATGCACAATGATTGACACCATGGTATGCAGGAGGTATGTTGGTATGACAACACATATGAAAGAAGGTACGTGGCATATGGGCATGACTCAACAAAGTGAGCACAGTCGGGTGCCTAGGACATGTATATATACTCCTAGCCTAGTTGCCACCTCACCAAAATAAATGATAAAGCCTTTTTACCTAGATCGTATGACTGTGAGAGTGCCTGACTGTGGCCTCTGATTAGTCATATCTAAATTTAACTCAACTCCTGCGCAATTGGGCTAACTGCAGTACGGCACCCCAATTGAAGATAACAATTAATATACGGCGTTATCGGGGTCACGATCAGACTCCCTTTACCACAGCCATATGTTCTATGTAATGCTTAGTTTTCATGGTGTGAGACTGAATGACAAACACATATATATACTCCATTCACTGCTCTGGTCCTATTCGAGGCAGGATGTGTCTCTTCATTTGTACTCCTGTGTTGCTATGATACCGGGTGCCACTGTGCTGTCACCATGACAACAATTACGTACCTCATTGTACTTCTCGCTTACGTGAGCCTCCCGTGTCTCAATGTCTCGGCCGTAACATGTGCATCTTGCTTGAGATGCCGACGCATCTTCAACTACCCCTCTTTCCTTTTGCTGGGTTTTGCCAATTTCTACTGGCGCGCCTGCACAATCCTGTGTGCAACATTATTCAACTCCCGACAAATCTCAGGCCAAAAAAAAAAAAAAAAAAAAAAAAAAAAAAAAAAAAAAAAAAAAAAAAAAAAAGAGAGTTTGCAAATGCCAAACATTTGTTTGCCACCTTACGCCTCTTCTGCAACTGTCACAGCTCGGGCTCACGGTGGAAAAGGGAAGCTCCCACTTTCCTACAAGGAGAAGAGGTTTGAGCATGCCGATTCTGATTGTAGTTGTGGTCATCAAGTTGACCGGCTACACGATCACAATTCTCGCAACAACAGACTCTGTCTTCCGGTCTGCGTTGGCCAACAATGAAGCCCCTTTCTTCGTCTACTGTAGTCGTGCAAGGCATGATCTCGTTCTTGTCAGTTGGGTGTGTCGCGTGCGCAAGTTGTTCTTTGTAAGCGAGTACCTCGGCTCGAGCAGCGTGGACGATTTGACTTCCAGAAAAGTGCCAACCAGCGAGCGAGCGAACGAGCCAGCCACTTGACGGACGTGAGAAAGGGTTCTGCCTCGCCTACAGACAATCAGAATCTGGCAGCTGTTCGCCCTTCTTCGCTTCTAGCCTGTGGTCAGAGTAGACCCTACCGTGCAGAACTCAAAAGTCAGGAACAGGCATCCCGAAGAATTCGCATCGAAGCGCTTCTGCCCTCCTCTGTCCCTTCTCTTTCTGATGCTTTCGATCATCGCTTCTCCGCGAGACATGGACACCGTAACAACTGGCTGACCGGTCAACCTCCGAGCGGATCCAAAAAGTCGTCAGCAAACGTAGCTTTCCAATGAAATCGCTGCAGACAGAAAAGCGAACAAGCAAGCACGCTCGCAAGCAGTTGTGATGGGAACAGCGCTGCTCAATCCTGAAAGGAGGTCCAAGCTATTAGATAGTTCAGGCCTAAGGCGATCGGGCTTCGGGACGTGTCAGAAGTGAATCCGATCCGATCTCACCTCACAGCGACTCTATCATACTCCACAAATGGTTATAGTTCAGCTTGTTGACCTCAGGCAGCGGGTAATGTCTCCAATGGTCGCATCGTGCTTTGAGGATCCCTTGCAGGAGACGACGAGCTTGTGTCTGAAAGGTTCATGTGCTGCGGCCGGCTCTCTCTCCTTGGCTCAACATGTGGTTAAAACAGTCTTCGAAATCAGGGCTCCAAAAGTCCAAGAAAAGTGCACACCAAGTGTAATCTTAGACCAACACCTTTGTGTTTCCGGCCAAAATCCGGCTTTCTATTCGGCGTCTTTTGACGACGCTGGTCTCTGCGGAATTCTGAGCTCCGCATCGAGCGCTACACAGGGAGAGAAATCGAAGCTTTGACCAGCACAGACACCATCCGACATATTTTCTCAGCTTCCATCTGCATTCAACACAACACGCGAGCCAAAGACAGGATGCTGCCGATCACACAAGAAAGCGTAAGTCTGTTGGACGAGAAACGAGACGTCAGCTCGTCGTCGAGCAAGGCCAAGACGAGATCCAGATGGACTGCCGTCCTCGCAATGGTTCTCGGGGCCAGTGCTTTGACCTTCCTGTCGCTCGACAATACAGCGTCCAACACCGTCAATGATAGTCTTTGGAAGCTCACACACTCCTTCCAAGCAGACCCCTCCTCAATCTTGGCGGCGCTCTGCCCTCAACAGGATCCCTACAGCCTCAAGGATGGCCTAGCTGACCTCGACCGCGACTTGCTGGCTACAAGACTTAGCAAGGCTGTTAGGATCGACACGAGCGTTGGCGACGAATGGCCTGACCCGAACGACATTCCTCAACGATGGGAGGCTTTCCCAAAGTTTGCAGATTGGCTCGAGACTGAGTTTCCACGTGTTCATGAAAGGTTGGAGCTGGAGAAGGTCCATCAGCATGGTTTGCTGTACACCTGGCGGGGAAGCGATGAATTCCTCAAGCCGCTGCTCATGATGGCTCACCAGGATGTCGTCCCAGTCAATCAGGGAACTCTGGACCAGTGGCGGTATCCGCCCTTCGACGGTTTCATCGATGAAAAGACTGAGACCGTCTGGGGCCGCGGCTCGACCGACTGCAAGGCTTGGCTAGTCAGCCTGCTCTCTTCCGTTGAAGGCTTGCTTGCTAAGAACTGGCAGCCAAAGCGCACCATCCTCTTCAGCTTTGGCTTCGACGAAGAGTCCGGTGGAAAGCAGGGCGCAGGCTGGCTCGCCAAGCGTATCGAAGAGATCTGGGGTCGAGACAGCATTGCCATGATCGTTGACGAGGGCAACCCTGTGTTGGCCGCTTCAGACAAAATGGGGCCTGGCATTGATGTCGCCATGCCCGGTATCGCCGAGAAGGGCTCTGTAGATCTTGCTGTTACCGTCGAGTCGGCTGGTGGCCACTCCTCTCAGGCCGGAGCGCACACCTCGATCGGTCTGCTTGCACGAGTCGTTGCTCAGCTTGAAGACAAGCGCGATCAACTTGACGAGAGCAAGATCGGCGGGCCTCAGCTTCAGTTCTTGCAATGCATCAGAGATGGTCCTCGCATTCCTGGTGCTCTCCGTTCTGCCCTCAAAGATCTTGAGTGGGCTTCCAAGTCCTCGTTCGAGCACCTCGGGCTCTACTCGACCATGCAGTGCGTTCTTCCCAACTCATTCACCTCGTTTGTCCTCCCGGCCCTCAACGCCTGGTCGGAACGAGGACGTCAACGACGCATAAAGCAGGCCAAGCACCGCGTGGTGCACGCAATGCCGGAGCAGTTGCAGACCCAGTTCATCACCACTACTGCAGTAGACATCATCGAGGGAGGTGTCAAATTCAACGCTCTTCCCGAGAGTGCCACGGCGTACGTCGACCACCGCATCGCTATCACCAGCAACTTCAAGGAACTCAAGGAGCACTACATCGATGTACTCACTTCGGTCGCCGAAAGGTACAACATGGAGATGGTGGCCTTTGGAGAGCACATCCTCAACGCAAGTTCCCCCATTGGAGTTTCAAAGCTCGTTATCAAAGAAGCTCGCAGTGCCCTCGAGCCCGCTCCATGGACTCCGCTCGAGGGAGAGAGGGCCAAACCCTGGCAACTCTTCTCTCAGCTCGTTCGTGCCGTATGGGTCAATGCTGACGGCGAGCCAGTCAAGGTCGCCCCGTCCATTATGCAAGGCAACACAGACACTCGTTACTACCACAACCTGACCCACAACATCATTCGGTTTGGTCCATCCAGCATTACCCCAGACAAGACTGGACTCGGCGCCTTGACCGGCGTGCACACCGTCAATGAGCACTACCCGATCCAGGGCCTCGCCGACAGCACCAACTTCTACACTGCCCTCTTCCGTGCTGCTAGTGTCGAGGATCTCTAATTTCATATACCAGATCTTGTCTCATGCTCAAAACCCATCTCAATAAAGGGGGCTCTTGAAGCTTGTGAATGTCAGGGGCAGGGTCGAGAAAATGTATCCCACTATTGCATTTCGAAAAATGTATCCTCCTATTGCATCCCTATGCTACAGACATGGGTTGGATCTCGGTTATTCGCAGCGTTGTCGGAGAAGTAACTCGACCTGCCAACTTTGTCGACGCCGGTTCCATGTTACACCGTCTTTGCTGTTTCGGGACGACAAATACACAAGTGTCAACAACACACGTTCGCAGTCTGAAGACCCGATCTTCACGTGATCGGCGCTTATCTGGACTTTTTGAGATCGCTGCTTCGTGCATCTTCGTGTTTCTTCTTGAACAAGTTTGTTCTTGCTCCACCTGTGCGTTGCAAAAGCAACTTGCTTCCTTCCTCGAAACGCTCAGTCTCGCGTTGACCATACCTCTTCGTTCCTCCTTCACACCACACTGACACCGACACCTAACGCAGCCAGGCCTTTCCTCGCGTCTCCAACACCACATTGTTCACCGACGCATGCAGCCGTGCAAAAGTCGATAAGGGCAGGCGGATTGCTGTCACGAGCCTCATCTGATCGACCCCAGGAAGATACACACCGGCCACGGGCGCAAAGCGGATTTTAGGGCTACGCCACTTTGACCCAATCTGATCGTAATGCCGCTACCGTACACCCCTTATAAGCTCGCGTCAGCATCGCTGGTTGCACCAGCATCCGTGCTAGGATCCCGCAGTCATGACGAAGGGACCATCGCAGTCCCAACTCCACAACATCCAGGTGTCGACAACGAACCAGAACCCATCAATGTAGCTAATCACCACGCCGTGGATGCTCGTCTATATTTCCCGTCCTCTTTCTCTGATCACTTCGATGGCGGCTTCGTTCTCGCGCGCGTCGTGGCCGGAGGTCGAGAGCTTCAGCTACGATGGTCAACATTACAGGACCAGAGTGCTGCTGCCTCTTCGTCGTCTAAAGCGCTCGCCACCAAGGCTCGATCATTCGCTGCCTCACTCAATTCGAAGCTAGGGTCCGAGCCCGCTCGCTCTTTCCTTTTCCCTGCTCCGCTGCTTCCAGGTCTTGGATTGTATGCAGATCCCTCCTCCAACCGCCTTTACGTCATCGCGGTCACTACCACAGGCTTCCTCTACCGCCTCGTCTTCAGGGCTCCGGATCTATTCCATGAGACAAAGCTAGCATCCAGCTGGTCCTCAGAGTACCGAATTCAGCACATCGCATCTTCAGACTCTGTTCTCGCCGCTTCCATTCGAGGCGCTGCCAATGCGGCTCAGCTCTACGTCGTCGACTCTGGCCTCGCTCTTGTCACCTGCGCTGATGGCACCATCGTCAAGCTCAGTCGTAGCAGTTCCGGATCTAGAGACGTCAACGACAATGCATGGAAGGAAACTGTATTGCGGCCGACCTCGTTCCTCTCTGGCGTCTCCCGCTTCTTTGGACGATCCAACGCGATCTCCGACTCAGAGTCTTCACCAAGCTATGCCCTTTCTCTCGACGTCTACCCGGGTGAGGTCGGCAACGCCTTGGCGTTTGCCGCCAGCCGCGATCGCAAACTCAGAGTATGGAACCTTGTAACCGACTCTTGCATCCGCACCATTGACCTTCCCCTGCAGATGGAGTCGGTTGCATCTAGTGAGAAGCGGTTGGTCGTCGCCGAAGACCAAACTACATCTTCCGAGTCGTCAGACACACAAGCATACTTCAGCACGGTCTCGAGACCTCTCGTCAAGGTGTTCACACCTGGTTCCGAGGACAAAGATGGCTACGCCCTTTACATTTTGGTCTACATACCCGCTTCGCCTCCTTCTGGTAATTTCTTTGCACTGTATGGAGTTGAGCTTGAGGACGTCAAGAGCTCTTCTGCCGGCCTCGGCGAGGTGATCCTTGTGTGGCAAAAACGCTGCGATGCTGAAGCACGCGGTCGTAACGTCGAGCTGCGGGATGTTGTCTTCACACCTCAGGGCCAGGACGACCGAGGCGACGGTTGGGTGATGTGGGCGCTTTGGGACGCCGGAGCCGGGCCGGTGCTCAAGTATGCGAAAGTTGGCGTCGAGGCTGCCAATCCTGACGAGAGCTCCATGAGTGTTCGTTCCGTCGCTGAAGATCTCTCCAAAGATGACTGGCGGACCGTCTCATCGGAACGTGTATACCGGCCCTTACATGGGGAAAACTTCGAGGCGACGCTGGAAGCGACAAAAGAGGTGATCGATGCTGCCGAAATCTTCCTGGATCGCGTTCTTGAGCCCGGTCGCTTCTCCGAATCTACGTTGCGACTCGCGCTCTCGACCTACAAAGAGGCGGCGGCGTCATCCTCGACTCGTCAGCCTTCCAACCTGTATGCAAGTCTTCGTGACGAGGCCGCTTCCGTGGTCGCAAGCGGATGCCAGCTCGAGAACGATCCCAGAACGGGCGGGCCAATGTACGAAAAGCTGTATGCTTCACGCATTCGAGAATGGATGCGCTTTGTCGGTCTCGCCGAGCAGATCGAGACATCGGCGCGATGGCCAATCGGCCTGTCACTCCCAGCTTCTGGCGTACACACCGGGGCTCTCCGAGGAGGGACGATCGTACCGTTGGTCGTCAGCCGCGACACCTTGGCGCTACCAGTCAATGAAGATGAGGCCAGCATCGTGGAGCGATTGCAACGGACCCTGTTCCTTTCACCCAACAGTCAATCTGGCCACTCGATCGGCTCCGAATCAGCACATGACGAGCGCACTCTACTGATGCACGCAGCAGACTCGCACCCAACTAAGATCCTACCTACGCTCGGTCGAACATCCGCCACGGTGGCCGAAGTGCTCACTTTGCTCGAATCCACCTCGGAGCTCTCCAGCTGCTTCACTGCTCCCGAGTTGGAGGCTTTCGCAGCCGGTCTTCAAAATCTGCTGTCTGAGCCTCTCGCTGTTTCGGTCAAGGAGGCCATCGCCGATGTGTGGGCCAACAACTTCGCGGCGCTTGGTGGCGAAGAGGCCGTCGAGATTGTCGCCCGAACCGCCTCTGAGCTGGGCGCCAGTCTGGACAGCACACTCACAGACGTTGCTATCCTGCTCAGCGAAGTCGCCAGCGACGTCGACACTCTGTCTTCATCCTCAACGTTAGCATCCACAGACCTCGGATCTGCATGGACGGCAGATGCACTTGTGCAGACATTGGCGTCGCGCCATCGTCTCGCCGTCTCCTTCATGCTTCTTCTGACAGCGCTTGCCGCGGAAGATAGAATGGCCGACTTGGTCGGCAACGAAAGCATGCAAATCGCTGCTGCGCTCAGCATCTTCCAGTCCATCAGCGCTGCTTTGCAGCTAGCGCGTACCGATGGAGCCATCCAAGTGGCCGGCAAAGCCGATGGCATCGCCGAGACGGACTCCATTGTTGCTAGGCTCAATCAAATGTCAGTTGCCGGACGCAAGAGTCGGGAGCCGCACCACTTTGCAGCGCCCACGCTACTTCACAGATGCATTCGTGACGAGCTGCTCGGCGTCGGCAGCGCATCTGCGGGTGACGACACGCTCAGCCTATCGATCAAATTCGCTGTGCTCACAAGTCTCTGGTCGCTGGGTCTCACGAACCTTCGCGAAGCATCGCCCTCTGGGAGCAAGCCGTTGTTGCCGTACTCGAACGACCGACACACTTCGATTGCTTTTGCAGTGCTAGTGCATGGCTATCCGCTGGCTGCTGAGATGCTGCTTTCCAGCTTTCCCGAAACTGCAGCTGGAGAGTATGTCCGGGCCCGCGCACTTGTCCAGATGCAGAGGCTAGAGGATGCGAGCGCATCCTTCGTGAAAGTTGACAGCGCGCTCGAGTTGCCCAACAACTCACGCAGCCGTGCTGCCAGCGGTCTCTTAGAGCTTCTCCCCTCTGCAGTCGTTGTGACGGAGGGAGAAGAGCGGATTGCAGCTTATTACCGCCACGTCGCACTCTTCTTCGAGCCTTTCGAGGCGATCGAACAGGTGATCCGCTTCTGTCAAGCCAGCATCGATGCTATTGGAACCTATGCGGACGGCAAAGAAACCTCGAGCGGTGCAGAGGCAGAAAAGCAGAAGACATCTGGACCGAAGGAGGTCTGGTTCAAGATTTTCCGCTGCCAGCTTGCACTCAATGACTTTGAGGCTGCTTACGCTACTGTGATGGCGACACCGTACGAAGGTGTTCGAAAGGATTGCCTGCGTCACCTGGTCAGTGTCATGTGCGATGAGGGCCACATTCAGCCTCTGCTTCACTTCACTTTCCCGGGCTTGCAGAGCGAGGTGGAGAAGACTCTATCCTTCAAAGCGCGCAACTCGGATCCTTTGGCAGTGCCCAACTACTACTCGGTGCTCTACTCGTACCACGTGTTCCGAGGCGACCTCAAGTCGGCGGGTGCGGTCATGTATCAGCATGCCGAACGACTGGGCGAGCTGCATCGATCAGGACCTGCGGGCTACAATGGCATCGATCCCCTGGAGCGTTTTATGGTCGTCGCAGTGGAACAGGCGCAGAGCTATCTTGCGTCCATCAACGCTTTGACCATGCTGAAGCACGAAAACGCTTGGTTTGCACACGCAGCCGATTCTGAAGGTGCACAGCTCGTTGACGGCGCCGAATCGCTCTTCGGCCCGAGTTCATCGGAGCGTGCTGGCGCTGCAGCAGGAAAGCAAGCAAGTAGCCTCACAAGATACATCCCGTCCTTGGCCTACAGTCAACGAGTGCGCGAGATTCGTGTGGTTTCTGTCGACGACGTACGTCGAGAGTATACACTTGCCCTGGCGCGACTTGAACTGGTCAAGCGATATCCGGATCTGGCGTACTCGACTACGGTGTTACGACCCTCAGATGCGGTCCTCCTCTTTGTCAACAGCGACTCTTTCGATTCAGCTTTCAACATGGCATGGAGCCTAGGTGTCGACATGTCACCTATCTTCTCTGCACTCACCATGAAGGCGGTCGCACTGTCGCGTGCCAAGAAGAAAAGCTACGCAACCAAGATCAAACCCGCCGACGAGGCCGTTAACGGCAACGGCGACAAGAAGCAGGTTGTTGACCACCCAGAGATCGCTGAGTTGGAGGAAGCGGATGAGGATTTATTGGAGCCGGAAGCGATGTTCCTGACACTATCAGAAAAGTCGGCAAGCTGGGAAGGACGAGCTGCGGAGCGAGCATGGCGATACATACGATACCATTTGGAAATGTACGACTCGGAAGAGGACGGCAAATACTATCGAGTAGTACTTGGGCGTGCGTCGTCGTTGGACCACACAGCGATGCCAAACTGGTTGACGGATTGGTTTAATCGAACGGATAACAGCGTTGTACTGCTTCGTCTTTGGATCGACAATGAGCTGATTGTCGAGGCTGCTCACTTGGCAACCAAATGGTTGCAGGATGCTACCAAGCAAGCAACCTCATTGACGCGCGCGAACGAGCAGTATATCTCGAATCATATCATCGACACGCTGCTGGTCAACCTGGATGAGAAGACAGGTACTGTCGTGGCATCTAGAAGGGAAGAAGCGGGAAAGGCGAAGGCAGAGCTTGAGCAAGCTCGTAAGAAGCACATTGATGCTCTTGCATCCCGATCCAGGACGCTCAAGCGACAGGCTGAGCAGGACGCTTTCAGGCAAGAAAAGCGTCGTGAACAGCAGCAAGGCGACTCATTCGGAAGGTCTGGCACTGGCCTTGGAGCTTATTAGACAACACCTCGAGAGCAAGCCCGAAACATAGAAAGTCAACGCACAGATCCAGTAGCATGCATGTCAAGCAGCATACGACAATGTTAACTGAGATATAAAAAAATCCAAGTTTTCAGCTCGCGATGGTCGACAGTGACGAGACAATCGTCGAGCCTCTCTTCTAGGTGACATGTGCGAGGAATCCGATACCGAGGCCTCAGGTGACAAGGACTGGTGTATTGGCCGAACAAATATTGACGTTGTCAGCTCCTGACCGGAAGGGATTGTGATGAATACAGGAGACTTGTCCGAGGATCATGCTCGGAATACAAGGTGAAGGCAAAGAGAAAGAGGGTCCAACCTCCGGCTTGTCCGGAAGCGCGAAGCCATACAGTCAAGTTGCCAGTGTGCTGAACCGAGCCTACCGTAGATGGCGACTCTCAGGTACGAGAGATTGACAACTGCAGGCTTTGAGTGCTAGGTTCAGTCTGTCAACGAGTGTCTTGACAAAGGTATCGATCCAACATGATGATGAAAGGTGACGTAAGCCGATGGTGAAGAGATCGGGACAGGTCGATCTAATCAGAGATTTGGTAGAACCGATCTGACAAGAGATCGGGTGCAACACAGTCCCGCTCGTTGTCATGGTAGATCATTAAGTAGGAGTACTCCCACCTTTGGCAGCTGCCACACAAATGTATATATATCAAGCTGAGAGCACTAGGCTCTCCCCACATTCCTTAAGTCAATTGAGTATACAGCTCACATGTAAACTGTCCCACAAATTTACATGTCACCATACATCACTCTAATGCTCAATAGCCATAAGTTGTATTGCCACACTGTCTGATATTGTCTGAAAGCCCTGCTTCTTCTCTCCAAGACTGTGTAAATGATATTGACATTGACTAAGAAAATTGTGCTATGAAGAAGAGCTGATTTTTTTTTTATTGTGGGACAGTTTATGGAGCATGCACCCAAATAGTGACACCACTCCATTCCTGACCTTGTGGGCTTTTGACTACAATGAAACTTGCAATGTAACTTGGTGGGCACCTTCATACACATCAAAAGTAGTGACATGGAAAGTTTCAGCTCAATCAGATGACTGTGAGCAATCCAGCAGCACTTCCAGTCTGACACCATCATATCTATACCATCATGCCAAAAACAACCCCAGAGAAATGCCAATTGGCAATCTTTCACCTCCAAAATGGGGAATCTACCTGTTCAGTTGCCAAGCAACTCAGTCTGAGCAAGTCTATGGTGAATCACATCAGCAAAAGCACCTCCACTGATGTTCCAAAGTCAAAGGGGGGCTGGCCAAGAAAACTCCAGCCTCATCATGTTTGCTTCCTGGACCACTATTTCAAGCTCAATTCAACCTCCATGGTCAGGAAAGCATGTCATGCACTGCAGGAGATGTTCCAAGTCACAGCATGCCCAACCACAGTAAGAAAAGCACTTCATTACTGTCATTACAAAGCATGGAGGTTAGTGAAAAAACCAAAGCTACTCAAGACATTACAAAGCCCATCACAAATTTGCTAATGAGCACAAGGACATGACTGTTGAGGTTTGGAAGAATGTGGTATGGTCCAATGAGACAAAGATCAACTTCTTTGGACTGGATGGTAAGCAGTTCTGTTGGATTAAGAATGCTGGCTTCAACAGCAAGCTGGTCAGGCTGATGGTCAAGTTCAGCAGTGGCTCCATCATGATCTGGGGCTGTATGACATGGGAAGGGGTGGGAGGCATGTGCTTGGTCCTGGGATCAATGAATTCAGACCAATAAATTGATATCTTGAATGACAAGTGTCAGAGGTCATGTGCCCAAAACCTGATATCTGTAATAGAGTCACATCTATTACGAATCCTGTCAAGATATGTGACAATGCTTATGGTATTACAATTCTTGGCAAGATATGTAGTAGAGGCATCTCTATCACTTTTCTCACTCAGAAATGAAGTAGTGGTTTTGCTATTGCAGGTTTCAACTGACTGCTGTGGACACTCCATCCAGAGGTAGCTCAGCATGATCAATAACTGGTATGAACTGGTACTGACACCAAGGTCTGGTGTGAGAGATATGTTTGGTGGCACCAACATGAGTGTCCAGTGTGTCAACTGTATGCTTGAAGTGATCCCCAGACTGCAGTGGACAACTGCCTTTGGTTCTATCTTTATCTGGACTTCTGGTTTGCTATGAACTGCCTTTGGACTTCAGTGAGTGGTGATACAACACACATGCTATGATGGATGCAATCTATTGAGATTGCAACTTGCTGACTGGATACTAATGTATACTTATGTGTAAGCTATAACTAGTAGTGTATGGTGTAGAGTGGATGGTGATCCACTCCTCTACTATGATGGGAAGCATGGTTATATACTTTCTTGCAGTGCTGCCTGTGGCACTGCTCCTCCTCCTCCTTCCTGCTATCCTCCCCATCCATTCCTGTGATGCCACTCATTGGCACCACTTCCCTTACCTCCTGCAGATGGACGACTCTCCTGCTGTCTCATCTCTGTTAGGGGTCAGTCCCACTTCATCTGAGTGGCAACTCGCACCCCCCTCTCATCTCTCCCTTGTTGTCAACACCCACCTGCTGGCACCAATTTCATCATCGTGCCAGGCCCCTGCTTCATCTGGTGGTGTCCCCCCTCTGTGCAGTGTCCTCCCCTTGTCCTATTGGTGATGGGGTGCCTCTTGTCATGGGCCTGAATGCTCAAGAAGCAGGAGGGTCACTGGTTCATATGGAAGGAGCACAGGTATCAGAGATCTAGTCAATACCAGTAGAGAGCATGGTCATAGTGCAGTCTCCATGGAGACCATGGACTCCTACGGACTCACATGCAAAGGAGGACCAGGCCCATGTGCGAGGAGGGCCAGGCACAGCCACAAGGAGGACCAAGCTCAAGGAAGCATACAGATGGTTACCACTCAGGGGCTCGAGAGACAAGGAACCGTCACCAGTCAAAGGAGAAGGAGCAGTGTATAGGTGCCAAGCAAGCAGGATAGCAAGGAGGAGGAGCAGTGTCGAAGGAGTCGACACAGCTCAAGAGGCACAGGGGTGCCAAGCAAGCAGGATAGCTCAAGGAGGACAGGAGTGGTGCTAGAGGGGCCCCCTGTACAGTACTCAATGAAGAAGGTACTCTCTGGAGAGAGAGCAGGGGCAGCATCACTGGCGACGCTGTGAAGAGGTATATAACCATACCTTCTCATCGTCAAAGGTCAAGTGGATCCTCATCCACTCTACTCACCATATAACTAGTTATCACTTCAGCATAAGTATACATTAGTTCCAGTCAGCATAGCAGCAATCTATCAAGGTTGCCTCTCATTGTAGTGTGTGTGTTGTATCACCACTACCTGATGTCTGAAGGCAGCCCATAGCAGGTCAGTGGTCCAGATATAGATAGAACTGAAGGCAGTAGTCCACTGCAGTCTGGGGATCATTTCAAGCATTAGTCAGCACACTGGACACTTGTGTTGATGCCACCAAATTACCACCAACACCACCAACCTTATCACCAACACCATCAACCTCATCATCATCAACACTCACACCAGACCATGGTGTCAACATAACCTTCATATTGATATTGATCATGCCAAGCTACCCCTGAACAGAGTGTCCACAGAGGTCAGCTGAAACCTACGATAGTATATACAATGAATGCCACCTGCTGTCACTGTGCAACTTGATAGTCACCGATACCAAGACAATAGCTGTCACACAGTTTGATAGTCACCAAGTATCTCGACAGACCGACCTGGGTTTCAGGCGCGAGACCCCTGACACCTCTCTGACCAATTCTCATGAGATCTGTCATACCCAGCATGATATTGTGATTCCCACCAAACTCTGTAGTAACAACATCATGTCAGGGGTCTCGCGCCTGAAACCCAGGTCGGTCTGTCGAGATACTCGGTGACTATCAAACTGTGTGACAGCTATTGTCTTGGTATCGGTGACTATCAAGTTGCACAGTGACAGCAGGTGGCATTCATTGTATATACTATCATAGGTTTCGGCTGACCTCTGTGGACACTCCGTTCAGGGGTAGCTCGGCATGATCAATATCAATGCTTCGGTTATGATGACACCAAGGTCTGGTGTGAGTGTTGATGATGATGAGGTTGATGACGTTGGTGATAAGGTTGGTGAGTGTTGATGATAATGAGGTTGATGGTGTTGGTGATAAGGTTGGTGGCGTCAACACGAGTGTCCAGTGTGTTGACTTTGACGCTTGAAGTGATCCCCAGACCGCAGTGGACTACTGCCTTCGGTTATATCTATATCCGGACCGCTAACCTGCTATGGGGCGCCTACAGATGTCAGGTAGTGGTGATACAACACACACACTATGATGAGGAGCAACCTTGATAGATTGCTGCTATGCTGACTGTAACTAATGAGTACTTATGTTTCTAAAGTATTGACTAGTTGTATGGTGAGTAGAGTGGATGAGGATCCACTTGTCCTATGATGATGAGAAAGCATGGTTATATACCTCTTCACAGCATCGCCAGCGATGCTGCTCCTGCTCTCTCTCCAGAGAGTACCTTCTTCATCGAGTACTGCTCAGGGGCCTCTCCTGCTTGGCACCCCTGTGCCTCTTGAGTGGTGTCGACTCCTTCGACACTGCTCCTCCTCCTCATGACCTGGTGTCGACTCCTTCGACACTGCTCCTCTTCCTCAGGACCTGCCTGCTAGTGTCCTATACACTGCTCCTTCTCCTTTGACCGGTGACAGTTCCTTTGACTCTTGTCTCTCGAGCCCCTGAGTGGTAACCATCTGAGCTTGGTCCTCTTCGTGGCTGTGCCTGCTCCTTGAGCTTGGTCCTCCTCGTGGCTGTGCCTGGCCCTCCTCGCATGTGGCTTGTGTCCTCCTTTGCATGTGAGTCCATAGGAGTCCATGGTCTCCATGGAGACTGCACTATGACCATGCTCTCTGCTGGTATCGACTAGATCTTCAATACCTGTGCTCCCTCCATATGAACCAGTGACCCTCCTGCTTCTTGAGCATCCAGGCCCATGACACCTCATTCCTACAGATCCTACCAAGTTATGCCATAGGAATGTTTCTACTACTGATCTCAGCAAATTCTTCCTTAAGCTCTCATTTGGCCTGATCCTGTGATTTCTGCACTCCTTCATATGACTTCCGTCTTCGGGCTACCTGCGCCTCTGGTCCCATGACAAAAAGCTTGTGAAAACAATCTCAGATTTGCGGCTTCAGCATGCATACACTGACATCACATTTCAGCAAGACAATGACCCAAAACACATGTCAAAGAAGACAACAATGTGGTTGACAAGCAATAGCATTAAGGTTATGCAATGGCCAGTGCAGTCACCAGACTTAAACCTGATTGAACACCTCTGGCACCATCTCAAAATGCAACTTTCATGGTATAGTACAATTGTGAAGTCCAGGGATGAACTGCTCAAGAGATGCAAAGCTGAATGGACAGCAATCACTCCAGAGACATGTAGGACACTAATAGAGAGTATGCCAGACTGCATCAAGGTGGTTCTGAAGGCCAAAGGAGGGAATACAAAGTACTAAGGTGTTTTTGAGGAGCACTCCATAAACTGTCCCACAATAAAAAAAATCTTGGCTCTTCTTCATAGCACAATTTTTTCAGTCTATGTCAATATCAATTACACAGTCTTGGAGAGAAGAAGCAGGGCTTTCAGACAATATCAGACAGTGTGGCAATACAACTTATGGCTATTGAGCATTAGAGTGATGTATGGTGACATGTAACATCATGGGACAGTTTATGTGTGAGCTGTATATCAAGCTGAGAGCACTAGGCTCTCCCCACATTCCTTAAGTCAATTGAGTATATATGTTTCTTGTCAGGGGTCTCGCGCCTGAAACCCAGGTCAGTCTGTCGAGGTACTCGGTGACTATCAAACTGTGTGACAGCTATTGTCTCAGTATTGGTCTTGATGAGTTAGTTGCTCAGTGACTATCAAGTTGCATGATGACAGTGGGTGGCATTCATTGTATATACTATCATAGGTTTCGGCTGACCTCTGTGGACACTCCGTTCAGGGGTAGCTCAGCACGATAAATATCAATGTGTAGGTTATGATGACACCAAGGTCTGGTGTGAGTGTTGATGATGATGAGGTTGATGGTGTTGGTGATAAGGTTGGTGGCATCAACACAAGTGTCCAGTGTGTTGACTTGATGCTTGAAGTGATCCCCAGACCACAGTGGACTACTGCCTTCAGTTCTATCTATATCCAGACTGCTGGTTTGCTATGAACTGCCTTCAGACATCAGGTAGTGGTGATACAACACATGCACTACAATGAGGAGCAACCTTGATAGATTGCTACTATGCTGACTGAAACTAATATATACTTATGCTGAAGTGATAACTAGTTATGATGTGTGTAGAGTGGATGAGGATCCACTTGACCTTTGATGATGAGAAAGTATGGTTATATACCTCTTCACAGCATTGCCAGCGATGCTGCTCCTGCTTTCTCTCCAGAGAGTACCTTCTTCATCGAGTACTGTACAGGGGCCCCTCTAGCACTGCTCCTCCTCCTTGCTATCCTGCTTGCTTGGCACCCCTGTGCCTCTTGAGCTGTGTTGACTCCTTCGACACTGCTCCTCCTCCTCAGGACCTGCTTGCCAGTTCCCTATACACTGCTCCTTCTCCTTTGACTGGTGATGGTTCCTTTGACTCTTGTCTCTCAAGCCCCTGAGTGGTAACTGTCTGCAGGCTCCTTGAGCTTGGTCCTCTTCGTGGCTGTGCCTGGCCCTCCTCACATATGGGCTTGGTGCTCCTTTGCATGTGAGTCTGTAGGAGTCCATGGTCTCCATGGAGACTGCACTATGACCATGCTCTCTACTGGTATTGACTAGATCTCTGATACCTGTGCTCCTTCCATATGAACCAGTGACCCTCCTGCTTCTTGAGCATTCAGGCCCATGACATTTCTGTCCTAAAACAGTAGTGACATCATACACGGACTCTCCCTGATTGCCAGTTATTGGGACCAAACATCTTTACATTGTATTATGTCTGTCATGTTTGTTCCATCTCCAAGTGGACAACTACTTGGTGGGTCCTGGACACGGTCCATTTTGAAGAAGCAAAATGTCAAACGCAGGTAGAAACAGAACGAGGCAGCAGATGGCTTTCGGAAAAGACGGGAAGCCTTTGCAGCCCTGATCGCCAGTATTCAATTTTGGAAATCAAGATTTCAAGAGGGCTAGGAACACGTTGAATATTGTGTCTGCGGTCGCCGTCAAATCCGTGTTCTAAAAAAAAAAAAAAAAAAAGAAAAAAAAAAAAAAGAAAAAGGTTGTGGAGAAAGTGCGCACTTTTGCCGCCGCCGCTTTCTGCTACTGCTGCCTAAATTGACCGGCTGCATCCCGTGCATCGATGGAGGGAATCAAGCTTAGCAAGTTACACCCCCACCAGAGCTTGCCGTGATGTCCAGAAAGCTCACACATGCCAACACCTGAACCTTGAATGACCACGCAAGTCCATGTTCGCTATAAAGATCAACGTGTTGCTGCAATAAATTCCTTCCCTACCCGGCCACCATAGCTTCTCCTCCTTCAGCCGAAAACTTCATTCCGAACCCCACATCAAGTCGACCGTTGATTTCATCTCGCTCTGCGTTAAAGTTGGTGGACGCTGTCTCCTTTCGGTTATCTTTCGCATCGAGTCCTGGCGATCCGTATCCTTGGACTCACGTCATCTTCCAAAGAAGCTCTTGCCAGCTAGTCACATATTTATATAACACACACACACACACACACACACACAATGCCGACTCAAGCATTCTCGGCGCCAGGGCAGGCCGTCGAAGAGGCCAAGGCAGGAGGTCACCATGCCCACGGCACGCACAACTACCCCGACCCACTTACACACATTGACCGCACTTCATGGGATGTCACAATCGTAGGTGCTGGTCCTGCTGGTCTTATGCTTGCTACATCACTTGCTCGTTTCGGCGGCTTTGATGTGCTTGTCATTGACGAGCGATCCGAGCCTACCACCGCTGGCCGTGCCGACGGTATCCAGCCACGCACCATCGAGGTTCTTCGCAACATGGAGCCTCTTGGTTCTGAATTCTTTGACCGCAGTGCTCCATCGTACGAGCGTACCTTCTGGGATCCCCGCTCCGATGGCCAGCGTGGTATCGAGCGCACTCGACGTGTCCAGTCCTTCCCGACAGACATGGAGATTCAGGACAACTGCACACTCGGCTTGCAGCAGGGTTTGATCGAAGGCGGTTTCTTGAGGGACATGGAGCGCCACGGTCAGCGTGTTACCCGTCCATGGGCCTATCAGAACTTCGAGATGACGGACGACCCCAATTACCCCGTCACTGTCACTCTGGAGAAGATGAAGCCCGTCCTCGAGTCAACCAACGAAGGTGGTGCACCCATCAGCATCATCAAGCCTACCGGCGAGACAAAGACGATTCGCACAAAATACCTTGTCGCCTGTGACGGTGGTCGATCACGCTTGCGAAAGACCCTTGAGGACCGACACGAGTTCACATTCAATGGTGATTGGGTCGACACCCTCTGGGCTGCCCTTGACTGCGTTGTCGAGACCAACTTCCCCGATGTCCGCAAGATCGCCGCTATCCACTCCAAAAATCACGGTGCACTCTATATCTTCCCGCGAGAGAACAACGAGAAGGGAGAGCCCATCATTCGATGCTACACTCAGGTCAACCGTCTTGGCGGCGAGAAGAGCAAGCAGTCGGCGCTCGATGCCCGTGACAAGGTCACTGCCGAGATGGTCATGAAAGCTATCAAGGAGATCGCTTACCCTTACCACTTTAAATTCAAGGGTGTCGAGTGGTTCACATGCTACCCCATCGGTCAGCGATTGATCTCGAGATACTCGCTTCCAGCGGGAAAGACTGCCAGCGGTGTCAACTTCCCCGGTCACCGCGTGTTGCTTGCTGGTGATGCTTGTCACACTCACTCGCCTAAGGCTGGTCAGGGTATGAACACGGCCATCATCGACTCTCAGGCATTGGCATGGAGGATCAACTTGGTCGAGAAAGGTCTTGCTGACCCCGACACCTTGCTCGGCACCTACCACGACGAGCGTCACGCAACGGGCAAGCAGCTCATCGACTTTGACTCGGAGTACTCGGCTCTTTTCTCTGGTGAGGTTCCCAAGAATACCCCCGAGGTCGCCACCATGTCCGACGCTGAGAAACGTGAGCACTTTATCAACATTCAGCGTCGCAACGCCGCTTTCACCACTGGTGCAGGTGTTCTCTACGCCGACAATGTCCTCAACCACTGCGATCCAAGCAAGCTTGGGGTCGCCAAGATCACCAACAAGCTAGAACCTGGTCGCAGACTCCAGCCTGCATGGGCAACACGCTGGTCCAACTCTCAGCCTGTCCGAATGGTCCACGAGATCCAGTTCACAGCGCCGGGTGGGTTCAGACTCTACGTCTGTGCCGGAGACCTAGACAAGAACATGCGTCACCTCGAGGCTTTCGCCAAGTACCTTGCTTCCCCCCACTCTTTCGTTAATCGTTTCCGTGCTAACCAACGAGCAATGCTTCTCGAGCACCGCGCTTACCATCAGCTCCCCGACTCGCTCAACACCGGCTTGGCTGATGGATTCGCATCGGAAGCAAATCCCTTCTTCCACCTCTTGCTCATCGTCAAGTCGCAGCGATTCGATATCGAGATTGAGCAGATTCAGCACCTCGGTGCACTCAAAAGCATGCTTTACTGCGACGACATCGAGGCAGGTGATGGTGCATTCAAGGTCACTCTTGACAAAAGATTCGTCGGTGCTCTGCACGAGAAGTGGGGGTTGCCAAATGGAGGTGTGGTCATTGTCAGGCCGGACGGATACGTTGGTGCTATCACACCACTCGACCACGGTCAGACTGGATTCCAGGCGATCGAAAAGTACTTTGACGGCTTCTTGAGGCCTAGTCCTGCTGCTACAGTGCAGCACAAGACAAGATTGTAGATACAAAGTATGGACTGTAGTATCGTTTCTTTGATGTTCTTCTTGCATCTCGATTAGAAATCATCGCGCTTGTGTCTCGGCCGATTCAAATACACGGACCGGCTATGTACTCGAGCAAGCAAACAGGCATCAGACGCGGGATTAGAATAAAAGAACAGAGTTGCCCATCTCGTGCATTTAGGGCAGGTTGGTAAAAATAACAAAACAGTGTGGTACAAGTACAAACGATAAAGATCTAAGTGAGTTGCCAAGGAGATCGGGTTCGGAAAGCAACAAGGGAAAGGTGAAGATCTGGGGTATGGTCAAGGCTGATGTCCCAGTCATTGAGGAAAACGTAGGAGGCGAGGAAAGGATCAGAGCATGCTAGCGATGCTCATAGTGGATCGTGGTGTTGCAGGCGCTTCACCGTCAGAATCTGCCTCTTCCTTGATCTTCCTCTCGGACAAGACTTGCAGTAGCGATGGTTTGGACGGCGTTCGCGGTTTTGGCCCTGCTGAGGCTACTGCATCGCTGTCGACCGAATCCTCGTACGTGTCAGGAGAAGAGACATCTGAGCCGTCGTCATCGCCTTCACTGATCATGTGCGAGGTAGAGTGGCCTCTTGCTGCAGGACCCATGCTGCTTGTCCCTGCTAAGTTTTTTGACCACGAAAACTCGCCAAAAGCGATTCGGAACTGCGGGTTGGGTTGACTCAGGCGCTTGACAGGCAATTCTTTTGCCTGCTTAGCGAGGGCTTCCAAACCGGAGCACGAACGCTGACGATGTTCGATCAGCTCAGCAAAGTTCGAGAGCACGCTGGCAAGACCGTTCGAGGAAGCTCGATGCGATGATGAGAACGATCCACTTGGAATGCTCTGCGGGGTTCTCGATGATGGACCAGCCGACGCGTCGCCAAATGGCGAGGCACCTCTGGACATGACGCGAGACTCAGGTGCTGAATGCTGCTTGGGAGAAGTCGCTCCTGTTGCCTGGTCATCGCTTGCGTCTGCTGACAGCGGAGCGAGTCTGGGGTTTGGGTTGAACAATGGGTCGATACGGACAGAGCTGCGTCGACGCTCCAACTCGAGCGCCTTCTGCGCCCATTCTTTCTCGAAGCGGTAGAAGCGGCTGTATGTGTGAGCGACCTCTTTGGCCTCATCAAGGAAGCCTTCGCTTGAGGCCAAAGTCTGCATGTGCCCGGCGGGCAATCTGCTGGATGAGGCAGAGTCCTTAGCTTCAGCATCGTTGACTGTGATGGCGGGCGTGCTAACAGGCGACAGGGGTGCTGGCAGTTGCTGAGGGCTGCTTGAGACTTTGATTCCCTGGACGTCCTCCGTAGGTTGGGCTGTTTCTGATTCAGCCTCCTGGCCAGCTGTGATAGGCTCTGAGGAGAGAGGGCTCTTTGGCGTTGCTGGCATTACAGATACCGCCAATGAAGTACTGGCGGAAGTAGGCGCCTTGGTTGGAGATGTTGGCACCGGCGTACCAGGAGCGGGACTGGAAGCAGCAGATGATTGTGGGGTGAGACCGAGGTGGCTTGCAAGAGCGGTAGCGATGGCTACATTTTGGGATGCGCTCTCTACATGTCGTGTGATGTCCTGACTCAAGCTGCCGACACTTGCTTTGCGTGCCTGCTCGATGAGCATGCCAAGCTGCTCGACTCGCTGACGCTTCTGTTCTTGTTCTGCTTGTGTCGACGTGTGACGTTGACCGACTTGGCTTTGCAAGACAGCAGCTGCCGCAGCGGTAGCAAGATTGATGATGCTTGCTCGTCGCAATGGGTCGCTAGGCAACTGGACCTCAGTTGCGGAAGCAACCTTGAATGTAGTTGAGGCGTCTGTGTCGGAGTCATACTTGCGCTTAAGCCCTTGTGGCTCACTGCCGACAGGCGAGTGAGAGTTTTTTGGCGAAGACATGCGTGAGTGGGATTTTTTTGGGTGCGAGAGGTTGCTGAGAAGCTGTCCAACGGCGAACTTGGCGTGAGAGGAGGCTGTGTACGAGTCAGGTGCAGGGGGAGCGTGAGTGGTGGAAGTGTTGATGGAGAGGTCGACCCGAGATCCACGATGAGAAGCTGGCGAAGAAGGTGTCAAAGATGGTCTACGGGTCGCGACGGACATGACGTTGGATACGGAAGCAGAGTGTCGTTGCTTCTCAAAGGTCGATCGACTCGAATCAGACTCGGGCAAGCGTAGATGTGGAACCAGAGTGGAAGGATCGAGCTTTTAATCGAGAGAGTGCGAGTGTGGGCTGGTGAGTGGGAGAATATATAAGAGAGAAATGCTGAAAGTGATGTGGTGGAAGTGCTGTTGGTGAGGTGGTGAAAGTGCTGTTGGTGAGGTGGTGGTATGCGTTCAACAACGATATGAGTTGATGAACAAAGACATTGAATCTCGTTGCTGGGATGGTAGTTGGTGCAGGTCGAGAGTGGGCTGTCTTTCGAGAGGCGTAAGTGTAGAGATGGTCGCCTGAAAAGTGTGTTGATGAATGACGAGAGGGATGAAAGCGATGCCTACGTCCAAGAATGGTTGCTGAGAGCGGTGAGGATGTGCGGGGCGTAAGGTCGGTGTGGTAAGTGAATCAGAGAGTACAACAAGAGGAGAAGCGAGGACTCGTGCTGAAGAAACAAAGACAAGAAGGGGAGAAAGAGTTGTATGGAGCAAGCGTAGGTGGTGTTGGGAACGTGGAACTGTCGGCAGGGGCTGGTGGATGAAGGAAGGTAAGGGTGCTGTCGACGGAAGAATGTGTGTGTCAATACCAGGGATGGAGGACAAGAGGGTCTAGGATGACGATAGGGTGGAGCTCTCCAGAACTGGCTGTTGTTGAGAGCTAAGCTATGGCGAGTCAAGCTGTGCGAGCAGATTAACTTGGAAGGATGGAGAGAGAAAGACAGCGCGGTACACAAGGGTTGGCGACAAGCCAGGAGGCGGATGTGCAGAGGGGATGGGCGGACAGAGCAAAAGCGAGCCGAGAAAGAGACACAGGGCAAAGGCTTTTTGGCTTTGGCAGGTGAGAGCGGGGGATAAAGATGAAAGAGACACAGCAGCAGACGCAACAGCCTTAAGTTAATCGAGATTCTAGGGCAATTTTGAGCTTTGAGCTTTGCAGCAAGGCAGCTAGCCGATCTTGTGTGCCGTCAACGGGAAAGTGCAGCGAAGAAAAATCAAAATCCAATGGCACTCGAGATTTGGCAAGGTTCTATCTGTTGAAGATTACGATCCAGTGAGACGCAGGAGGATGACGCAGAGCCGATCTGATCAGAGATCGAGCCGAGCCGATCTCACCAGAGATCAGGTACAACACAGTCCCGCTCGTTGTCAAGCTAGGTCATGAAGTAGGATGCTCCCACACTCGGCATGTGCCACCACAATGTATATATATCAATCTGAGAGCACTAGGCTCTCTCCACGTTCTTTTAGTCAATTGAGTATATTTGTTTCTGTCTATAACTAGCAGTGACATCGTACTTAGACTCTCCCCGATCGCCAGTATCGGGACCCAAACGTCTTCACTTTTTAACACTATCTCCTATGATGCATTCCACACAGACAAACATCCACAGAGTGAGGTTCTGAATGTGTTTGTCCAAGCGTAGCAAATATCTCTCTCTCGTTGGAGGTAAAGAGTGAGTAAGCCACCAACTTGACTGGGTTAGGCAAGCATCGTCCAAGATGAAGATCGTCGTGCTTCTCATTCGTTCTATCCGCCAACTTCAGCGTGGACCTTCTTCCGGGCCTAACCCTGCTGCCTGTCTCGAGCTGGCATTACATTCTCGCCTGAATATGCCAGTCGCCATGGCAATCCATAATATAGAGCCGCTCCCTTTGAATTTTGTCCATTGCATAGCCGTCGTCTGTTGTCTCTGATTCTGGCTTGTCCTGTCCATCTCTCACACCCGCTGTCCGAAGACCTTGATTTCCCCAGCCCGGTTGCTACGCTATGCTACTGGACGGTGAACCGTTTGAAACTCCGGTTCGCCGAGACTTTTTCTCGTTGGCTTGTCTATCCACGCTCTGCCAGCACCACAGAGCGAGTCTTCGCCTTGAGCCCGCCCGTCTCTGACTCTGCAGACTATGAAGATAGCGCTCTCTCAGAACATTGCGTCACTAGCCCGTTGCCGAACAGTCACGCTCCTGTCACGTTTGTTGGTGATGATGATGAACAGCATTCCAAAAGTTGTGCCCTCAGCTGCTTTGTAAGCTGCAACGGCGTAACATATAACTTTTGTTTTGTTTTAATCTAACATACTCAAAGGTTGAAATGGAAGTCCACCATGTCGCAGTAAAATCACATGACCACGCAGTCACGTTCATGCGTTAACGCGCCCGCCAACTTCGTTCATTGTCACCACCCATCACCTCCCACCAGTGCACACCATCACCCACCAATGACCCCTATCCCAGCTCACCTCATTCTAGCACATCACACAGTTATGCACAGTACCTTGCCTTCACACACTCCTAGTAAAGCATATATATACTCATGGCATTGCTGTATCTAGTCATCACAAAATGCCAATGATTTCACATTGTTCACTCTAGCCCCCTGTCTTGTGGAGTATCTCAACAGATTAAGAGTCTGAGACTCTACCAACCAAACACTGCCAGACCTTGCCACACTTCACCATGCTGTCTGACCCATATCCTCACCTGCATCTGCTGCCCAAAGAAAGGGCCTGCCTTTGACAAAACCACCAATCCAATATGCCTCCACAGACCTGCAACTCTGACACTGAAAGCAGTGACTTATCTGATGGACCAAACAAATCAAGGGCCCCCACTGCACCACAGAGGCAGATGCTGATTGGTGCAGAGATCCCTTCGCCATATGACAACAACAACAATGACAACAATGGAGATGAGACACAGTATAACATTGACACCATCTCAAACCTAAACCCAGAAATGCTCAAAGGCATGCTCATTGAACTCACCAAATGCAACAAAGAAAAAGACTCTGACAAATATAAGAAACCATCCCACTGCTCTGATTTCCACCAATGACTCTTGTGCACCCATGACACACTCAAGGAGGCACCCAAGCTAATGACCAAGAATTGGTATGCTTGGAACCCTCACTTCAGAGGGATCCTGTCTAACTGGCCAGTGGCTATGAAGCACCTTGATGGTATCATAGCCCCTGGGGACAAGAAATACTATCACACCCTTGAGAGTGAGCTATGCACCATCCTCCAAAGCAGTGCCCTGCTTGCTGGCAACAACAACATCAATTACCTTTTCATATGACCTGTAAACTCAGACCCCTGGAAACTTCACAGTCTCTACTGCAGACTGAAGAAGGATCTCACCAAGATGGAAAAGATTGCTGAATTGACCCTGCTTAATGAAGTTGGGAAGATTTGCATGTTCCAGGCCAATGTCTGCAAGCTCATCACTGACATCAATGAGCACTGGGCAAAGGCAGAGTCCATGGGCCATGCCCTTCCTGAAATACTAAAAGTGAAAACACTCATTGACCAAGCTAGATATGTCACACCTTATCACCACTGCATCATCACACTCAAAGATACTGGAATGGCATCCAGTTATGAAGTGCTTTGTGCTGCTTTGTGCAAATGACAAGACAGCATGACTGCCCAAATGGACCACAGAGCCAGCAACCCCAGGACAGCCCAGGCAAACTTAGCTGAAGGACAAGTCAAAAATGAGGAAGCCTACCACTGTGGTAAACCCAGTCCTGATAGAGTCCAACATTGCTACCACTGCAACACAGAGAATCATATCTCCAGGTACTGTCCAAAGAAGACCCAGGAGGGAACACTGGCAACACCTCCTCACCCAGGCCAAACATCTGCATAGGATACCTGGTGCACCATTGTGTCAGGGGTCTCGCGCCTGAAACCCAGGTCGGTCTGTCGAGATACTCGGTGACTATCAAACTGTGCGACAGCTATTGTCTCGATATCGGTGACTATCAAGTTGTGCAGTGACAGCAGGTGGCGTTCGTTGTATATACTATCGTAGGTTTCGGCTGACCTCTGTGGACACTCCGTTCAGGGGTAGCTCGGCACGATCAATATCAATGTTATGATGACACCAAGGTCTGGTGTGAGTGTTGATGATGATGAGGTTGATGGTGTTGGTGATGCGGCACGATCAATATCAATGTTATGATGACACCAAGGTCTGGTGTGAGTGTTGATGATGATGAGGTTGATGGTGTTGGTGATGAGATTGGTGATGTCGATGATAATGAGGTTGATGGTGTTGGTGATAAGGTTGGTGGCGTCAACACGAGTGTCCAGTGTGTTGACTTGATGCTTGAAGTGATCCCCGGACCGCAGTGGACTACTGCCTTCGGTTCTATCTTGATCCGGACCGCTAACCTGCTATGGGCGCCTTCGGACGTCAGGTAGTGGTGATACAACACACACACTACAATGAGGAGCAACCTTGATAGATTGCTGCTATGCTGACTGAAACTAATGTATACTTATGCTGAAGTGATAACTAGTTATATGGTGAGTAGAGTGGATGAGGATCCACTCGACCTATGATGATGAGAAAGCATGGTTATATACCTCTTCTCAGCATCGCCAGCGATGCTGCTCCTGCTCTCTCTCCAGAGAGTACCTTCTTCATCGAGTACTGCTCAGGGGCCTCTCCTGCTTGGCACCCCTGTGCCTCTTGAGCTGTGTCGACTCCTTTGACACTGCTCCTCCTCCTCATGACCTGGTGTCAACTCCTTTGACACTGCTCCTCCTCCTCATGACCTGTGACAGTTCCTTTGGCTCTTGTCTCTCGAGCCCCTGAGTGGTAACCATCTGCATGCTCCTTGAGCTTGGTCCTCCTCGTGGCTGTGCTTGGCCCTCCTTTGCATGTGAGTCCATAGGAGTCCATGGTCTCCATGGAGACTGCACTACGACCATGCTCTCTACTGATCTCGACTAGATCTTCGATACCTGTGCTCCTTCCATATGAACCCATGACCCTCCTGCTTCTTGAGCATCCAGGCCCATGACACATTGCCTCCACCTACCATACCTCCCTGGACCTACAATCCACCACCTGGATTGTGGATTCAGGAGCAACCAATCATGTCACAAACAATGAATCCAATCTCATTTCTTCCACTCCATGTACTGGGTTTGTGAAGACTGCTAGTGGGATGAGAATTTGCATTGTGGCAGTTGGTCAGGCTATGCTGAATGTAAATGGCCATGGAGTACTATTGAACAATGTACTTTATGTCCCAGACACAAATGCAAACCTGATCTTGGTGAAGGCCCTAACAAGTGATGGTGCACATGTGATATTTGACAGCAAAAATGTGACATTAGAACTCCCAGATGGCACAACCATCATCAGCAACCTCAACCCTTGAACAAGACACTATGAATTTCCTGAACACAAGCATGAAATGTTGGTAGTGTGCAGAGATGAGCAACTATCTGAATTGCCAGAGACATTTGATGATGAAGCAAAAGCTGCAAAGTGCTCTTTTACCCCACAGTTTATGCATGAATGATGCAGTCATCTGGGTTGGAACAAGGTGAGGGTCATTGAGAAACTATATCATGTCAAGCTCCCAAGTGATGAATGTCAAGATTGCATTGTTGGAAAGTCAACCAAGACCAGAATGAGCAAAAGTAGTGGTGCATGTGCCAAGCATCCACTGGAACTGGTACACATTGACCTGACCACCCATCTATCAACAAAGACTGAATTCACATGTTTACTGGTCACTGTGGATGATGCTTCTAGCTTCACTTATGTGAAACCACTCCAAGCAAAGTCAGATGCCCTACAAGTACTCAAAGAGTGGATTCATTACACTGAAATACAAATGGGTCACAAGCTCAAGACCCTCTGCTCAGACAATGGTGGTGAATGGATTTCTGTGGTGGCTGCTGGTTGGCAGAATGAAGCTGGTTTCCAGTGGCAAAAGACATCAGCTTACACCAGTGTGCAAAACAGCAAGGCAGAGTGCACCATCTGAACAATCCAAGAAATGATGATCACGATGATGCACACACACCATCTGCCCCAAACATTCTGGCCCTTTGTGGCAGAAGCCACTGTGTTCACAAAGAATATAATGCCAAACATCAACAACTGGGTACCATATCATGTGTTTTACAATAGAGATCTGAGGAAGCCATTCTCATTGCTCCAAACCTTTGGATGCCTTGCTTGGGTCAATGTCCTGAAAGCAAAATGCAAGAAACTGGATGAGCTGGCAATCCCAGCCATCTTTATCAGCTATGATGAGGAGCACAAGGGCTGGAAGTTCTTGGCACCTAGCCATAACCCACTGGTGTTTTGGTCAAATTCAGCTTGTTTCCTGCAAGGTATGTCATGGAACAATTGCATGGACATGACCCCAATCCAAGATATGGACACTCTTCATTACAAGGACACAGACAACATCAAAGACCTGGGGTATGATGAAGTAGATGAACACAATGAAGAATCACAGCAACCCATCAATGACATCTACCAACCACCTCCAGAGCCTGATATGATTTTCGAAGACAAGACACCAATCCCTGACCCCACAGAGACCATTTTCGAGTATCCAGTGGAAGGGATCAACAATGCATCAGAATCTAATCTATCAGACACACCATCAGACTGAGCATCTGATGGCTCAAGAGATAAAACATACCAACTCACGATGTCATCAGAACCTCCACCACTGCTAAATGAACTCAGCCAGAATGTTCAAAACAGAGCAGTTTCAGAACACTTCTCAATGCAAGTGGCCCAACACTATCACAACAAATTCACTGCAATGCACAACATGTATCCTTGGCTACACCCAACGATGCTTGCAATACTGCTCAGAGCATACCCATGAATGCTCCCACCTGCAGCCAATATGCACTGTTTCCAAGAAAACCTCCGATGTGACAGCAAGTTGGCAAACATTGGCAACCTTCCAACATACAATGCTAATGCCTATGCAATCACCACCACAAACCTCAAACCATTGGTAAAGGAAGCCCTGAATGGACCTGACCAGATCCATTGGCACAAAGCAATCAGAGTGGAAATGAATGGTTTGGAAAGCATGAACATTTGGGAAACAGTGGACAGACCAGAGGGGGTGAACCTTGTAGATTTCAAACTGGTACTCCAAGTAAAGATGGATGCAAATAATATACCATACAAGTTTAAATCTAGGTTCTGTGCATGTGGTTTCTCTCAAAGAGAGGGTATTGACTACAATGAGATCTTCACCCCAGTCATACCCAGGGATGCCATTAGGACCCTACTGGTGATTGCCACCAGGTTTGACTGGGAGCTTGACTTGATCAATGTCATGCAAGCCTATCTGAACACAGAGCTGCACCACCACATTTACCTCAAGCTGCCAGAGGGTGCAGGGGTACCAGCTGATAAGGTGTATAAGCTGGTCAAGAGCTTATATGGACTCAAGCAGTCCAGCTGAGAGTGGCATAAGGAATTGGATGCACACTTATGATGCCTAAGCCTTTTCCCATTGCCCAACATTCCCTGCATGTATTTGAGAGGTGCCAGGACAACACAGGTGATCATCACAGTGTACATTGATGACATGTGCATTATGTCACCATCTTGAGACCAAGTTGACCTAGTCAAGGGGGAAATCATCTGCAAATGGAAGATCACTGATAACAGACCAGTGATGGAGTTCCTCAAGATCAAGATCATGCAAGATTGGATCAAACAGATGATTGACTTAGATCAATGGGTGTACATACAGAATATCATAAGAGAATGGAATCAACTGCATGAGAAAACATGGATCCCCATGACTCGCACCCTGCTCAAGGCACCTCCAGATTCAACAATCGACAAGAGGCTGAGGACCAAGTACCCAACACTCATAGGAAAACTATTATGGATTGCAAACATGGTCAGGCCAGATACATCTTTTGCTGTCAATGCCCTGGTATGCCATATGTCCAGACCCACAGAAGAAGCAATGCAAGCAGCACTCTGGGTCATCATGTATCTAAATCAGATGCAGGATGAGGTGTTGAGACTTGGTGGCAGGGATGGAACCAAACCTGCCATCACCACATACACAGACTCAAATTGGGCCTCTGATCTGAATGCAGACTGAAGAAGCACATCCAGCTTGGTCATAAAGGTATTTGGCAGTGTAGTCGCCTGGAACTCACATATCCAGAAGTGCATCTCAGAATCAGCAGTCAAAGTGGAATATGTTGCAGGATTGACTGCCACATGCAAAGCCCTATTCCACTGGCATCTGCTTCACAGGTTGGGTTTTGGAGACCATACACTGCTTATACTTACAGATAACACCAGATGCATACAGGTTGCAAAGGATCAGGTCCTCCATTCCAGACTTAAGCATATCAATACAAAGTATCATCTCATTTGAAACCACATTATGGAAGGTGATGTCATTCTACAACATGTGAGGATGGCCCACAATGATGCCAATTATCTCACCAAGCCAGTGTCCCAGCACCTACCTGTCAGGGGTCTCGTGCCTGAAACCCAGGTCGGTCTGTCGAGATACTCGGTGACTATCAAACTGTGCGACAGCTATTGTCTCAGTATCGGTGACTATCAAGTTGTGCAGTGACAGCTGGTGGCGTTCGTGGTATATACTATCGTAGGTTTCGGCTGACCTCTGTGGACACTCCATTCAGGGGTAGCTCGGCACGATCAATATCAATGTTATGATGACACCAAGGTCGGGTGTGAGTGTTGATGATGATGAGGTTGATGGTGTTGGTGATGAGATTGGTGATGTCGATGATAATGAGGTTGATGGTGTTGGTGATAAGGTTGGTGGCGTCAACACGAGTGTCCAGTGTGTTGACTTGATGCTTGAAGTGATCCCCGGACCGCAGTGGACTACTGCCTTCGGTTCTATCTATATCCGGACTGCTAACCTGCTATGGGTGCCTTCAGACATCAGGTAGTGGTGATACAACACACACACTATGATGAGGAGCAACCTTGATAGATTGCTGCTATGCTGACTGAAACTAATGTATACTTATGCTGAAGTGATAACTAGTTATATGGTGAGTAGAGTGGATGAGGATCCACTCGACCTATTGATGATGAGAAAGCATGGTTATATACCTCTTCTCAGCATCGCCAGCGATGCTGCTCCTGCTCTCTCTCCAGAGAGTACCTTCTTCATCGAGTACTGCTCAGGGGCCTCTCCTGCTTGGCACCCCTGTGCCTCTTGAGCTGTGTCGACTCCTTCGACACTGCTCCTCCTCCTCATGACCTGGTGTCGACTCCTTCGACACTGCTCCTCTTCCTTTGACCAGTGACAGTTCCTTTGACTCTTGTCTCTCGAGCCCCTGAGTGGTAACCATCTGAGCTTGGTCCTCTTCGTGGCTGTGCCTGCTCCTTGAGCTTGGTCCTCTTCGTGGCTGTGCCTGCTCCTTGAGCTTGGTCCTCCTCATGGCTGTGCTTGGCCCTTCTTTGCATGTGAGTCCATAGGAGTCCATGGTCTCCATGGAGACTGCACTACAACCATGCTCTCTACTGATCTCGACTAGATCTTCGATACCTGTGCTCCTTCCATATGAACCCGTGACCCTCCTGCTTCTTGAGCATCCAGGCCCATGACACTACCCACATGCACTCAACAGTGCCTCAGCATGGTGACCCTCCTACCCTCTCATCACTCAGTCAATGAGGAGGACAGTAAAATCACATGACCATGCAGTCATGTTCATGCATTAATGCACCTGCCAACTTTGTTCATTGTTGCCACCCATCACCTCCCACCAGTGCACACCATCACCCACCAATGACCCCTATCCCAGCTCACCTCATTCTAGCACATCACACAGTTATGCACAGTACCTCGCCTTCACACACTCCTAGTAAAGCATATATATACTCATGGCATTGCTGTATCTAGTCATCACAAAATGCCAACGATTTCACGCCGTTCACTCTAGCCCCCTGTCTTGTGGAGTATCTCAACAGTCGCCCCCCCTCAGAGCTTGTGCCTTTCGCCTTCATTCCATTTGCAAGGATCTCACCTTGCATTCAGGCCCTAGCCTCACTCCATTTCAACTGTCATCTCACTATAGTACCCACGAAACAACTCATTCGGCAAGCAGCAGAGACAGAAACTCTGTTCGCAAGTCCAGCATCTCAGGATAAGTGTGTGCGCAAGTGTGTGCGAGAGTGTGTGTGAGAGTGTGTGCGAGAGTGTGTAGACAATTAGAGCCAAATTGTTCCAAGCTTCCAGACCCTGGACGTTTAAACGCCGCGAAGACATTTTCTGAACGACGGCCTCCCGAACGCTTTGGCAGTTCTGGACCCTCTTCCGTAATCTAATCTAAGCTCGGCAAGCATCGCCCGTCATGACATCTTCACAGGTAGCAACCATGGCGATCGCGAGCTTCAGGTCTAGCCTGAGCGAAGTGGACGGGAATAGCTCATCACGGAGCCTGAAGTCGAGGCAAACCTTCAAGTGGCGCGTGGGAAAGAGAAGGGTGAGGCGAGATTCTGATCGAAGCTCCCTGATTGTCGGCGACTTCTTCGAACACGATGCAGAGCGTTCTTCTCGCCTGGACTTGCAGCTCGGGTTTCCTTTCATGCTGCGTCCCAAGAGTCTGGAACACGTCTCTTGAAGACCAGCTCTTGCTCGAGCCTGAGCTGATATTCGGCCGCTGCGACCGGTGACGACCGTAGTTACGCACGTTCTCTAGACCAACGCAGGCATGCTGTCCAGACGCCATGCATCGATCGACAAACAAACCGACTACCTTAACGACCGACGTCACCGAAGGCCTGAAACGCCTCCCACGTGCACCAATAAGCGTGTGATTCACCGAAACAGAAACGCTTCAAGACCCGTCGACCACGCATACATCCCAAACCACGCACGTCTAGACTCTTCAAGCATGTGCATTCATTGCTGCCGGAAGTCAACTTTGATCATCTGTATACGGCACGCAGCGCCGAGCTCCTTCCTGCTGCTCCACCGCCGCCTTTACGACCCTGAACACCTGGCGCTGTGCCGGCTAGGATCCCACCTGCATCTGCGCCGTTCTCGTCCTTTCCACCGGCCTGGACTACTTCGAACTTGTCCGTCAGCTGCAGCCACGCATAACCATACACCCGAATCCATGTCCGACCAAGCAAACCGAGTCGTGGCGATGCCGCAAAGGGCAAGAGAGAGCGGAGATTTGAGTTTGTCAGTATGCTTCTGTCGGTGCCCTTTGCACTTGCCGAAGTTGTGCAGCGGGAATCACACGCTAGACGAGGTCGAGAGCATTGGTCATATTTCGGAGTCTGCATCTGCTTGCGTGATGGGAGCAGACCTTCGGATTTGTTCGTCCGGAGTAGTGGTGCACTTACCTCATTCATGGTGTGAAGGTTCTCGGTGAGCACCGAGAGGTAGTTTGTCAAGAGGACATCGTTGTGTTCCTGTCGTCCAGGAATGTGCGGATGCCGAAAGGGTACGAAAACGTCAGCTCCTTGATCCTGAGCATCGAGATCGCCTCAGTGTGCTTCCCGAGCCGATGGATCGGCGCAAACACCTTGACCCAAGAGGGCTGCTGGCATGTATACTCACCCTTAAGAGCTCCTCTTGAAGTTCTGGAAGAACCGTCTGCGGCAAGTTGGCAACGACTGTTTGTATCTGCCGCAGCGCTTCGTGATCCCAAGCCGCTTGTCCACCCTTGACAGCCTGAAGGTAGCCAAGTACTTGATGAATGCGATCGTGGAGCTTGCTGATGGCGCCGTGCTGAGCTTGCATGCTTGTCAGCTCTGGAAGGAAGAGAAGAAGAAAAAAGCAGAACCGGCGTTTAAGTCAGCAAAGTGAGATTGATACCATCTGCCAAAGTCTGCAATACTTACTTGCACTCTCATGATCACCGCCGGACTCAGCACCAGCCTTGCTTGCATGATCCACCGCGATCCGCTCTGCTTCCCCTGTCTCGATCTTGAATCCTGCTGGAACGAAAAAGTTGGTCGTCTCGCCCTGCACCATCTCCACCACTGACTCGTACACCCTGATAGGAAGCTCGCCGTTGACCTCTGCATTCTCAAACGATGAGACCGTCTGATGGAGCTGAACGAAAATTGGTGTTTCGTTGTACGCGAGCAACTGCTTATGGATCTCGAGACCTTGCGGCGTGGGAAGATCGCCGATGGTGTACCATCCAAGCAAGTCTAAGGTTGGGAAAACTTGCTTGTACTGTGACTGTCGCGACTTGAGGAATGCATGGTTAATCATAGGCGCCGACGTCGGAGAAGCTGATGGATCCAGTCGGATCTCGAACGAGTTCTGAATGTTGATGTCTCGTCCTTGCTGCGTGCCAAGCAGGACACCGTAGACTGGAGAATAGGACAGGAAAGAGTAGTCGGCGCATCAGCCATTACTGGGTTGCCTGTTGGATATGGCCAGCATAGTGCTTACCTGTCAAATCTGTATCATTGCTTTGCAACCTCGTTCGGACAAGGTGTTCAGAAATGTTTAAGATCGGTAGCGGATGGCTGTGTTTCCGAGGCGATGCAAGAGGAGAGCGTCAGCAAATGGCCTCGCTGTTGTGACACGTCTTCTGCCAGTCTGCGCGCTCACAGACTGATGTTGCTCCCAATTCCCGAAGACGAGTGGCTGTCGAGGACGACAGGTGACAGTTTTGAGGTTTTGAGGGTTGTTGTTGAGCTCGATGGCCCGGCATTAGACGACATTGCCAATTTTGTGGTAGCAGTTTGCCTTCTTCAATCTTTTGTGCCTGCTATGTAGCTGTCATCAATGTGCTCGAATGATGCTGTGGATGAGGATGATGCCGAAGAAGTCGATGGACATAGAGGAATGTGTGTGGCTCGAGCACATTTGTTGCTTCTGCATGCGCACTTTTGCTGCGCATTTACTCCACTTTTCTTGACGGGTCTGCCGCACGTGATTCGTAGGCGCTAAAATTTTAGCCAAGGTGCGTCTTGATGTTAGACTCTCGAACCCTCTCCTTCACATCTTCATCCTCATCATCGTCTTCACCATCATCTGAGGCTACCCTTGACATCTTTTATCAGTCGACATCCAAGTCGGCATTACTTATCGCTCGCCGGCCTCAGCTCTCCACGATGAAGCTCCTGGCTCGCTCCCTGATCAAAAAGCTCATCCGAGCTCACCTTCCCCCCAACACGAGGCTCTCCAAGGCAGCAGACCTCTACGTTATGCTTGCCTTCCTCATCTACATGCAAAGGCTTGCCAACGAGTCAAGGGTCGCTCATCAGATTGATTTGTCCAATGGCTTGAAGGGATCGAAGACAATCGCGAGGCGTCACTTGAACGGTGCGCGTAAGCGCGTCCGTGGCTGAGGGACTTAGAAGACAGTATGCCGCTCACTCACAAGAACCCATATTATCACCTGCATGGCTCAACCGGTTTTTGAGTCGACGACCAGACGCGTCAAGACACCTCAATCTCGCCACGGAGTCGAAAAGAGGCTACCTCTCTTAACTCATGGAAATCGCAACGGTGCGCTTCGCCTCGAAACGGAGACGAAGACAGCCCCCTCCGTCTCTAGACGCAATCAAAGAGACAACTACGAAGAACCGACAAGGCTATCGATGTCGGGCCCGACACGACGACGTACAAACAAAGTCCGTCCGACTGAACAAAACGAACTAAGAGGCTGATCATGACATTCAGCCAGCCCCACATTCGTGTCCTCCAACATAAGGCCTCACTCGTCACATGCTTTCAATATGTACAAACACATTCCGAAATGATCAATGCAACAACATCATTACTTCGTGACCATGACATGCATAACAACAAAGTAAAGGTCCGTGACAAGCAGCGTGTGATCTAATCAGATCATCTTGCTGCGAGGAGGCGAATAGTATCGCATGTAAGGCTGAGCGTTTCCAAGTCGAGCGAGCTCTGCCTGAATCTCATCCTCCATGGTGTTGTTACCGCTGGACAAGGAGCCAAGCGAAGGTGGGGCGCCGGCTGACATGTTGCTGTAAACTGAAGAGAGTGTAGAAGCGGTCGACTTGTCGGTAGCACCTGAGACAGTGCGAACGCCGTTGATGCCTGCTGTGCGGTACTGCGAGCTCGGTTTTAGCCCAAGTCGAGGCAAACGAGATGAGGCACTGCGATGAGCTGGTGACTCCGAGATGCCGCTCATGGAGCGACTGGTTGGAATCTTGCTTACAGTAGGCGAGGGGCGTGGCACTTGCCAGGGAATGCTCTTGGTCACGGTGGCCTGCGAAGTGGAGCGAGGGATGCTGGACGATGCTGATGAGGTGGACAGGTCGCGCTGGTGGCCGTTGCTCGGGACAGCAGTGTTGCTCTTGCGCCGAACTGTCGAGGGCACCGAGCTGTTGCGGCCCTCGTCATCTTCCTCTTCGCGGTCATGATCGCCGTGACCTGCGTCACCAAGCCTTGAGTCAAGTGTCTCACCGTGTGCAGATGTGCCGAATGCTCGGTGAAGGGACCTGAATGTCGATGAAGGCACCAACTCGTCATCGATCTCTGGCAACTGCTCGTTAGCGATGTTCCACACTTCGTTATCGTCCTTAGGCAGGCTCATACCGAGCAAGGTGGGCGAGGTTTGTTCAGCTCTCGTTGCCTTCGATGATGAGCGCCGTGTGCAAAGGAGACTGCTGCTTCTAGGTGTGGGGAGAGGCGACGCCTGGCTAGATCGCTGCGAGCTACGATCCTCCCGGAAGAGGCCATTAGGACCGTTCAGCAGAGAGACAGGACGAGCGCGCGGAAGCTCACTCCTGCTTGCAGGCAGTATCGTTCGTTCGGATCCAGGCAACCCAGAGACGAAGGCTTCAGACCGTGTGCTCCTGTGTGTAGGCTTGGCAGACACCGGCGCAGACGAGAACGAGGGTGGAGGTGAGGACACAGATTTCGCTTTGACCCGTGGCGACAAGGTACTTGATCCCAAGCGCACACTGTTGTGAAGAGAGGGAGGAAGCTCCACGTCCATGATAGAGCCTTCGCCATCCTCCGAGTCAAGCGTCTGATCAGCGGTCGAGTTGAGCTGGTGGTCAAGGTATCGCAGCTCCATCAGCTCGTTCTCCAAGTCTTGAATCTGGCCGATGAGCGTAACCTCGCGTGAGTCACGACGCTCAAGCTCGCGTTCCAGCTCCAATACGCGGGTCACCTCTGCGTGGAGATCGGAGGTGAGGTTGTGGTGTCGAGCATGGAGGTCGGCATTCTCTGCACGTACTCGCTCCAGAGTGTCAAGCAGGGACTCTTTCTCGAGCTCATGACGGCGCACCATGTTGGCGAGCGAGTGCTGCGAGACGGAAGTAGCAAAAGAACGAGGGGTGCCTAGCGTCTTGGCGGTAGCGGACGGTGAAGTGTGTCCACCACCAGAGCTGGCCCGACCTACGGTCATGTTGTCGCTGCTAAATCGCTTGCGGAAGCTGTCTGAGTCCAGCAAAGACGACAGAACATAGTCTCGGCTGAAGGCCTGCGAATAGCGGCTCGAGCTGGACTTGGCATCCGAAGGAGGTCGTCGGCGGGTAGTGGTTGCTTCTATATCGTGTCCGGAGACATCCTGCGCTGATGAGACGGACGAGACGCTAGCATGCCGCAGCATTTGTGAGTTCATGTCAAGAGGCATACCCATGAGACCAGACAGCGAGGTCGACGTTCGATGCTCTCCAATCGACTGTGCGCGCACCTTCGGACGGCCGGGTGCAACGACGTTGGTACCATCCATCGTGTTCCTCTTGGCCTGGACAGGCTGGCTGAGCGGCTCATCTGTCTTTGTCGAGGCCTTGGCTAAAGGAGAGTTGAACAAAGGCTCGTTGCCTGACAAAGCGCCCAGACCTTGTTTCGCGGGACGAGGAGGAGGCTCAACACCGAGGCGACCTTCCTCGGCACGCATCTGAGGAGAAGGCGTGACACCAATAGCAGAAGATAGCACCAAAGCAAGCATGCGGCTGTAAGCCTGCTCAATGTCGCGCATGCCCTCCTGCCGTCGTTTGGCAGCTCGAGCAGGCGTAGCCTCGGAGAGCACGGGAATTTCGCCAGCTAGAGTGCGATTGGCGGCCTGCTCGGTCGCGTCAGACACGAAGCTATCCATTCCGAGTGTCTCCACAGAACGATTCGCGATAGCCGTCCCTGAGTCATTGGCATCAGTCAGCTGCGAAGAGCTGATGGCTCTTCGGACGCTGCGCACAGCATCCGCAAGCGCCTCGTGCGACTCGGGTGCTAAAGTGATGCGCCGACCATCGTCGCTCATGACGAACGAAGAGTTGTCGTGGGTCCAGGCGCCAGGGAGCGAAAGATCGTCGGTGCTCTTCATCGCGCGAGGTGTCGGCTGCGAGCTGCCTTCCCGTGAGAGCATGCTCGCCGAAGATGTGTTGGCATGCATGCCGTACGACACATCTGACATTCTCTGTCGCAAAGACGTGGGATCGAAGCTTCCCTCGGCACGATTGTCTTGTAAAGCCGCCTCGACTACCGCCAAGTGACTCTCGATCTCAGATACCTTGACCTCTGGCAATACCACTTCTTGCTCTTCTGTATCGCCGCCTGCAAAGCGATCGGCGGAGTGTTCATCGTCCTCAGCTGTAGCAGTCGCGGTGGAGAAACGAGAGAGCTGGGGTCGTGTCGCCGTCGAGACGTATGCTACGCGTTTTTCCGGCGCGGCAGAAGCCAGGGCCACTGCGTCGAGACCGCCAAAGGTGTCACGTTTGTACAAGTGGTGAGGCTCGTCCATATCGTCAGCATCCTCTTGAGATGCCAGAGGCGTGGGCTTGATAAAAGAGTTGTGGTTTGAGCAGTCGATCGTCTCGACAAGCGCTGTGTGAGAGGTAGCAGGCTGGTAAAACTCGCGAGGGACGGCTGGAATGGATGCATCGTCTTGGTCATCGCAGAAGTTATGTTCGTAGAGCTGCAAATCATGGCCGTCCAAGGAATGCGAAGGCGACGGCCCAGCGGCAATGGCGGGGCAGGCTTCCTCGGCTTCGAGATGCAAGAAATCACTGCTAGGCGAGGCAGCTGCGTGATGGTAAGGTGCAGAGCCGAGCGTGCCAGATGTGCTGGGAACGCTTAGACGGCTCTCGAGGTTGGTGATGAGGTCGGCAAGCGGCGAGTCTTGTCGAGATCCTTGGTCAAAGTGTCTAGCAAGTGGAGTGTCCAAAGTTCGGAGGCTGACTTTCGATGCTCCGGAACCAACATTCTGCCGACGTGCCGAAGCCGATTTGGGCGAGTCAAGATTGCTGACGGCAGTCTTAAAAGAGCAGGTAGTGGTTGCGGTGTCAAACCTGTTGGCAGGAACGCTGTGATCGGGCGACATATCATCGGACTCGTCTGCGTCGTCGATGTGGGTGGAGCGCATGGTGCTGTCGCCATCGATGGGCTCGAGGCCTTGCCAGATGCGCGGAATACCAGCCCGAGGTCGTGGATGACCGTCTATAGCGCTTGAGTGTCCAAGAGAGGAGGCCGAGACTTGTGTGTGACCATATTGACTAGCTCCTGAGTCTGTTGAATCCGCTTGCTGTCTTGATCCTGAAGAATGTTCTGCTTGACCCAATGAGTCCTGAAAGTTGTAATGACTGCGGGTAGACAAGGCCATGGCCATGCCGAGACTGTTGTCGGTCTTGTCGGTCAGGTTTGACGGCGGTCTTTGAAACTGGCGCTCCTCGACGTCGGCGTCTTGGCCGAGGTGCGCTGCCTGATCCATCCGAGGGCTCTCAAGAAGCTCGGCAGGTTCGTGCTGAATTTGTGAGGATGGTTTGGATCTCTGCGGCGCTTGTACCATGGCGAAGTCTCGACTTCGGATCTCATCACCATTAGCACGAGTCCTGACCTCGTCGCCGTTGCTGCGACCAAAGCTTTGGGAGTTAGAATCGCGACCTACTACGAACGGTGCACTGGAGCTGAAAGGCAGACCATCTTTAGGATACGGAGGTTGATCGAGAGGTAGTGGTTCGAGATGGCCGAACGAGTCTTGGCGCTGTGATCTAAAACGACCGCCGCTTTTGCTCGGTTCACGGGCAAGGAAAGGAGCAAAGATGAAAGAGGTCCTGGAAGCCTTTGTGGAGCTGGCATCTCTGGAGTTGCTGCGACGAGGTGTGAGGCTGGTGCGTGGTTTGGACTGCTTGGAAGCACGCCTTGACGAGAAGCTGGCGCAAGGAGTGGTTGCCTCTGACGAATCTTGCATTTCCAATTCGGATGGGAGGGCATTCGGGGTCTTGGCTAGGCTGAGCACCGATGAGGGCGTGCCTCCCACCGATTGCGACTTGTTGCCTTTCAGGCTCGCTCTGCGAATGAGGCGGCGAAAGAAGGAGCCGCCGATTTTGGTCTGCAGCGACTTGGCTTGAAGGGCGGCGGCGCGATCGAGTGGCGCGAACTGTGCACTGGATCTTGCAGGGAAGCTGAACGGCTTGGATGAGCTGCGACAGTGGACCACCTCGCTTTCGGCACGCTGACCTTGAGCACGACGCACAGTTGGGCGATGGTCCTGCAGCGGCATTGGAGCTGGTGTCGAGATGGCGCGCGATGTGTTTGTGGGTGAGATGGTGGGACGGGAGTCGGTACGCTGACGGATGGGTGCATGTACGGATTCGTAGCTGGAGTTTTGGTTGGCGTTGAGGGGAAAGTGACGAAGGGATGGCGTGGTGACAGATGGCGGTTGCATCTTCATAATTGGAGAGCTGGCTGTTTCTTGGCTGGCTTCGGTCGAGCTGGTAGGACGCGATGCAGGCGGTGTGAGGTGAGTGTCACTTTTGGACTCAGGCTCTACCAAGGGCGAGGCATTGCGACTAATGTAAGGTTGGCGATGCTCTACGACAGACAAGCGATCATCTTGATGAGAAGGTTCCGAGGGCGGAGCGGCTGGAGAGGGGGAGAAATGTTCGCTGAGCGAGCCGCCAAGCTGTTCACCGATCCTGCGATTGATGGTTGCGCCTGGACCTTTGGCGTTAAGCGAGCTTTCTTCGTAGCTGGGCATGCTTGGCTGATCAGAGTAGGACTGACTCAAGGCGGCCGAACCTGCCTCGGATGCTGCAGTGAACGTGCGCAGAGAGCCGAGCTCTGAACCAGGCGTATTCGTTGCCGGCGTAGTTGTGGCCTCTGAGCCGCTGTCAGGCATTATAAAAGGCAAACCGAAAGTTCGGACGTCGGCGTACGCGAGCGAGCGGCGTCGGGTGCTGCTGGAGACACGGGACAACACGTTGACGAAGGGGAGGTCGGGAAAGTTTCCCAACGAGTGTGCGTTACGATTGTGCTTGACGAGTGCTTTGGAGGTGTTCGGAAGAAAGGAAGCAGAAGCAGACCCTCTTGGGGGCAGAGGTGGTTGCCAACAGCGGCAGATTTGGCGGCTGAACTTGGCACATGACAAGTATCCGGCTGTCGGAGCTGAGACGGATGAAAACGAAAATGAAAAGCACCAATTTTAGACAAGGCTCGTGCCCTGCGACATCGGTCGACAACTGCTACCTCTGACTGCTGTCTCGACTGTGCTGCTGCTGCTGCTGCTGCTGCTGCTGACGCTGACGCCGAGACTAGAAAGGCTGATTTTGATTTTCTTTTTCTTTTTCTTTCTTTTTTCAGATGCGATTGGCAACGACGCTGCCATCCCTTACTTTCCATCCGAGTCAAGCCATGATCATCATTTCCATCCACCCTGAACCCGGCAATCGAAGCACGGCCGACTGTCAGGCCTGGACTTGCAGTGTTATTCCATGTATGGATCATCAAATCTGCTTTGCTTGACAGCCTGAGCACGTTTAGGACGAGATCGTCTGCGAAACGAGAGGCTGAATCGACCCTTAAACTCCTCGCGGCAACAGCCATGCTCTTCCCTGTCTCGGAGAGCTGGCTGTCAAGTCGCTCTTGCTGCGTGTATGAGATCTGAAAGGCGCAGCGATGCATGTTTCCTATCGAAGCAGAGCATGTATGCTCTCGCCTAAATCGGCCTTCGCCTGCGTTGTCTGTCGGCTCTGCAGCCTCTTGGCTCGCTTGCCTTTTCCCGAAGGCGTCGCTGCCAACAATTCGGATACGGTTAGGGACCCTGCCTCCAGATTCGGCTCTCCTCCAACTGTCTGACACCATGATCGACGGCACGCATCACAATGCTCTCTTGATCTTCAGTCCTGTCGACTTGCTTCATCTTCGGTCCTGGCATCGACCTGAGGCAAATTGGCCGTTCGCTGATCACAACAACTCCCATCTAAGCTCGGCCGCCGGTTGAAATGTTGATGTCTCTTGCCTTGTCGTTCTTCGCTGCCCTTTGATGGCCGTCGGCGCTTAGACAACCTGAAAATGCGAGCAATATACGGATGTGTTTCGGGAGAAGGTGGACGACGTTCCGTTCCGTCTGCTTGACCAAGAGCAGCCCCAAGTGTTGGTCCTTGCCGGTACATGGTTGTGACGCTTATCAACGCGAGTGCCAACGACCTGGTGCTGACGACTCCAGCTGACTGGTATACTGCAGCTCTTGCTCGCCTTGTGCTGTTCGTTGTTGCATCACTTTGTTGTGGATCATTGCACACCGCAGCCGCTTACCTAAAGTGCTCGTGTTGTCGTTATGGCTGGCATCAGGTCATGAGGTTTTGTGCAACCTTCTCGTCGTCGCAAGTCGTGTACAGAAGCATCGATGGCACAGCGAGGACGCTAATTGAGTTCTTTCGATCCTGAGCCGCTCTCTTCTTGCTCTACACGAACACTCAATGCTACCTGTAGAAGCTTGCAGAGCGGGATACGCTTGGATCGCTCGCTATGCCTCCTGACTGAACGCTGTGGCCCCGAAGAACTCATTTCGTGGCACGGAAGAACGGCTAGAAGAGAGATCCGGGCACCTAGCTCTTTTGTGTGACTCGGTCTAACCATAATCGCGCTCCTTGACACCTTGCGTCATTGTTGTCACAGCTACTCATGTGACGCTGCCTGCCACAGTAGATCGCATGCGTCTCTCCTGCAGCGCTGGCGGAACCCTTGAGCTTCTCACTGACAGCTCTGGTGAATCTGCAGCAACCCACTCGACGACGTGTTGAATTCCTCATTCACCTATTTCATCAAGGGCTTCACAGAATGCGACATTTTGGATCTCGTTTCAGCATTGCTGTCAGAACGGCAATACAATGTAAAGCAAAAGTCTCAGGTGGGTCGATCTCGACGCTGTGAATTGCGAAGGCGTTGAACAAGGATCATCATCTTCCAGTCTGATCGGAGAAACTTGAGAAGAATCTATTATTTGACAGGACATGAAAGCAAGTTTAACTAGTTTTTGGTGTTGGGGCTAGGCGAGCGGCGGATCGAGGGATGAGAAGGGGGTGGAGGGAGGCTTTCCAAGGTGTTCGAGCTGGTCGAGTACGACGGTGGCTTCGAGCTTGAGCTCTGGTTGGCTGAAGGGAGGCCTGCTGCGAAGGAAGACTTCTCAGAGGCCGGGCTAGCCTCGACCTGGGAGCTGGATGCAGCCGTCGACGTCGCTGGAGGGGAGACAGCCGAGGCCACAGCATTGCCCTTCTCATCCACCTTGATGGTCACCTCTCGACCGTCATCAAGCTTGGCCTTAATGACACGAGATCGAGCAGCCTTCAGCAGGGCGCTTCGCCTCACCCCGCGCACATCTTTGTATACGATGAAGACGTTCTTGCTGGTTCGGCCAATGCCATCTGCCACCTGACGAGCATCGTCACCGTATTTGTGTCCGACGACGCTTGAAGCTGCCTCACCGCTCGTGTAAAGAAGAGTTTGAACACCAGCATCTACACCATCAAGCACCGTATTCGCAGCGATCAGGGAACGATTGATGAAGCCCTTGATACCAGTTGGAGGTGGGCCGTAGGTGCCATCGGGATTGACCTTGCGTTGAATGCCTGTTTTTTTACCGATCTTGTCGCCGACGTCGCCGGCAACTCGCAGAATTGCTCCAGTGGTTTTGGCAGACACCTGAACCGCCTGACCGGACCATCGATGTAGGTTCTGTATGCTTTGTTGTGTCTTGGGTCCAACTTTGACAGCATCTCGGCCTGCCTCGCCCTTCTTGTTGGTGCGGGTCGAGTAGCCAGACGAGCCTGCGGCAGGAGTCTTGGCAACATAAGAGTCGGCAGCTCCTTGAATTTTGCCTCCCACAAACTCGGAAGTTTTGATGATGGAACGGGAAATCATGTCAGCGCCTTTGATCATCCAGTCCCGCATCTCATCTGCAGAGAGAACGTCAACCTGGAGATCTTGCCTCTCGCTTTCCATGCTAGGCTCGGGTGGCAAGTCGATGAGCACGGGAGCTTTCTCGTTTCCAGAGTCTGACATGGAGTCAGCTTCGTGGACTGCGAAATTGCCTTGAAGTACTCCAAGCACCTTGCCGTCCTCGTCCATGAGTTCGATGCTTCCAGCATCAACGCGATCGTCATCCTGATAGGCAGCATACTGAGACAGGATCTGCTCGAAGCGTGCAAGCTCGGTTTGGCTTGTGGAGGCTGGCAATGTGATCTTGATCGAAGCACCCTCAAGCTCGAGGGATGGGAATATGTACGAGTTCTGAGACTGTCCGCGTTGTGGAACGATGGTCTGTGTAGCTGCAACGGGCAAAGATAAATCTCCAATAGAGAGGACCAGCCAGAGGTCGGTCGAGTAGTCTGGCTGCTTCTCAGCACTGCCGAGGCTAGCCTTTTGTTTCGCAGCTTCTTGGAGCTCTATGCTGACCAGAAGGGCCTGAAGCTCGCCTGAGCCCAGCCCGACGGTCTCGCTGTGGTATACTTGAGTGGCAACGACTCCAGGGATCTTGAGGAGCTCTACGCCTCTGGAGGACTGGTCGGTGGCCATATTAGAGAACTTTGAACGTAGGGTTGCGCTGCTGCTGCTGCTGCTGCTGATGATGCTGGTGGACGGTCAAGTCGAATGGTGTATCTAGCAGGCGAGACCTCATCCATCCGTGTAACTCACAGACTTTGACGTGTGGGTGTCGGCGTTGCGAAGTGGAGGACGCATGGGCCTTCTAGCGAAGGTGCGTGAATTCTGATTTTCTTGGCAGATATCATCAAATCCGCCGCTGCGCTGCACAGCCATGATGCTCTTCTAAAGATAGTATTGCTAGGCATGCTTCGTCCACAAGACGTTCATAAGCGGCCAAAGCAGTCGAGAGAGTTCACGCATGGCCACAAAGTAAGTTCAGCTCTGGACTTGTGCCAAATTACCAAAAAAAAAAAAAAAAAAAAAAAAAAAAAAAAAAAAAAAAAAAAAAAAAAAAACACAACAATAACCTGAGTTCACGACTGGAAGAAGTAACGAGTTGGGAACGCTGATCCAAGTACAGTATCGTACCTGTTCTTGAGTGTACCAGAGATGGCCAGCCTGTTGCTGGAGCTCATTGGAACGATGGCGAGCAAGCTTGCCAGCAACAGCGCTGCAAGCAAAGTCGAACCCTGAAGTTGCGAGCATCGAGCCTTCTTTGAAGCCCTGAATCGTCCAGGAAGAGATCTCAGCAAGGCCGGTAGCGCATACGTTGTATGGACGGCGAAAGTGCCGAGAAGAAGCGTGTAAGCCGTAGCTGTTATTAGCCGGACAGGAACGCTTGGGTGAGACAGCGAATGAGACACGAAGCTGTAGTCAAGCTCGGAGGGCGACAGACCAGATATAGGCGGCGTTCTTGATGAGGGCAGAATGCGGTTGACGAAGGCATGGTGTAGGGCAAACGGGGCTAAGAGGTAGCCTGACCTCTGCGCCATGTTGAGCTTAATACTTCTCGCTGGTGTTGAGACTGTTCCGGTTTGCAGTCTTTCCCCGTTGTCCTCGGCAGGTCCAGCCGAAGCATTGTCAATCCCAGGGCGTGTTGTTTGAGGGCTTGATGAGCGAGAAACACTGAAGCGGATTGTAAGCCTCTTGGCAAACCCAGCAACCAGGTGGGTAGCAAGCGAAGCCCAAAGGACAGCCTCACCGACTCCACTCTGGTAAGCCACTCGACCGAGAAGCATCCATCTTGAAACTGCATCCACTCGGTCGTTGACGTCTCCGTTGAGGTGTAGTAGTCCAATCAAGGGTGCTGAGAGATGGACGACCCCAAACGCAGCCAGCGCTGCAGCGGATGCCGACTGTAGCCATGTCAGGACGGAGATGGCATGCTGGCGGTGAACGGCAGGCACGACCAACGCTGAACCTTGGAGCTGCAAACCAAGGATATGGAGCGTCATGGTGCGGAGCAGCTGAATGTCGTTTTGTGATGCAGGTTGTCAAAAGGGTCGAATGAGATCTCTCAGCCAATCACAAGTGTCTTGTTTCGTTTTTTTTTGTGTACGGCATTCGAGACATCGCTTGGACCCTTGCTTCGGCCATTTCACATTGGCACTCATCCCGAATCACGACGCAACCAGCCCCACAAGATGTCACAGTTCGGAACACTTGGAACTTCCAGGAAGACAGACTATGTCACAACACACACGAAAAGACCTCAACATGTGATGCGATGCTGTATTGCTTTGCTACTTCGATGCTACAGTGTGCGGGAATGGTATCTCTAAATGTCGAGTGGCTAATGGTGGACTATACTTACAGGCTCAAGCGGCGAGTTGACTGTGGCAGCAGCATGAGGGTCACCGTGTTCAGCTGTTGGTGTCGGATGGCCATGCGACGCCTGGGCCGAGTCAACCACGTTGTCCAGCAGTGATCGCACAGACGCGGATGTCAAGAGACCAGGTGTCAGAGGTCCAGTGGATTGAGCTGCCGCTGTTGAGGGTTCAATTGTCGAGGAAGCGGCCAAGTACATCTGACCCTCCTCACCGGACAGGCCCGTGCTCGAGATCGGTGTAGGCAGAGGGCTCTCGGCCGCACTGCTCTCTCCGATCGCGACCGGATCAATAGTTTGAGTCCGGCTATCGTCTACAGCAATGCCAATTGAAGGGCTTGCGTCCGTCTCGGCCCGGGAAACTGGCCTGGAACCCACCCTCTGCGAGCCAGCAACGGCAGCACTGCTCGACCCGCCTTTCGATGACGCCACTAGGTCTCCAGTCTGCAGCCGTGACAGGCCCTGCAACGTCGTCGGATCCGGATCGGACGAAACGACGGCACCAATCAAAACGCTATCATTGTGTTGCAGTTTTGTCGCCAACGTCGACGGCTTCGCATCGACGGCAACGGTGCCTTCGCTGACCACGGCAGGCGTGATGGCGTTGCTTCTCTTCAAGTTCGTGCTCCCGCCAACAAATGGAAGGTCCGAAGGTGATGGTGCCTCTACGTCAACCTCGGAAGATGCGAAGGCAGCGTCCGCAGCGCTTTGCCCAACCCTGGACAGTTCACCTGCACGCGTGGACGATATTGGCGGCAACAAGGGCGCTCCGGCGGTCTTGAGGTCGAAGATATCATTGCAATACAAAATGAGGTCTTCCATCGTCTTGTCCTCCTCCATTGCCGCAGCTACGCTTGTAGTTTCATGGTCAGCTTCAGAGAGTAAGCATGGTGAGAAGACAACACTGAGATTGGCAGCTGTCATCTTGTTCTGGTCGGCATGCTGCGCAACCTTGCTGAGATGGTGTACAATGACCTTGAGGGTGATCTGGTGGATGGGAGGTAGGCGACGAATCTTGCCTTTGAGCACAGCAAAGCCGTTACGGATATGCTCCTCTCTTTCGTGGGTATACTTGATCCTTTCTGCCCAGGGTATAGCGAGTACAGGCTCCGGAAGTTGACGGAGATAGTCCTTGAAGACGCCGGCGACAGCAGCAGAGTCATCCTTGGCGGCGTCAAACTGGAAGCCAAGCTCGTCCTTCTCGATTGCTAGAGCAAGCTGCTTGACACTCGACTGCTTGGCTGAGATACGGTAGATTCCGGGCAAGTCGATGGCGTGCTTCTCAATAAAGTCGATACACTTGGTCACGATAAGCGGCGGTGCGACTGTATCGTTGAGTCGATAAGGTACGGTGAGGGGATAGTCGGTCAGAGGAGTACCGAAGATGAGGTTTTTAAGCTCTCCGTGCCAGTAGTTGACGTAAGAGACCCTGCTGTCTTCGAGGGTTTTGGCTCCCGGCAGGTTAGCTTCCATGGCCTTGAGTTCTTGATCTAAGTCTTCCAGGGCTATCTTGACGAGCTCCTCGCTGTGTTGGTGGAGTCCGCTACCTTTGCTGTGTAGGGAGATCTGAGAGCGCTCTGATTGCAGCCAGACAGCCTGGGCGGTGTGAGCTAGCTCTGCTTTGCATTCCAGCACAGAAGCAGCAGCAGCTTTGAATGTCCGTAGCCTGCGTAGGCGCAGTGTTTCCAGGTCGAAGATGGCCTTGCGGTATGCCTTGTCTGCCTCGTCGACCTCTCGCTTTGCCCGAGCCTGCTTTGCTGCGATCGTTTGCGTCGCCTTGTACGGGTTGTTGCCGCTGCCACCGAAGGACCCAAGAAGGGTTTCGCTCATTGAGAGTGTCGAACTTCCACCGTCACCAGGACCGAGACCTCCAGGACTTCCCGTCTGACTGCCTTCTCGCATCCTATTGATGAGAGCGCCGATCTTTTTGGGCGCTTCCTTCCTTGCTGTGTCCCATCCTTCGCGTGACTTGAAGACCTCGAAGAAGTTGGGCTTGCCCTTCTCCTGATTTGGACTAGGTGGGGAGGTGGAGAGGGCTGGGTTGTTGGAAGGGGGTAAGTGTGATTCGGTAGTTGGAGGTGACCCAAAGGTGGATCTCTCGTCCGAGCTTTCGGCGCCCCTGACCGAATTGCCGAGTGACCTGGAGGATGCGTTCGATTGACGGCGGGAATGACGACGACTACTTTTGCGACGCATGAGGGCTGGGCCGCAAATGCTCCCGCCAGTCGCTGATGAGAACGTTGATGGTGGCGAAGTGGCAGAGGGTTCAAAATCGGGCGACGAAGGGCCACGGCTGTGGTGGATACCTGTAGCTTCTCGATCCGCCGTCTTGGTGCTCAAGAGGATCCGCTGATCCTCCACTGCTTGAGCTTGGAGCTGGAGGTGCTCCACCTCCTCTGCCTTCTTCTCGTAGACACGTCGAATCTTTGGCAAGTTGACATTACGCGTCTCGTCGTACTGAGACAAGCTGTTGCGTAGGTCCTCTTTGACACGCTTACGGATACGTTCCTGCGAGTCACGGAAGGCTAACAACGGAGCGAGGACTTTCTGACGACAAGTTTCAACCATGTACGTCCTTGCTTCGAGCTCTCTCTGGTCGTTCTGACGCATCTCGATCCAAGCTCGACGAAGTCCAGGATAGCGCTGGGCATCAGCCATAAGACCGACATCGCCAACAATCTTGGAGTTGACCTTCGAGTCTAGTTCCTTCTGCCTTCCAAGGAATAGTCTGAAGCTCTTGATGTACTCTTCCTCGAGCTTGATCCGTCCTTCGAAGTGCGTGATATAGCTGTCAGCTTCGGTGAGAATAGTCCTGAAGGTCTCGAGGAGTGAAGACGAGATCTCTGCTGCTGAAGAAGCTGTGCTGTCAGAGTAGTAGCCACTACTGGAAGCGGCTCTTGGGGTGTGTTCAACCGACTTGCTCGCGCTGGAAGCAGCGATGGAGAACGTCTCCATGTTGCGATGAACTCTTTCGAATGATGTGGTGTTGATGGAAGACGTCGTCGGAGAGCTACTTGCTTCGTCTCCAGCAGCTACCACGCTCGAAGATATTTTGACAGAACGCGGATGTCCAAAGCGTGGGTTGGAGCAAGCAGGACGTCGGTCACCAGGTTTCAAGTCCCCGGTCTTGACGTTAGTAGAGATGTATCCTATCCCACATGCGTAAGAGTCTTGATCTCTATATTTGGAGGCAGCCGCAGCTTACTGGCAAGCAGCACAGCCAACCGTACACAGAGCTGTCGGAAGATGAAATGAGTATGAGCCACGCACTTCCGAAACCCGATCTGGAACAAAAGAGTAAGTTAGTTACATGTAGTTGAAGATGACGAAATGTAAAGAAGTATAATCCCGATACTGGCGATCGGGGAGAGTCCGAGCACGATGTCACTGCTGTTTATAGACAGAAACAAATATACTCGATTGACTGGAGTGCAAGTGTGGTGAGGGCCTCAAGCTACCTGCTATATATAGATACAAACATGTGGCACATGCCTAAAGTGGGAGCACTCCTACTTCATGACCTATCTTCACAACAAGCAGGACTGTGTTGTACCCAATCTTTGTGTAGATCTCCTCCTCTGTGTCCCAATTCTTTCTATGTCAGCATGTGTTATCATATTGGATTGTTTCCCTCAGCACCCCCTCTTGATCCAGTATGTCCATCTAGCATCTCCAATCCAAGCAATTTTCAAAGGTGTAGGAGTGTTGGTGCTGCAAGCAGTTTGGTCATGATGTTGGCTAAGTTTTTGCTGCTCTGGACAGGGGCAATTGTGAGTCACCAACTCTTGATCTTGTCTTGCAAAAAGAAATGAGTGATGTCAATGTGTTTCATCCTCTTGAAATGTTGTGGATCGCTTGCAATGGTACAGGCACCAGAAGAGTCACTATGCAAGACTGGAATGTCTTGATTGAAGCTGAGCTTACTGTCAGAGGTCGCATGCCTGAAACCTGATATCTGTAATAGAACCGCATCTATTATGAATCCTGTCAAGATATGCAACAATACTTGTGGTATTACAATTCTTGCTGAGATATGTAGTAGAGCCATCTCTATTACTTTTCTTGCTCAAAAATGCAGTAATGGTTTTGCTATTGCAGGTTTTGACTAACCACTGTGGACACTCCATCCAGAGGTAGCTTGGCACAATCAATAACTTGAATGTAATGCAAGACACCAAAGGTCTGGTGTGATTGAGATAGTTGATGTCATTGACATGAGTGTCCAGTGTGTCAACTGAATGCTTGAGGTGATCCCCAGACTGCAGCAGATGACTGCCTTTGGTTCTATCTTTATCTGGACTGCTGGTTTGCTATGAACTGCCTTCAGATGTCAGTGAGCAGTGATACAACACACATGCTGCAATGGAAGCAATCTACTTGATTGTGACTTTGCTGACTGTAACTAATGTATACTTATGCTAAAGTGATAACTAGTTATGTATGGTGTAGAGTGGATGACGATCCACTCCCTTGCTGTGGCAGGGGACATGGTTATATACCTTTCATGTAGCATCACCCACAACACTGCTCCTCCTCCTCATCCCCCTTATGCTCCCCATCCACCTTGCAATGCTCCTCATTGGCACTGCTTCCTTGTCCCTTGTGGATGGATGGGCCTCCCATTGCCTCCTCTCCATCAGGGGTCAGTCCCACTTCATCTGGGTGGTGACTCACCCCTTCTCATTACTCCCTGTCATCAGTGCCCACTTGCTGGCACCACTTCAATGCTGTGTAAGGCCCCTGCTTCATCTGGTGGTGACCCCAGCCATCCTCACCACTACTCTGTTTATTGTGTGATCCTCCTTGCCATTGATCTCAGCAGAATATGTCCTATGATCTTGTGTACTGCAGATTCCAGTGGGATTTGTGATACCATTATGGCTCATGCCAATCTAGCTGGGATCTGCCCTAGAGCTGTTCCTCCTGCAGATCTTGGTGAACTCTACTGCAAGTCCCATGATCTGCCCGATTCCTTGATTCCCACACTCCCTTCATATGACTTGCTGGATCTTCCTGCTTTCTGCACATCCAGGCCCATGACACATACGAGTCTGTCGATGGTGAAGACATATCTGGATGTTGACCTCCTACACTCACGTGAACCGGCCCAGTCACTGTCAGCCCATCCAGTGAGTATCTGTCCCCCGACAGGACCTGTTGCTGAGAGACTTACCTGTATAGTTTCTTTGAGGTATCTCAGGATACATTTTGCAGCTGTGAGGTGTTCTCCTGACAGGTTTGCAACAAACCAAGCACACCTGCCAATGGCGAAGGTGATGTCAGGCCTGCTGCCCTGTGCTATCCACAACAGCGATCCTACCAGTGAGGCATAGTGGCATACTTCCTCTGCACTTGCTACTTCTCCCTCTTGTGGCTTAAGGGAGTTTATGGGTTCAGTCACTGGTGTTGAAGCCAACCAAGCCTCACTCATTCCAAATTTTTCCAGGACTCCTTCTATGTACCCACTCTGGTCAATGGAGAGGGTGCATTTTTCATGCTCATAGTGTACACTTAATCCAATGATATGTGAAACACTCCCTTGATCAGTAATGCTAAATACATGCAAAAGTTGCTGTCACACTGATTGAACTCATGATGTGGTTGCTCCAATGACAAGCAGGTCATCAACATATATTGCCACAAGCACCATTGTGTCACCAGAGCCTTGCATATAAATGCATGGTTCTGCTTGACATCACTGGAAGCCGAAGGCTTGTAACTGCTTGTCAAGTGCTGTATGCCATAAGTGCCCTGCTTGTTTTAGACTGTAGAGTGCTTTCTTGAGTTTATAGCACTTACCCTCAGTCACTTTGGCTTCAAACAATGGGGGTATCCAAACATATACATCCTTGTCAATTCTTCCATTTAAGAACACTGTGTTGATGTCGAGCTGAATGACATATAGACTGTACTGGTGGGCAAGGGTGAGAAGCATGTAAATGGCTTGTAAGTGGACCACAGGGCTAAAGGTTTGGTTGTAGTCCAAACCTTGATGTTGAGCATATCCCTGTGTGACTAGGCAGGCCTTATACCATGTGGCTCGCTGTTGCCCATCAAGCTTGAGCTTGAACACCCAGCAGACTCCAATGAGTTTGTCATCTGTTGGGATGTCAGCAAGTTCAAAGACATCCATCTTAGTCATGCTTGCCATTTCAGTAACCATTGCCTCATACCATTTGTTCCAGTCATCCCGAGCTTTGGCTTCACTGAGTGACAGAGGCTCCAACAATATGCCATCTGCATTACATATCTGTTGACTGCTGGCAACAAGTGCAGTGCCATCCATTACTGTAGTTGCAAACACCATATGGTTGAGATGGTGATTGCTGATTGTGGATGCATGTGTCTCGACGCATGTTGCTGCAAAGGCCATGTAGCTGAGTAGGTCCTGACAGTTGGGTGATTCCATGTGAGTGTGCTCGATCACAGAGATGTCTTCATATATGTTGATGGATGTGTCGCTGCGAGGGGAACGGAGCAGGGCATCAGCATGGTCCAGATTCTGCAGGGGGTTGCCTGTAAGCGATCGCACGCCAGAGACTGAGGTTGATTGAGTAAGGTCTACTCGATATGTTTCGCCTAAACGTAACCAAGCGTTGCCACCTAGTAAGTCTCGACTGACCGCCTTGAACACTCTGTTCAGAGGTTGCATGGCATGAATGTTGTTTGTTGGTGAGTGGGTGATACACCCTCCCTTACAGTACAAGTGTTCATAGTACTGTTGATAATGCTCTTGGACATCATCTGGACTGCGATATGCCAATTGCCTACAGAGGATGGGAGTTACTGGACTGCTGGTGTGAATCACCACCTACAATAACCGACTGGACCACTGGTGTCAAGTAACACTGCCTACAGTAATGAACTGGACTGCTAGTGTGAAGAACACCACCTACAGTTGTCAACTAACAGTGATACAACACACACATTGAGAGTCGTTGCAAGAGCACTGCTATTGCGATGATATGTAACCAAGTAAGTAATAAGTAAAGTATAAAGTAAGTAAGTTAGAGTGGATACTGATCCACTTGTATGCTATGGTAGAATGAGAGTATTTATGCATCTGGTTGGTGTTTTCCCTCAACACCTATCCTGCTCCTCTTGAGGGGCCTTTGTCCCCTGTTAGGCACTGTCTTGTCCTGCTGGCACCAATCTTTTCAATACTGCGCTCCTACCATTTGCATGGCATAAGGGTTATGCAACACTGCCCTCTCGCCTTCATGCTCTCCTTCTGCCTGATGTGTGATGCCCCCTTTCAACACAGCTCCCTCTCGACTTTATCTTGTGAAACCCCTTTAGTCACTTGTTGAACCTCATGACCATACCCCTTGGTCATGTGGTCACATCAGCACAGTTCCATCATGACTTGTCTTGTGAAACCCCTTTAGTCACTTGTTGAACCTTGTGACCATACCCCTTGGTCATGTGGTCATGTCGGCACAGTTCACGTAGGTTATGATGACACCAAGGTCTGGTGTGAGTGTTGATGATGATGAGGTTGATGGTGTTGGTGATAAGGTTGGTGGCATTGGTGGTAATTTGGTGGCATCAACACGAGTGTCCAGTGTGCTGACTAATGCTTGAAGTGATCCCTGGACTACAGTGGACTACTGCCTTCAGTTCTATCTATATCTGGACCACTGACCTGCTATGGGCCACCTTCGGACATCAGGTAGTGGTGATACAACACATGCACTACTATGAGGAGCAATCCTGATAGATTGCTACTATGCTGACTCAAACTAATATATACTTATGCTGAAGTGATAACTAGTTATGGTGTGTGTAGAGTGGATGAGGATCCACTCAACCTTTGATGATGAGAAAGTATGCTTATATACCTCTTCACAGCATCGCCAGCAATGCTGCTCCTGCTCTCTCTCTCCAGAGAGTACCTTCTTCATTGAGTACTGTACAGGGGGCCCCTCTAGCACCACTCCTGTCCTCCTCCTTGC